CCAACTGTTTGAATAGACACTGTACCACACGCAGCAAGAAGAATATTGGCTATTTCTCGTATATAAGACGGTCGGGGAGGTGCTCCACGTCGATCTAGTGATAGAACCCATTGTACAAGCGATTCCTCTTCATTTTGAGTTAATATATGATTATTGGCGCGTGTTTCTAAGCGCGAAGTAATTCCATTTAATCGTCGTTGAAGAGTTGTGCGAGGAACATTATAGACACACGCCGCTTCACGAATATTGCAGATTTCTTCTCTGTTTAAAGCGGATATAGCAAGTAGTATTCTGTCCTCCTGCTCAGCCAAACTTCTTGAATTTTGAGGCGCTTTTAGAGGCATGGTTGGTAGTTGAATTGAGTGAGACAATAAAACGCGTAATTTTTTGATGAGATGGCCCGCTCGTTGGTGTGGCCCGCTCACCGGTGAAATACGTTAATTAGTTACTTATATGCATTATATTATTTTACTAACAGTAGAATATCTTGGCTACTGTTAAAGAAAGAATAAAGTTGGAAATTGTTCATACTTTTCAAACTAAGAATACTATTCAATGAGGAAATTATACTATTATAGTCGTTTTTAATCAATAATATAAGATCTAGAGATATATATTAACCCTAGGTTCCTAAAGAGGCCGAGCACCTATATGCTTCTTAGTTAGTGGCTGAGAAAAATTCCTATAGATAGAATTGATCAAAGTATTATTCTTCGACAACCTTTTGTAAGGAAATAACTACTATCTTCTGGGGAAATAGTATTTGGAAAGAGAGAAACAAGAAACATTCGTATATGTGAAAATCGATATAAGGAGAGAAATAAAGAGAGAGAGAGAGGGCGCCTCATCTTCTTGAGGCTTCACTACACTGTCAACGCTAGCCCCCATAATCGATTCAGCCGTCTCAGATCAAACCTCACGACTTGATAGCAAAAGTATTGTGGGCAAGGGAGATCAACACTGGGGTTGAGGAGAGATTCAACCTTCTTCTCCTAGGATTTATATCCTCCCCCCTCAATGGCGGTCTGGGATTTGCTCGAATAGTCCTTGATTTCTTCTACTATCCTCGGTTCTGGGAGCTTTTGATTTAGCTTCCACTACGGTGTCGGCCGTCTGCGGGGGAGACTAAAAATCATTCATGCTGATCTTTGTCTCCATATAATGCGGGGTAGAAATTGATCAACATGTTGGCACGTATTTCCTAACGCCCTTATATATTGTGCCACCGGCTCTCAGTATACACTTCTGTTTCGCCCTCATCACGGCTTCAAGACGCTCTATAACATACAACAATGTCACTGATAAAGAAATCCATCAAGATACTACAGGTGCCGACAGAGCCCGGTCTCACGACGGCGGAGTTGATGTTAACAAATGATGATCTAAGGCCAGGTTAGCATAATCCATGAGCTCTAATATATGCTCCCATGAAGAGCGCGTACATCTTGTTAATTGGACACTGATACATCAAGATGATTGCTTCCAGTCGAACCCGAGCGTCGCCAATGGAGATGGCTGAACTTCGTGGCGTTCTGGATTGCAGATTCGTTGAATGTTGTATGTTATTATCCCATAGCCAACCCAATCAGGGTGATCCACGCATTATTTCTAAGCGTCGTCCTTCAATGTACTAGAACACGTGGATGATCACCTCGTCCATGATTGTGGATGGACTCTCCTGGTGGCAGGCCTGGCTCTGCGTCTGGATCGGTTATACAATATCGGGTATCTTTGTGATTGCCATGGGCCGCATTGCAACCATCTACCACATTCCATTCGCAGTAGCCAACCGAGCATCCTTTGGCATATGGGGTTCCTTTTGGCCGATTCTAAATCGCGCGGCAATGGCTGTCATTTGGTATGGCGTGCAGGTATGTGCTTGGTTGCAGGTCGCCAAAGTTCTTCTCTAACCACTTCTGCAAAACAGACATATCTCGGAGGTATGTTATGTGATTCTTTTGCTTTGCTAGATAATGACTAATTTTGGGCTAGGGCAATGTGTGACTTTGATGATCCAGGCCATTTGGCCCAGCTACGTTAATATCCCAAATCACATTCCGACCAGTGCAGGCGTCACCACCATGGAGTTCACCAGCTTCTTTCTGTTCTGGCTTGGGTCACTGCCCGCACTTTGGTTTCCAATCTATAAGATCCGACACCTCTTTACGGTGAAAGCTTACTTTTCACCCGCCTGCGCGATTGCTTTCTTCGTGTGGGCGATTGTTCGTGCTCATGGAATGGGTCCTATCATCCATCAGCCCAATACTGCGCAAGGGAGCGTATTGGCATGGGCTTTTGTGAAGAGCATTATGAACTGCATTGCCAATTTCGCCGCTTTGATTATCAATAACCCTGACTTTAGCCGATATGCACGCCAGCCGAAGGATGCGGTATGGCCACAATTGATCACGATCCCAGTCGGCTTTGCCGTGACGTCGTTTATCGGGATCGTGGTCACTTCATCCTCATCAGTGATCTTTGGCCAAGCAGTCTGGAATCCTCTCACTCTGCTCGGGATGTTCTTGGAGAATGCCAGTTCGGCAGAACGGTTCGGAGTGTTTGTCATCGCTGCGGGCTTCGCGTTGGCTCAGCTAGGAACGAACATTGCAGCCAACTCTGTATCTGCTGGAACAAACCTCTCGGCCTTACTCCCTAGGTTTTGCACCATTCGCCGAGGAGCCTACGTGTGCGCAGCTATTGGTCTCGCTATGTGCCCGGTAATTATTCTTCCTCCCGCCTCTCTTGATCCATGTATGCTGGCTATTACACTTGCATCACTAACAAACCATCGTAGTGGAACCTGGTAGCTTCCTCCAACAAATTCACAGTCTACTTGTCGTCGTATTCGGTATTTCTATCGTCGATCGCCGGGGTCATGATCAGCGACTACTACCTGGTCCGGCGAGGCTACCTTGAACTCCAAGCGCTATATAGCGCCGAAAAGCACGGTCCGTACTATGGTACTTGGGGCATCTCCTGGAGGGGCTATACGGCTTACATATGCGGCATCCTGATCAATATCGTTGGGTTTGCTGGCGCCGTTGGTGCAAAGGTACCGGTGGCGGCGGAATATATCTACAACATCAATTATCTGTCAGGGTTCTTGGTGGCTGGTGCGATATACTGGGCCTTGGCGAAGGCTTTCCCTATTCCATGCACTAGTGACACATGGAACGAGGTACCTTATTGTGGAGAGGCTATGTCTTCTGAAGACAAAGTTATCACGGAGGCGGAAGAGGTGGAGGATGTTAAAGGAAAAGTGTAAGGAGCCTCGCGACATGATGCCGGTGGATTGTTATCTGTACCGTCGTATTTTTTGATCTTTGGATATATGATGTAGCACAAGGCTCAGTCATTCGTTGAGAATAAATCGTTCTCGGCCTCGGGTGGATCCCGTGAATATGCTTTTGTAATATATCAGCTTTGTATCATGCTATGTAGTCACAGGAAGAAAGAATGATTCGCCATACGTTATTCCTTTGTATCCAAGCTCCCAGTCTCTGTCGGCATTATGTCGTACTGCTTGGCTGACTGGCACCCTGCAAAGTAGCTTGGACGTCGCTTTACGAAAACTTCCAGCCCGGGTTTATAGATTTCGAGTCTTTGCGAAGGTCACTACTATATTGAACCCAATAAAGTCACCATTTCTTACCCGTTTTCGATGAGCACCGGTCTTATAACGATGTACTGGCGTCCAGGGCTGAAAGGAATCGTGAATACTGTGCATCCACACCGCTTGCAGAAATGCTTTTCCTTCGCATGGCCACTTATAGTACCGTTTGTGATAGTGTAGCAGGTAAGGAGAGCGTCCGGATCGTGAATGGTAACGTTGGACGAAGCATAGCTTGCGGTCTAGAGCCGTAAGTTTAGGAAACGCAATATCAGGTAGGGATATCGTTGACTCACAATCTGACAGGGCCCCCCGGCTCCAATCGCACAATCACTGCAATAGCAGCAGAACACATCCTCTGGGGGACCTTTAACGGTGTACCGTACACCTTTGCAAATACACTCTCCGGTATGAATCATAGTGTCTTGGTCTTCGTATGTAGACATAGTACCGGCGCGGATAGATAATGGGGTTCCTAACTCATGGAAAGGCACATCGTGGAAAAGATGTCGACAATGCCAGAGAGCATTTCCCCCAAATTATCGCGGTTCGTCATTCCACTGGAGCTGTTGAGAACTTTAATAGGCTCAACGTATGAATCATGACCGGATTGTTGGTCTTTCTCGTTCCATTCTCTTCCATGTACAACACTATGAGAGATAAACTGGGGCCGTGTGTGGGTGCTCTCATTTTGATTTCCGCTTTTGGACGAATTAATTTGAACCGGTATCGGGCCAGAAGCCAGTCTAAATAGCTAGTAGTTTGGAAGAGCTACGGTAGTATTCGTGGCAGATAAAGAAGGGTCTGCATTAGGGTTATGTGGCGCAGTGCCCCAGACGCGGGGTAAAATGCCGCGGTCTCCACCCTGTATGCCCTAACCGATATTCCCTCTGGCGACTCGGCGAGCCAGATGTTACAAACATAACTCCTGCTCAACGTCTAAAGCGGGGAAAGTGAGTGGGTTCTGAGATTAAAGTTGCGGGGAAGAGTTGCCAAGGGATTCAGATCATGCGCAATCTGGGGGTGAGGCAAAGGATTGAAAGCTCTCTGTTCGTATCGGAAGCCGGAGAGGATAGAGATAGATCAGCGGTCATGACGTCTCGCGGGAGGGAACCCGAGATTGAGAACCATGGAGAGCGATAAGGTCCAGAGAGAGAGAGCAGACTATATAATCTACAGGGTTGTATCTGCATTCCTCCTCGAAAACCAGATCCATCGTTGATATGCAACCTATCGCTAGGCTGCTCACTTGTATTCTTTCCGATTTGCCCCTTGCCCAGTGCGACAACAACCATTGTACAACATGGAACCCGATCTTGACTTGAAAATGAAGGAAGATCCTCAGCTGGTCGATGCAAATGTCCAAGATGGCCAGATCGACAGCACAGAGGGTCTGCAACGGCGACTTGAGAACCGACATATTCAACTGATCGCCATTGGAGGCTCCATCGGGACAGCCTTGTTCGTCACCATCGGTAATGGCCTGGCAGCAGGTGGCCCAGCCAGTCTGCTCATTGCCTACGTTCTGTACTGTGGTGTCCTCGCATGTATCAACAACTGTCTCTCTGAAATGATTGTCCTCCACCCGGTGTCCGGTGGCTTCATCCGGATCGCAGGCAAATGGGTCGATGACGCTCTCGGTTTTATGGTGGGCTGGAATTTCTTCCTCTACGAAGCTCTCATGATCCCCTTCGAGATAACCGCCATCAACCTGATCCTAAGCTATTGGCGAGACGATATTCCGGTCGCCGCAGTCTGCGCGGCGTGTATAGTTCTTTTTGCGTATGACCCCAGAGCAACTATTTCTTATCTTACCCGGCCTTTCCACATTTCCCAAAAGCGACTTTTCGTAACGTACTCTGCCGCATATTCTCCCATTTGTGATGTTTATAGGTTTATTAGTCTCTCTGAGAGTCCAAGCTGAACATTCCATAGTGCTATCAATGCTCTCGCCGTCGCCGCGTACGGGGAGGCGGAGTTCTGGCTCTCCTCCGGAAAGGTCCTCCTGATCTTCCTGCTCTTTTTCTTTACCTTCGTGACTATGGTTGGTGGGAACCCAGCTCACGATGCGTATGGATTTCGCTATTGGAACGATCCAGGCCCCTTCGCCGAGCACCGAACGGCCGGTAGCCTCGGTCGTTTTGAGGGCTTCCTGGCGGCTATCTGGTCTGCTGCTTTCTGCATTGTTGGTCCCGAGTATATCGCGATGGCCGCTGCCGAGTCCAAGCGCCCTCGGATCTTTGTCAAGGCCGCCTTTAAGACCATCTATTGGCGGTTTATCTTATTCTTTGCCCTAGGTGCCCTGTGTGTCGGGATCGTCATCCCGTGGAACGACCCGACTCTGCAAGCCATTCTTGCCGGGGAGAGCAGTGAGAAAGGAGGTGGTGCTTCTCCCTATGTCATCGCCATGTCGAACTTGAAGATCACCATTTTGCCCGACATCGTCAATGCCCTGCTCATCACTTCCGTATTCTCTGCCGGCAACACTCTCACCTACTGCGCCACTCGTTCCCTCTACGGCTTGTCCCTCGACGGTCGGGCCCCAAAAATCTTGAGTAAGACGAAGAATGGTGTCCCGATCTACGCTTTCCTCATCGTCATCTGTTTTCCTTTCCTGTCCTTCCTGCAACTATCTGACAACTCGGCACAAGTCTTGACATGGTTAGTCAACTTGGTTACGGCCGGTGCCCTCATTGACTATCTGGTCGTATGTATCACGTACATCCAGTTCTACCGGGCATGCAAAGCGCAAGGCATTGACCGAAAGAGCTTTCCATACTACGGCTATTTCCAGCCTTACTGCTCCTACATCGGTGCGGTGTGTATGGTTCTGGTTTTGCTCTTCTATGGATATACCGCGTTCGCGCCGTGGAGTGTGGAGGTTTTCTTCCAGAATTACACCATGCAGATCCTCGCGCCGATTTTGTATTTCGGATGGAAGTTCGCTCACCGGACAAAGATCCTCAAGCCGAAGGATGTCGACTTGGTCTGGGACCGACCGATTGTGGACTCCTACGAAGCCACGTTCACCAGTCCCGCCCCCGGATTCTGGGCCGAAATGATTCAAATGTTTAGGTTCAAACGAAAGCAGGTAGAACAGGTTGATGCTTGAGAAGGGAGTCTACTGAGCTGAGATGTATACTGTGGCTATGGAAATGGGTCTTGTTTTTATCTCATGTATGAAATTGGCCCTCTTATTTTATCTTGAATAGAATCCTATACCTCTTCGAACTACAAAAGGTACACCATCCAAGACTTAGACTGGCAGTTCCTTGACATGAACTTAGTTTCTAAATTGTTGCTAGCCAGTGACCATCTAATCACATGGAATGATCATCATACATGAGAATATCTTCGGCCTCAAAAGCATAACCCTAAGGAGTATTTCTCCGGTTCTAGGTTAGACGGCGTTCTTGTGAAAAATGAATAAATAATCACTATTGTCAGGCAGTAAATACTGACTATAAGGATATTACGACGTGGAAACACATATAAATGACCGAAGTATGTAGAGATATGGGATGGATGATGTATGTATGTATAGACTTGGCTGTGATGTTCTTCATGTCTCCCATCCGGGTGGTTCCGAGGGCTCCCCGGTTTTCCCCGAGCCCGCAGGTCAAGCTATTGAGACGAGAAAACGCGACCGTCAATCAACCTTCCAGACAAGAAAGTGCGACCACCACCATCACCACCAGCACAATTCCTCCGCCATGGGGCTGGCACGCCATAAGACGGCGGTCTCCCGGATCGCCAACAGCATTCGGGGTTTCTACGAACGCAAGGAACCCTTCCGAATCAACCACGGCTCGACCAACAGTACGCGACCGATCCGCCGAGACCGCGAAGTCGATATTGGTGACCTCCGCAATGTGTTACACGTCGATCCCACCACGCGAAGGGCCCTCGTCGAGCCCAATGTGCCCATGGACCGACTGGTGGAGGCCACTATGAAATACGGACTGGTGCCGCCGGTCGTGATGGAGTTCCCAGGGATCACCGCCGGCGGCGGCTTTGCGGGCACGGCTGGGGAAAGTTCCAGCTTCAAATATGGGTTTTTTGACAAGACGATCCATTCCGTGGAGATGGTCCTGGCCGATGGTAGTGTGGTGAAGGCGTCGGAGAGTGAGAATGCGGATCTCTTCCACGGCGCCGCCGGTGCGGTGGGCAGTTTAGGCGTCACCACCCTGATTGAGCTGCAATTGATCGAGGCGAAGAAGTTCGTCAAGGCCACATATCATCCACAACGGAGTGTGAAGGATTCCGTCCACTCGGTGCACGAACATACGCTGAACGACCGGAATCACTATGTCGATGGGATCGTATACGGGCCGGAACACGGGGTGGTGGTCGCGGGCGAGATGACGGACGAGATGCCCTCCGCGGCGCAGGTGCAGACGTTCAGCCATGCCTGGGACCCGTGGTACTATCTCCATGTGCAGGAGAAGACGCGAGCGGCTCAGGGCCCTGTCTCGGATTATATCCCGCTGGCCGAGTATCTCTTCCGCTATGATCGCGCCGGCTTCTGGGTGGGACGGTCGGCATTCCAATACTTCCATTTCCCCTTCAACCGACTCACGCGCTGGTGGCTGGACGACTTCTTACACACCCGGATGCTGTACAAGGCGCTGCATGCCAGTGGGGAGTCGAGTCGGTACATGATTCAGGATCTGGCGCTGCCGTACTCCACAGCCGAGTCCTTCATCAATTATACAAGTGAGAAGTTGGGCATTTGGCCGTTGTGGCTGTGTCCGCTGAAGCAAAGCCCAGCACCGACGTTCCATCCGCATGAGACCACGGTCAAGGGTGAGAGTGAGGGCTTCACTCCTGGCCAGATGTTGAACATTGGCGTGTGGGGTTTCGGACCCAAGGATCCGGACACGTTTGTCGCCGCGAATCGAGACCTGGAACGGCGCTTACAGGAGTTGGGCGGCATGAAGTGGTTCTATGCCCACACCTACTATAGCCAGGAGGAGTTTTGGAAGATGTACGATCGCGATTGGTATGATGGCTTGCGACGGAAGTATAGGGCGGAGACCCTGCCCAGTGTGTATGATAAAGTGCGCATCGATGTCGAGGCAGATCGGAGGGAGCGCAGCGAGTCGTGGAGTCGCAAACTACGCGATATCTGGCCCCTGGGTGGGCTCTGGGGCATTCGCAAAGCGATTCAGAGCAAGGACTATTTCATCCATCGCAACTCGGAGTGGAAATGGAAATGAATCATGTATCATATGTAATATAGAACGGCGATCCGCCTTGTCACTAGTAGTTCGATAGACCCCGTTTTGGTATACGGAGACAAAAACTGCCTGTCAAATACCCATATCGCATTTACCTGAAGTCCTGAACCTTCTCCCCCTTTGCAAGGCCGTGTGGGTATATCTGTCGGAGGGTTTCTTGGACTTTGGAGTATGCTATGGAGCCCATCCTCGCGCCTACTGGATTGTAAGTGGTATCGGTGCAAGCCGCATCCCTGTTTTTCTCAATCTTAAGCTGACCACCATGCCTAGGAAAGTGATATCTAAGGAGATCTTACGTGGGTCAGTGGGTCTACCGTCCTCTTCTATACCAATAACATCCCCTGCTTTGCAGCCAATGTTATGTTATATATAGCAGCATAGCACTTTTGGACCCCACGTGTTCTCAAGGCATATAAAGTACACGTGGAAAGGTAGGCGGCGCTCAGTGCCGTGTCTCAAGCGTTTGACTGCCATCATTCGACATATTCGCTACCTCCTGCGTTCTACACCTTGCTTTCACCCCAAATGGCCCCTGAGAAGGACGTGGTGATCGTGACCGGCTGTGGAGGCATGGGCATTGCCATTGCGCGCCGCCTGGGCAGCGGCTGCCACATCGTCCTGGCCGACTATTCACAAAACGCGCTCGCGAGGGCTGTCCAAGCACTTCGCGACGAAGGCCACCGCGTGGAAGGCGTTCAGACAGACGTGGCTGATATCAGTGCGGTCAAGAGGCTCGCGTTACATGCCGCTGGGCTTGGCGCGATAAGAGTGGTCGCTCACACAGCTGGCGTGGCCATGAATCAAGCTCCTCCCAGTCGAATCTACCACGTTAACCTATGTGGCACAGCGAATGTGATCGAGGCGTTCTACCACTTGGCGACAGTCGGGACTTCTCTAGTCGCAATCGCCAGCGCAGCCGGACACCGCATTCAGGGTTCACTCTCCCCGGATTTCGAACGACACCTGGCGACGGCCCCATTGCAAACCTTGCTGCAGCATCCCGACTTCCCTCCAGGCGTTTTTGACTCGGAGACCCAGAGGACAGACCAGCGTTCCCGCACGAGCGCATACGCGATCTCCAAGCGAGGGAATATCCTACGCGTTCAGGCATCTGCACCCTTGTGGGCGAGAAAAGGTGCCAGGATTAATTCAGTCAGTCCTGGGGTGGTGCAGTCCTTTATGATGAAGGAGGAGCTGGAGGGGCCTGCGGCGCCTATGCTTCGGGACTCCATTGATCGCACTCCTGCTGGGAGGATGGGGACGACGGCTGACATTGCAAATGCGGTTGCCTTCTTATGTTCAAAGGATGCAGTGTTTGCAACAGGCGGTGATTTATTAGTTGATGGAGGATTGACGGCCTTGAATGTTTGGGGCAATGGGGGGTTGGAATCGTCTTATAGATCTAACATATAAGTGGTACATCAACGCTCACCCGTGGTGGCCATTGATGTTCTATTCTACCGGCCTACAAAGCCTATGTCCATAGAAATAAAAATTATTTTTTCTTCTCCTCTCTACTCACAAAGGTGTTCAGTGGTCAGGTCTCATATGAAGGAAAATTGCAGGATATACTTTGAGTCAACGCAGAACAGGCTAAATTGTGTTCACGTCCACATAGTGAATCGGAAAGCCAACCACTCTGTTCCTAACTCTTCCTCAAGAAAGCCTCGAGCTGTTGCCGACTATCTTTGAGCACATCATAACGGAAGTTATGCTCCATGAATTCTGATGGCGTGGTGGGCACATCGACCCCTTCTGGCATGTATTGCTGTGCGCGTTCCCGGATTTTCCACGCTTGGTCCTGTCCAACATTGGAGGTGACCTGGATCGCCGACGCGCGCTTGATCCGAACCCTTTCAAATAATGCTAGACGATCGCGGATCTCATCGGCCGTAGGGTTGGCGGGCAACTGAGTAAAGACCTCACTCAACGCACCGGCATCCTCAATAGCCTGAGCCCCGCCTTGGCCTTGGTCTAAGATACAGGTGTTAGAGATGATCTTTCATTCCAAGGCTGCCTCAAGGAAACGTACGAGGTAGCATAGGATGCGCTGCGTCCCCGATAAGAACTAGACGGCCACAACTCCAAGTTGGCACGGGTTCTCGGTACAGGAGTGGCCACCGCTTGATATTTGTGGCTTTTCTTGAGGCAAGTTAGCATATGAAAAGGAGGAGTGACCACCTAACATTACTTAATAATGTTCAAAATGCTGGGATGGAAGTCATGGTATTGCGCCAGAACATCATTGACGTGCGCAGACCTATCCCAGGCTATGACTTGGTCGTCAGCCACAACGGGTACAAAATGCAAACATAAAAAAAAAAAAGGACTGACATTCTTGTTCGTCGCCGTTTGGATATTGATCTGGATGTATTCCCACGAAGTTTTGCACGGTGTTACTGCGCAATGCCATCAGTCGATGCATGAAATGATGCCCAACGGCAAGCAAAAGGCAGTCTTACTTAGCACATGGATACCAAACCAACCGTCTCACACCCTCCGCAGCCATAATCCGCATAAAACCATCACCGAAGTGTGGCTCTATATTAGGATCGTCTGGCAAATCCTCGGTCGAGAGTAGGAAACGAAACACTGCTGAGCCGGTAGAAACTGGTCGTGTTGCACGGCCATGGACATGTTGGATGGCGGACGTATGTACTCCGTCCGCTGCGACGATGAGATCCGCCCCATACACAGACCCGTCAGCCAGCGTTACATATCCCTCCGAAGCGTCATATCCAACGACCTTTGAGTTCAAGACGATGTCTGCTGGTAATCCGGGTCCCTCCGGAGTTGTAGCCAGACGGCGTAACTCCGAATGCAGGTCGACTCGATGGGCCAGAAGCCACGGTGCACCATAAACTTCATCACACTTTGAGCAATCCACTTCCGCCACTGGTTTGAGTGAGCTTCCGAGTGCTACAACAGACTGCCGTGCGATCACCATGCGGGCTAGTTCAACATTGAATCCCCAGTGTGAGAGAACCCGAGCGGCATTTGGGCAGATGTTGATAGCTGCACCAATTTCGTGGAGGAACGAAGATCGTTCAAAGATCTGCCAGACCCGTGACCGGTTGTTAGCCTGTCTTTTAAATGATCGACAGGAACCGCTTTCCTCTTACCTTGACATGATGACCAGCACGACGCAAACCAATCGCAGTCGCGAGGCCACCAATACCACCACCAACAATAATGACTTTCATTGCTATCAATCGAGTATGGCCGATACGGAGTTTTAGTCCAGACGTGAAGATCAATCGATGGGCATGGCACTGTCCGCAAGAGATATTCCTTTTCCCGCATCCGGTCCCCACATTCCAGCGAGACGTTGGCACTCGAGCCCCGTGCGTCCGTATTCCGCATCGAGTAAGGATTATCCACCTTTCCTCCAGTGCGGGCTGTCAGATTGTTTCGTCACCCTTCGCTTGGACGGAGAGTCGCTTTTGGCTCTCCCGGAAGGCCCATGGCCTCAAAATATCTCTAGATCATCCGCCTCTACGACGATATCTCCCATCGCTGTTCCTGCATGTGATATGACTTTGACGCGCGGCATCGCCCACTCTGGGGTAGTCCTGACACCCTCAACGAAGGCAGCCTTCAGCATCCAAACAATATCATCGTCTGCCACGGGCAAATAGTCATATACTCGATATGGAGAAGAGGCGCCTGGCAACACCACCAACACAATTTCCTTCAGCCTTTCCATACTACACAAGCTGTCCATCCAATACGAACCAAAGGAACCGTAATCCTGAACGTCAATCATCAGCCGTTGGAGGGCCGCTCTCTCTGCCGTGCTGAGGTATGCCAACACCGCCTCATGCAGATGCACGACATCCTGGTCTGGGGCTAGATAAATGCAGCAATGAGGCATATGTTTAGTCCGAAAGTAAGGTGCATAAAACCGCAGGGCCACATAACGGGCCTCCGTATTTACTTGTAGCTGAGGTGGATTGGCGCAGTCGGCGCGAAAGCAGCGAGCATAACGCCGCGAGTTGGGAAGGATACCCCGGTCGCACGAGATATGAATCACTCGAGCATGGGTGAGAGACAAGTGCCAGATGTAGTGTCGAATTTCAGGCGGCAATAACGGGAACAGGTGAAATGTAGGGGACATAAGGTCGTGATGTCGGGGGATCTGCTAATATATCTGATGGATTTAGAGAACTGTGAGAGAAGCATGAGTTGATCTCGACACCTATGTTGACAGCCTGTCCTGTCAGGCCGTGTGTCATGTGACACCGATGCCTATATTCTCTCAACTTATTGCCTCCTCTGGAACTTGAGCCCTAACAGTCTCCTTATTCTCCTGAGTGCCCAACATTCGCCCAGGTACGGCGATAACAAACCCCTTCATTCATTTCTTTCCTTTGTCCTCTTTGACTTCCTTATCCTTCATCACATGCGAATCATGTCTATCCGGTTAATCAACTACTAATGCTCGACTATGAATAAGAATAGCGTGAGGTAATGATGTCCTGCCTCAACCATGGAATGTGAAATCAAACTGGACTATTGCAGGCTGCGACACCGAGAGCTAATACCACTGTGGAGTATGCTCCGTCCTCGTATTTCATAAATAAAATGTTAGTCGCGGCTGTCGCGACCATGCTAACGAAGTCCCGGCCGAGAGATCGCTCGTGATATGTCAACGAGTATTCAATCTCGACTCTGCTGAGCCGGGCCTGGAAAAATGAAAATCGGCGTCGTGCGTGATCCGTTATGCTTTCTACCGTCTATGGCTCTCTACAGAAATTGTTCATGTAGGCAATTTCAGTATTCCTCTCCATGGCTGTACGTTGTGAATGGCGAGCCTTGGTTAAGGCTCTACTTGAAATCTTCAACGACACTGCCACACTCTTATTTCCTTGACTTGGCCTTTTTGCTTGTTTCCTGCCCAGAGTTGCTTGGTACAAAGCAAAGACAAAGAGCCAGCGAATCGAGAACCAACTTAGAAAGGTGGGTGGAGAAGCTGAAACAACTTTGGGGACCCTGGGGAAATGTTCATATCGCCTGGACTTCGATTCGAACAGACAGTCCGGACACTACCCGAAAGATCCACATTTGCTCCCAGGGTGGACCAGGGCATGGACATGCACCATCAGACAAATCCAGCCAGATGCCATGTAATTTCGGGTCGAGTATGCTATCGATTCGTTAGGAACGTAGTAGCATGAACTTTAGCTGCCTCTAGTTCCCTGTCCAATACGGTCCATCATCAAATAATCCTGACGGTTGCACACACCGGCTCAGACGCTTATGAATCGCTTGCCACCATATGGTGACTAAACAGTGGTAATTTCGGCTTCCATGGTCCCTTTCAGTGGTTCAGATGCCTCGCCATGGGAGTCATGGCTCGCAAGGTATCCCACAAAGATGTCCTAATTTGCCCTATAAAGCCCGCGTCCCGGCGCGAGTCGAACCAGTAGAAGCACGTTGGAATTCTCCTCACAGGCTCAATCTCTTTCACCATGTCGTTCAATCCCAACAACGTCGATCTCGATACCGCGGACCCGGCAGAAATCATCTGCTACCTCAATGCCTCAGAAAACGACTATGATGGGCGCTTAGGCGCTCGTGTATCCGCGATCTTTGTGATTCTGATTATCTCAAGCGCTGTTACATTTTTCCCCGTACTGGCAAAACGAGTTCCCCGCCTTCACATCCCACTATACGTCTACCTCTTCGCACGGTACTTCGGTGCAGGTGTCATTGTGGCGACGGCCTTTATCCATCTCTTGGATCCCGCGTATGATGAAATAGGACCGGCATCTTGCGTCGGCATGACCGGCCACTGGGGGGACTATTCTTGGTGCCCAGCCATCGTCCTTACCTCTCTCATCGCCATCTTCCTCCTCGACTTTGGCGCGGAGCGATATGTGGAGGTCAAGTACGGAATCTGTCGAGAGGACCCGGAGCCTATCATGACCAGCATAACGGATAACAACTCGCGTACTGCCGCCGTGGCTAACCAAGCCCCTATTGAGAAGGAAGCAAAGCTTGAATCGCAATCTGTCAATGACTCGCTGACGGAGAGATCATTCAAGCAGCAGATTGCTGCCTTCCTGATCCTAGAGTTCGGTGTCATCTTCCACTCGGTCATTATCGGCTTGAATCTCGGTGTTACCGGTGAAGAATTTTCCACTCTATACCCAGTCCTGGTCTTCCACCAGTCTTTTGAGGGATTAGGTATTGGCGCCCGCATGTCGGCGATTCCCTTCCGCAAAGGCAGCTGGTTACCCTGGATTCTGTGCACGCTGTATGGTTTGACTACACCAATTTCCATCGCAATCGGACTCGGAGTCAGAACCACCTACAACTCAGGCTCCTTTACCGCCAATGTGGTCTCGGGGGTTCTGGACGCCATCTCCGCTGGTATCCTTATCTACACTGGATTGGTCGAATTGCTGGCTCGCGATTTTCTCTTCGATCCCCATCGTACTCAGGACAACAAGCGACTGGCATTCATGGTGATTTCAATGCTTTGGGGAGTGGGTTTGATGGCACTTCTTGGCAAGTGGGCCTAGAAAATGTATCGCATCGTGGCGCAGGAAATCGGTTCTGCGTTATCCAGATGCCCAGTCTCGATGTCTTCATTCTGTGGCTGTGCAGTTTCTCTGCATTTTCCACCAGGTTATCGTGTTTTAGAAACTTAAGTGTCTGATTTAATACTCTTGTTTTGCCTGTCCTTGCCTTGGCGTGGTGGACAACGCTGCGCCTAATCCATGGGAAGGAATTCTATGTACAGCTACATGAACACAATCATTATGTATCATCTGTCAAACTACATTATGTGTAAAATTCTGTAGCATACGTAGTAGAATTAGGAGCCGGCTTCATTCAACATTTACATCTTAATTCCTGGAATCGTTGACGGAAGAAACTATGAGTTGTGAAGGAAGAAAACGAAGCGGATGAAGCAAGGGGCCATTTCACACTACTCAGTGTAGAGAAAACCTTAGAGTAGCCAACCTCTATTCAAAAGGAGTTCCTGTAGGCAATGATCAGCCCTGAACGCTGGAAACTGAAAAGGAAATCGAATGCTAAGGGTTTACTAAAGCTCCATAAAGGAATGTATAGACAAGCTAATCCGTGCAGGTATCCAAAGGTATGAGCCTAGTATCGTCACACTCGACGGAGTACGTGAGGCTCGCGACCCGACAGTGTTACAAAGGCACGAGGGAAGGCTTCACTGTGGAGGTCCCCTTTTACCTGGTCATATGCATGGGCTACCACGAGGCAGATATGCGCCAAATGCCATGCTCATTGTTACAGCTGACCAAAATCGCCTTCTCTACGTTGGAGATATGTAATAGCCTTGCATATCCTAAATTCTAGGAGCGTGGGGGCTACGTAGAACACTACCAATCCACTGTTTGCTTGTTCGGAGATGCCGTAGCTTCACATAGTTGGCGCAGAGGCTTGTGCATACGCATACGCCGGGTCTCCTTAGATACCACTGCGCGTGAAAATTCGGCACTTCACCCGAGCTACAGGCAGCCATACTCAATGTCCTGTCTAGGCTTTCGTTTTGAAGTGGGACCCAGCTGGAATTAGTCGCAAACCTGGTTTCGCAGGTGACGGGAAGTCTTTGTCCGTAGGAAACCTAGGAACAGACTGTGTATAATAACACTGACTAGACCATTTTTTACGCTTGGCTACATGAAATTAATCGGCTCGTAGCGAACCGGATGCCTTCTTAGGGAAGATTACCGACACTGCCGCAGTAAGTCGTGCCTGGCTTGAGCCAATACCAACCTTCTGGTGGATCAAAGAATGATCAGAGGTCTCACCACAGGGGCATCACACCAGTTATACATTTGTCATTTCTATCAACAATATCGGTACTGGTCAGGCAAGCGCGTAAGCAGCTCCGACTCTTTCCCTGCTGAGTGGAGGAGTTTTGAGGTCCTGTTGCTTTGACCTGCTGGTGGGGGCAGATAGAGGACGACGATGACCTATCTCATTGGGCCTTATTCATATTACTAGCTGAATCGTGAGATGCGCGATTTTAGCAGCTCCCTGCGTGGGTGATTAGTATTCTGCTGTGGGTGCTGCTAATCTCTCCGAATCTGGGCAATGCGTATAATCCGACAGGAACAGAAATTTTTTCATTTTGTCCCCCTTTAGTGCGTTTCTCTGTAAGTGCTAGGCTAGCTGGCAGGAAAGTAAAAGATTGCATTAGAGGACATACTCAGGGTAGTGAAAAATAGGAAATAGGGGTTCTTACGACCCACGCGAGTGCTCCCAAGGTGCTCAAATTCCCAAGGTCCTCATCTGTATTTGCGTATAAGACTGCCATCTCAAGGAGTTGATCAACTCAGTTGGATCCTTTCTTTTGGTTTTGGCTTCTGTGTCTGCTTTGAGCAGTCTAGGATGCACGGTGGAATCACAGTATAAGCGATGTCGGTCTACACTCCTCGTCGACACTGGAAAGCGCACTACTCACGTATACTACCTACATGGAGTGGGGCAACCATGGTGCCTTGAAACTTATTTACGTCGGCTGGAAATGTCAGGCTATACCATCCCTGTCACAGTCTACCTGATCCAACTCCACAACATACCATTGTATGATGAAAACACTGACCATGAGGCTTGGAGCGTTGCCTCTTCCCCCCACGCCGCCATGAAAACCTAGTGCTTCCGTCGGCTGATGCGCTATCCCGATGCCCCAATGCCTTTTCTGCGGTTCTGGCGGGTAAAGCTCATTTATCTCTGCACAGGCCTCTGAAGCAAGACCATCAAAGGTATAAATAGGACGTTTCTGCCGTCAAGAGTCCAGTTTCTTCCATCATCGCATTCAATCATCGCACACAAACATCAAAGCCTTCAATTCAACTTATAAAACCACTTCGAGAAACCTCTCAAAACTTTCCAATTCCATCAAAATGTCTCCCTGCTCTTGCAACTGCTGCAGCGGTAACTGCTCTAGCTGCTCCTGCTCTTCCTGCAGCGTAAGTAACCATGTCCTGTGAATCATATATTCATTACAGTCGGACTCATGCATTTCTACAGCACTAAGGAACGACTCTCAATGTGCTACCGCGCACCTGTTTTATGACCGGCTCGCCTTCTTCCCTGCCTCTGATTCCCGGTTCGATCTCGCGCTTGCCAAGAATTGTTCGTTATGAGTACTGGTTATGATGGGAAGGGCACGTTAACGGGATGGGCCAATGCTGAGAAAACCACGTGCATGTATGATTCAGTTGTTTTTGTATCGCTTCACTTAGCCAAGATCCATCATAGGCAATATAAAAACTGCATGCCGTGTTGAACTTTGAATATGCCAAGCTCCCACATGATACTCCGTACATGCCTCCAGACCCAACGCTGAATCATGTGCGGGCGTAGAATCATTATCAATTAACTGCTCTTGCTTGTCGGTTCCTCGACTATCAGCTATACAGTGGCACGGGTCCTATATGAGGTGAACTTTGTTTCTATCCGGATCTTGTGTCGTTAATTCTCCTACCACGTCATTGTAGTCGCGTAGTACCATATAGACCCGTCTCCCAGAAATAGATCATAAGCTACATAGGCACTATCCCGCCTACGAAGTACTACCACGTGAGTCAAATATTTGCAGCTTTTCAACTGTACCTTTCTTAATTCAAGCCGCCGATGACAGATCTTCTTCAGCAGCGCACGCACCCCTCAGCCGTGCCAACCCATACGACTCCAAGATACGACTAGCGGATATGTTCAACTTGACTCGAGCTACAAGGCTCTATGTTTGTTCTGTAGGGAGCTACGAACCAGCATATTTGTGTGGAATTGCAGAATGATGAGTATTCTATCATGTCGGGTCTTCAGCAGCAGCAGGTTATCTTTTTATGCCTTGTAGTGAAAGAGAAGGCCAGGGCAACAACAGCGCGATCAAGTGGAAACGGATTGCTTAGATATTTGTATACTGTTCGCTATAGACAGTCAACTGAACCTGAGAGCAAGCAGTTACACCTTGGCAGTAGCCCAAACAGGCTCCAGTAACCCTAATAGACTGCTGTGAGGCCGTCATAGCGAAGGGTCCATAAACAAAAACAGACCACAATCCTTAAGAGACTGAAATGGCCCGGAACAAAGATGGTCCGTGATTGGAATCCTAAGGTGGTGATTTCTGCCTTGCAGCCTGAGGTTGTATCCTCTACCTAACCAAACAGACCTGACATTGGGAACGAAGTCTCAACAACAAGACAATAATAAGACGCTAGAAATTTTTGCTACATAATTAGGTGGAATTCTACTTATGGAAGAGTCCCCTTTGGTATCACTTAGGAGTTTAACATGCGACTTGCAGGGCTACTACTGGAATCGATATATATTTGTCTACCCTAGTCTTCTGTTGTTCAACTTTCCCACTGTGGTTCTAAAGCGGTTGATAATATGTTATTTTCCAGACCCTAGAATATAAGGCAGCCAAGAGACTTAGACTCCTTACTACTACTGCCCTGTAATCCACAAGAGAAAATGGACCACAGGATCTAATAGGCGCTAGTCATCTGCATGTCCTTCCTGGGCTGCTACCCCGCTATACACTCAAGCTGGGTATTGAGGAGTACAGAAGCCACGAAAAAGCAACCACTGCACCAATTACTATGAGGACTTATAACAATGGATTTGAAGACCAGAGGAGGTCGTGATATGAACGTGGAATTTGCAACATTTCAACAACCAGTGACGCATTCCCAAAACACAACTGTTTATCCTCATCCAAACACCGAATATAACACCTGGCTTGGCAGAGAGACCCTGTTCCCCCAAGGATGCGTGACGATGCTTACTAGATCAAAATACGAGACCCCGCTTCTTACAATATTAGAAACACCCTAGAAACTCACTATCCTCACTGAGGTACGGACCACCATCCGACATTGAAGTCTGGACAAGCGTGCTCGGAATGTAGTGTGATAGTTCTTCATGGGAAACTAGATTAATTTAAATTGATAGATCCACCGGGAACCCCAGATCTCCGCCTATAGATGTTGATCAGGTTAATTAAGAGGCCCAATCCAAGAAACTTTAACGCGTCTTCCTCGGTACTTTGTTTCCGATAATGGATCTTATAGGTCAAAAGACGAACATACAATTCTCGGCAGGTGGGAGAGAATCATCTGGCTCACTGGCATTCCAACTTGCAACTGCGGTTGACCTATCCAGTTCACAGATGTTTGCGCACGGTGTCTGCCAACAAAGGCTAGGCACTATATGAATATCAAACTGGGCAATATACCGAGGCATACATGCTGGATGCTGTTAACAATGCAATCACTATAAAGATGGCTGCTTTATCCCAGGAAGAATGCCTATACAGACTGCATCGCACTCACATTTCAGTCACAGCCCGCTTTCTAAAACAGTATCCTCATTATGCATCTCCGCAACATAGTGATTGCACTGGCTGCGACTGCAGTGGCAAGCCCAGTGGACCTCCAGGAACGCCAACGTATGTTAGAGAATGAACCCCCTCAGTGGCACGCATGCTGACTATCCTGATCAGTGACTGGTGGGAATGAGCTGCGGGATGGCCCTTGCAAGCCCATTACCTTTATCTTTGCTCGAGCCTCTACGGAGCCAGGCCTCCTGGTGAGTTTGAGTGCCCTCCATTTTACGTGAAGATGCTCACACATGCAGGGCATTTCAACGGGTCCTGCGGTCTGCAATCTGTTGAAGTCAGCTAGACCAGGCGATGTCGCTTGCCAGGGCGTCGGACCTAGATATACAGCGGATCTCCCATCAAATGCTCTTCCTGAGGGAACATCCCAAGCCGCAATTGCGGAGGCACAAGGATTGTTTGAGCAAGCCGTTTCCAAGTGCCCTGACACTCAGATTGTTGCCGGTGGCTACAGGTTCGTCTGGACTGTATGATAAGTGTTCCATTCATACTGACGGTGTCTCTAGCCAAGGAACGGCTGTCATGAATGGGGCCATTAAGCGCCTTTCCGCGGATGTGCAGGACAAGGTCAAAGGTGTTGTCCTGTTCGGATACACACGCAACGCCCAAGAGAGGGGCCAGATCGCAAATTTCCCCAAAGACAAAGTTAAGGTCTATTGCGCTGTGGGAGACCTTGTCTGCCTTGGGACACTGATTGTGGCACCGCCGCATTTCTCATATCTCTCTGATACTGGCGATGCCAGCGATTTCCTCCTATCCCAGCTGGGATAATAATGCTGGGACTCATCCAGTATTCCGCGTTGTGTCGGATGCTCTCCTTCTTCTATGCCTTTTTGTCATTGATTTCGAGATGTCCTTTCCCGCTTTAGGGGAGCCAGTCAAGCGACGTGATTCTCGTACATTTGTCTATTATGAATGCTTTCAATCAAGGAATTGGTTGGCAAACATTTTATCTACCGGACGAAGTCTTGAATGTTATTGATTGTTACATTTCAACTCTCATAATGCTGCCTAAATCATTAGGGATTCTTAGTCTTACAGTGTATTGCCCACTATTCTGAACGGCAATTAGTAGACATGTTGCTATGACCTTCCCCGGGGGCAGACAACGGACAACTGGATCAGCATGCCCTGAGTTAGTGCGAGACAGGGCGCGACATGAGATCAACGCTTGACGATCTCATATCTGCAGAGCTCGGCACGTGAACGACATGGGCTGGCTGCGACAGCGTATGTAGTCTGTGGAAGCCCCTTTGATATGCAAGCGACAGCTGCAAGACCACATTATGTCTGGACATTGGAAGGGTTAGTTAGGGTGCACAGGTACAAGCCAGGCGCTAGACTATGTGGCATTCATTGCGGTAAAGCGACCATGTAGGTAGTATGGTCACTGCACTAGAAAGGGGGAGTTGTCAACCAGCTAAGGTACGTTACAGGAGAGCTTACTAAAAGAGGATTGAGCGGGAGTGCAATTGGATATATGCAATTATGCCGGTATTTATTGTGTTCATATGCAAAATAATATTATGTACTTCACGCGATCAGCGTGTATGGTATATCCAGTCCTGGAGATCAACTTGATCTCCCTCTATGTCTTCTTTCCCCCTTATGAATACATGGCGATATATAATCATATGATCCGAAGCGAGAGATGAGGGAATGCGACCACGCAGCGGCGTTGAGCTGACGATATTATCCGGTTTCAAAGACAGGTACGATGTGATATTGGTGGGTCGTCGTCTAGTTGTGGCTCCTCCTGCTCTTTTGGAGTATGTTTTGATTAAACTATATGCGAAAATATACTCACGCATCATGACCGGCATGATAGCATGGCATGGTTCAGCAGTTTCACTCCGGAGCTGGTGAGTGGCGCAAACGTATCGTCGATATTAAATGACCACTGTTGTAGCCAACTCCATAGAGCGGCGCCATGTCTGTGCCCACTGGGAGAGTCATAGCATGCGGGTTGCCGAGTAAAGAAATGTTGAATTGCAGTCTCGTCGGGTTTCTTATGCAGCTGGCTTCGGCCAACCAGGAATGTCTGCAAACCAACGCGATCGGTAAATCTCATCCCCCAGGTTGATCTGCTGTCGGACACCATCGACGACGAGGTTCGTGTGGTTGCCCCGTAACAATCGCCATAGAGACTGCACGTAGACGAAGCTTCCATCCGGCGCCATGCTAAAGCCCTTCAGGTCTGATTCGGGGAGCTCCAGGTACTCTCCTGCCCGGTTAAAACCTTTTCTATCGCTGGTGGTCACTTCGAACCCTCTCATATACGTATCAATCACGCCTTTGCTATCGAGGAAGAATTCACGAGTGTTCAGGTCAAAGGCGTGCAAGCCTCGATCTTGCGACATCAGGAATTTTCGATCATTGGGAATGGGGACAAGATCGTGAGGCCCACACCACCATGGATATCCTGGGCCCCATTCCGTCTCCTGATCCCATGCCTCTGGTAGTCGGTACATAAATTCATCTGTGTCTTCCAGTTCGCCGGTAGTTGCATTGTAGGGATAGCCCTGGATAGTTCCGTACGCTGGTATAGGGTCCGACCCATCGGCTGCCGCGTCCGTACCAGCGGCCCACAGCATCTGCTCTTGCTCGTCCCAAATCATCCCGTGTATGGCGCGCAGGCCAGTGATATTCTGCAAGATCAGCGGCTCATCCACCAGGGGATTGTCGACGCTGGAATTATAGACGAGGATGCCATCCCATGCGTTGGAACCCGTCGTACCGACCGCTACTCGATCCCCGGGCAACGGCTCCAGGGTATGAGCATTCCAGAGAAATTCATTCTGCCGGCAGACAGCGAATGTGATCAATTTGTCGGTCTCCGGGTTGTCAGGGGTATGGTTGATCATTAGCACCAGATCGCTGTAGATCGCAGCGATGGCGGTTCCGTTTTTAATCCACTTGACTTCGGTGGCATCGTTCGCGTCACTATACAAGCAGTGCCTGATGTAGGGAGGCAGGTCTTGGGTCACGTCGTCTCGCCCCCAACTCCATTTTATCCTCCCGGTTCGGTCGTGGACCTTGAGCAGCGGTGGGATTCCATACACGCCGGTAATGATGTCGTCCCAGTATTCATCCGTCGCCTCCGCTGGGGGTGGACTCGTGGGGGACGGTGTGATACTGGGTTCAGTCGTCGGGGTTTGGATGATAGACGGACCAGCATCGAACGCCTGAGTCGTGCTGGGTGGAGGAGCCACGACCTGTTGATTCCCCGGCCTCAACCTCGCCTGAGGTTGAATCGGCCGCAGGGACAGGTCGGACACCTGGTTGACGACATACAGGAACCAAGTGAAGATGTTACTCACCATGGTCTGAATGTTTCATAATTTCCCCTACGAAGGGGCCCGGCAGGGCCTGGGGGGAAAGGGGGGGGTGGCAGTCAATAAATATGGACCGTTCCCCATAGAAAGCCAAGAAATGGAAACGAGTACGAATGCATTGTTGAATTCCGATGAGTAAGATATGCTCTCTACCTATGAAATTATGATCTCCATATGCACGCGACCATGGGGGTATCTGATCCCTCTACAATTGTTAGTGACCAATAATGTGACCAATACCCGATATTATTTGGCAAGTGGATCATTGGTGGCACAATTTCAGCCACATAATAATGCCAATATTTTCTTTTTCTTGGGAATTCCTTTTTTTTTTTTTTTCTGTTCCTATTTCCGAGTATAGCCTCAGTGAGTGACCGTTGTCCGAAAACCTGGCCTTTCGTTGATAACGTTGGATTTTCTCTTCCCCCCCCCCCCTCTCTCGGCAAAACTCATAACGAGCCAAGGATACTGAAGGCCTAAAAGGGAGTCTTGCACCAGTATAGGCAACGATATTCGTCGGGTTCCCCCAGTCAATATCTGCCGTTCCCGCCAGAGTGGAGCCCAAGCGTCGTCATGCCCTAACAATCGAAACGCCGAGCGCAACCAATAACCAAGATGTTACCCCCGAGTCTGAAGCCAACTTTCATGATCCCAAAAACCTCCGAAAAGCTAGGATCCAGAAATAGTGGTGGCGTCCAATAACCAGTCAGAGCTTTCCGTGGCGTAGGGCTGATAACTGGCTTCATGGCGTCCTGTCGCGAAGGGTATGCGCGTACATACTCTGTATATAACGATCAGCGGTCAAGCTCCTGAGTGAGGAGATCTTAAACCGCTGTTCCCCCTTGGAGAATCGAGATTCCCTGTTACCCCGGGGGGGTGATCTTGGTTGTCTTCACCGTTGGATTCTCACATTCCAAGGAAAGAAGAAATCCGACGCATCCGTGCCTGCCAAGGCCCTCGGTCATCACCACCAGAATTGGTTCGGCATTGGGGCGTTCTAAGCGGTTGTTAGCTCGCTTGGCAACCCTCCAACCATTCCAACAGGGGCGAGATTGCAAGTGGGTTCCGCTTTTTACCGAAAAGCAGGCGCCCGGTGTGGCTTCTTTGGCGTTCCCAAAGCATTTACACATGGAACACATGGAATTCTGAGGACCGGTGACGATTTGACACCGAAAATGGACCATTTTGGAGGCCGGAAACGGCCGCCTTGTCGCCCATAACTTTGGACGAACCACCTGCCCTCCTGTACTGTACTGCCACTATTCTATAATATCTACTAGAACTGTTACTAGTAGGTAGTCATCCTCTGGCCTTGATCGTTACTAGCGCTTAATTTTAATGATAATTCCCTCTATTTCTACTGGCAGGCTTTGGCAACCAAAACAACGCCGAAAATAGCTCCCCTTGACGGCCGAATCTACGTGGTTTTTTTTTTTTCTCTTTTTCTTTTTCTTCCACTCTTTATTTTTATACTTTTTTTTTTTTTTATCCCGCGGCATAGAAAACCTTGGCCCTAGACAACAAAAATGCCTGCCAGTTTACGGAGTACAAAATATCAACAGGAACAGTAGGTGTTAAATAGGTATTAGATTGAAGTATCTAAGATAGAGTATGAAATTCTTATCTCATGCTACCGATCAAACACTATCTTCTGGGAGGAGACCCCTGGCATTATTATATATAATCACTTATACTCCGGATTCCCCCAATTTCTGTGATAAGGAACTAGTAAACGCACACTTCGCACGCTGTAACCCTGAAACGAAATTGGGTGCAAAGCAAGGCAAAACCGAGAGATATCACGACAACGAACGTCCTCTTTTGATAAGCTGCGGAAAGGTTGAGCGCATATTAGTTAGGCTACGCCAATTCTATATATGGGGCAAGTCGCGCTGTTCAGTCGCTAAAGATATAGTTTTATAAGTATAGGTAGAGGCCACAATGCGGCTGGAAATCGGTGTCACCACCTATAGTCTTTGATTGTATCTCGAACCTTAGTACGAGAGAACATTAATCTATGTTAGCATAGTCCCAGAATAACTCTATTTATTGCTTATCATAGCTACTGCCTCGGTGCCCTACGTCCAACATTCTCATCCAACCAGTCTTGTATAGCTTTGATGGAGGGCTCGATGATGGCTTTACTATTCAATAGGAGCAGCAATCCAATACTCCATTGGCAAATCCTCACCACTGAATAGGCAAGCCAAATCGAATAATACACTTAAGGCAGTGATATGGTAGCACTCGACGCCATCTGCGATTCACATAAAAGGTCAATATCATAGATCATTTTGCTCACAGGAAATCAGAGACTAATATCACCATATTATATATTAACCCCGCTGTCTAAAGCAAAGTGATAGTGGGAGCGAAAAATCGGCTCTCAAGCCCATCTCTTAAGAGATAGAATTCCCAGCAGTAACTGCCTTTAACTCTGGGCACTTTACAAATAGAGCAGTCACTCGCTCTCCGGAATTCAGTTATGGAGAATGAATGCTGCCTCTTTGTCGTCCTCATTTTTCCCTAGTTGCCCTGCCCGATTAGGAAACTGTACTTCGAATATTTACGTATCTTTTGAACGTTGTCAAGTTCAATACGGTGCCGGCGGCTGGCATGTCCCAGGGCGGAGAGGCCTTTTTTTCCCATCGGTACTTTGCCCTTTCCGTCAAAGGACAGTCTATAGCTTCTTTCTAGGAATAGCTGGTATTGAGTACTTGGGCCCAATGCCATATCCTCTCCCGCATCCTTCTCCATAGCCTGGTTGTTGGCGTGGACGTGGTGGATACAGCTTGGTAGATCGTCGTAGGCTCTATTCTCCCCCTAATTCGATAACGGAAGCAGCGCGATGGCATGTGGCCACCATCGGCCTGCAGAGTTAGACCTATTTTCGAGCATGATAGACGGAAAGGGACTGCGAATAGATGGCGGAGTGCGAGCACTGCCCTGCCTTAGCGTCTTTGCTCCAACTCTACTACTGGTGATATTAGCCGAGCTATAGCGTAGTAAATCATGATCTATTATATCCTTGGTGTCAAATGCAGACCAAATGGAGTAGAGGGATGTATAACTTGTTCAGCGTGTATAGAAAAACGACAAGAGTCTGTTTGCTGGATTTTCGGTGTCTAAAGATAAACCCCTTATCGTCTCTTCTGAACCTGAAAAGATAACAAATATAATTGCTTCGCTCAAACCGGATTCTTGCTTAGGATTCCGGTCGTGAGATCTTCAGCAGCAGGCTCCCCGCAGTTTAATTAATTCCAGCGTTGCCGCTCAGTTGGGACGCCTGATCGGTTAGGCACTTGGATAACCTAAGGTAAGGCCCCCAGCATTAACTATACTTCAAAGTGTTATTTCACTGCAGATCTAGTATCTGTAGGGTTGGCATACACGCTTCGTTTCCGCAGAACGGCGATGTAAGACATCTCCTAGATTATGTCGGGCCTGTTAGTGGTTGAATGTTCATGTTTTCCTGCCGGGGTTTATGGGCCCCCAAACTTGGCCCCGTGTAGATCTTGAGAGCACCATCGCGCCAGAATCATATTTTACGTATTATTACTGTCATATATAGATATTGCTATGGGAATATATGTGACATATGTTTAGAATACTGTAACGTATAGCTTGACAGGCATGGCATCCTCTGCGCAAGGGCGGGCTGTGTCAAGGCCTGAGGACGATCATCCTATATGGGTTGTGTTTTCGAGGATATTCGGAACTGATGTTGGCTTTTGGTCTAACATGGTATGGACAGCGATACACGGGCTCACAGAATCAGCTGCGAGGCCATGACTTGAAAAATATTGCTTGGCGTTTTCAAGGAAAGGATATAAAAGTCTCTCAACAGTCCTTCCTTCTCAATCCATACTCAGCTTTGTCCCCCCCCCCCAAAACAATCAAATCCTCTCTTGCATTTTTTTTTCCTTGAAACTATTCTTCCGTTGCTTCTACCAATATGCGCTTTCAAGCTCTCCCCGTTCTCGCTGCCGTGCTTGCATTCCCTACCCTTATCTTGGGTGAGCCGGATTGCCCTTATGGTGGCAATTGGTACTGGAGTCACGAAGCGGCAAGAAGTGCAGCCGCGCATGGAATCGACAAATGGTGTAATAACATTGCCCCTTCCACGTTTAAAGGCGGGCAAGAGGTGAAACAGTGCCTTGAGGTCGATTATGATCCGAAGAATGTTAATCTGTGGATGAAAAACGACAACTCGGGTGATAAGGTCCTCTCCATCGACCAGTGCAAGAAGTTGCTCAAGAAGATCGTCGATAGTTGTCCTGCGGGTGGTTCTGACCGCACTAATGATGGCTGGGCACCACAGTGAGTTTTACCACTAGGACAAGAGACGGTTGGGGCTAATTTATGATTTCCAGAGCGACACCTGGTGGTGCCTGTTGGGTCTAGATCCCAGGTCCACGTAATGATGTACTGAAGACAATATCATCAGAGTGCCAAATACTGGTATTTAGGAGGCTCGAGGGAGACTTTGGGGGGTAGTTCGGGGAGATGTATCAGGTTGAGATGGTGGTTCACGTTTGAGCTTCTGGTTGTTCTGGGCTGGTGACTAGTTGAGTTTACACATTGATCTAGAGTTGAATCCGATATGTTCAACAAACGTGCTTTTATATATGATTTAAGACCACCGATGATTCTGCCTCTGGTTGACACTTTGACGCAAACTTAAATGCTCAAACTACAGAGCATGAAGAAGACTGTAGCTTTTTGCCGACTACCCAAAGGCCGAAGCACTCCTAGCTCGGGATGCTACGACTGAACAGGGACGACAATAGACAATTTCAAAATAGTTAGTATTGGTCACGTATTAGCTTGGATCAGATAGTGTATAGATAACGACATAGGAGATTGATCTTCTGGGGCTATTCTTAATTTATATGGTATAGTAGACCTTGACATTAGGGTTCGAGAGACAATTGAAGACGTGTAGATGGTGACACGGATTCCATGCCCTCCACAATCAAATTCTGACATGCTTCCACCTGGATGGGAGCATGTGATAGTGTGTGTATATGGGGCAAGAGTTTAGTATTTACGTACTCCATACTCTGTCCGGAGCAAATAAGATCCACCTGAAGTATTGGTTACGGAGTATCCGTGTGGAGGACACCCTATCAGGCTGTCCGTACTATCACTACGAAGAATAATATATCAGACTTGGCCAGTGGGGACTTTGAAATCTGATGACATAATCAGACATATTTTGAACTTTTTCTTTTTCTTTCCTTTTTTTTTTTTTTTTTCTTTCCTTTTTCCTTTTTTCTTCTATGTTAACACTATGTTTTTCTAGTTCTAGTATTGCGCCTTTTATGCAAAAAGCCAGAGGTATCCACCTTTACACGTTAGAGGTGTGAACCTACGCTCTAGATTACACCAAATTTGTTGACACATCGAATCATCTATATCTATACCTTGAACTCGTAAACGGATGTCCCAACCAGACAGCCGCAATCTCACTCAGAGGAATCATGTTGAGTTCGAGTTGTCAGCGCACGACCAAGCGGCTGACCCACCAGATGCATTGTAGGTATCAATGACACTCACAATGCATCCATAGGTACCAGCAACCATAAGAAATGTGCCAATCACGACCACAAAGACACTCCAGCAGACCATGAACATCCACCGGGGAGACCTTTCTTGTTTACCTTTGCTCCAATTGTCATACAGCCACATACAACCCATGGGCTGAAACGACATGAGGGTTCCTAGCAAGGCACCGATAAGCGAGACGAGGCTATTGAAGACGGGGATCGCGCTCGCTATCACATAGGCAATTAGAGTGATTCCAAAGGTACAGCCGAGCCATGTTCCCCAGTGGATCAGCGAGTTAGCTGTCAGATGTCTGGAACCGCGGAGGATGCGGATAAAGATGTATTTTGCCGGGATCTACGGAGCCGTTAGTGCATGCAGCGTACAGGGGATCTATCTGCAAATGGTATTACGTGGGTGACCAGGGTGGTCGTGACTAGCAACCCCGGCAAGGCAAAGCCGTAAGAGATCTTTTTCATCGTCGGCCCAGCGGAACCAAGGGCTGGGGAAGCCACATACGACCCGCAGTAATAGTAGACTACACAGCCGATCGTAATGTAAACCGCGGTCACTCCTGCCTGACAGATGAGCAGCGAGCGAGTATAATGACGAGGATCACGCATCTCCGATACGATATTGAAGAATCCGGGCGTGCCCGAGTATGCAAAGACTAACGATGACACCGCCGTGATCCCCTCGCTGAAGCCCGGGTTGTTGACAATTTTGAAGTCGGACACCCAGACGCCATCTTTCGGTGCAGACGCGGGCCGTTCCTCAACCCCAACAGCGATAGTCACCATGAGAACTGGTCAGGTTGTCAGACAAGAGCCACGGGATTGGAAGGGGAAGAAAAGGCTTACTTGCGGTCAGAATGCACACAAGCCCAATCCACGCCAGCCAAGTGATATGGCCAAGGGTCCGAATGCTGGAGAACATGAATCCGAGGATAGCAGCAACGGCCACAAACACCGCAGTACATACCCCATGCGTGGAGACCGCGTTCAGACCGATGGAGAGACTGAGCATGCCGGAGCCAGACACAAAAATCCAATCTAATACACTATCAGCAAGTGGCTTCCACTATACGTGGGCAGGCTAGTTTATACAAAGGCAAAAGGCAGCCCCCAGAAACTCACGACCAACACGGCCAAAAATGATCGCACCAACGTCGTCGATACTAAAGACCGAACGATGACGGAGTTTGAAAGCACCGATCATGTAATTCGACCAGGTCGTGATCACTGCAATAGCTAATAGGCAGACGATACCGGGGACAATTCCTAGTGTATCAAAGGCGGTTGGAATGGAAAGGACCCCCAGGCCAATCTGAGACTTCATCATGAGCGCGACGGTTCCTATCCATCCTACCTATCAGAGAGTCAGTCTGTGTACGAGATGGCGCCTTTGGGAAGGTGCGTACATTACGATAGTTGGGACCATTCTCGGTGACTTCGCCAAACACATCATCGGTAACATAGGTGGGCACATCCCGGACTTCCCCGGCCTGGGAAGGCACTGGAGCCAGCTCGTTAGGGTCTTCTTTGGTTTTCAACATCGTGGGGAATATGTGCGAACCAGCGCTAAAATGGAGTTCAGAGTCCCAACGTAGAAGTGGGACGCTGGTGCCTTTTTAAACCTGTGTTTCATCCCCGTTAGCTTGGCTTAGCGCAGTCCGTCGTTATCATCGCTTCATTTGAGCAAGCAGAGCGGGCCTGTGTCTGATAGCGTCGGGCTGGGCTGACATGACACAGCCACTGATAGAATATGAAGCCTCAATGCTCTGAAAAGCATACATAACAGAATCCCCTTATCGTCATATCGAGATTTCCCCGCAAACCCCATACCCACTTCGTGGATAAGATCGACCATCGGGTACGCAGCCGATGATCAAGGTCGCAGATAATTCGGCGGTTGACTGGGCACCGGGAAGGCATCCGTGGTCCACCTTCTCCTGGTAATCGCCAAAAGACTTGCGGGGGAGACGTCACAGTGGTGGAGCCCGTTATCTCCAGCCAGAGCAAGACCTCAAATGATGTTTCTGGACGCTGAATACCTCGCATCCGGAGGTTCCGTTCTTCTGACCTACACCCCGTCGGGGCATTTGGGGAGCAATTGCGTGGTACCGTGGTGATCCTCATATATTCATGGAGTTAGTTAGCAATGGAAACTAGCGGGCCATTAAGCTCTTTGGGTTTCAATCAGCATTGGCGCTTGTTTCAACCTCAGTCGGATAGACGTCCGTAGGCCAAGTAGCGGACGGTCCGGATTTCTTTACCAGACGCGGTAGGAAAATGATGGTGGCCAAGAAACCACCGAACTTTTCTTTTACCAACGGGTGCGAAAAATGCTCGACACTTACACCTCGAGATAGTGTTACTATTGGTCATAGTTAGAAGAAACTCGAGTTGTTGTTATCATCGAAATACAAAGCAATTATATGTCCACACACAACGGAAAGCCATACCGGTATCAGCTGCACGAGATCGGGAGAGCTCCAGATGATAAGAATTCATTAGAACTCATTACTACGGTATCCCAATATGGCAGTAAAATCCGTGCTTATCGCGGCCCGGCCAAAAAAAAAGTGTTTATCAAGGGATGATGCTTGTGGATACCACGGGGAGAAGGGGTGGTGGACCCCTATCGTCGACGCAATGGTCAACGGGCTCGAAAGCGACTGCCCCAAGGTTCATAGGCGTGACTGGAAGAAGAAGATGCATTCCTCATGGGAGAACTGAACCTGTGAACCTGTGAACCAAATCATATTCGGGGTGTGCAATCACTCGTGATCTCATGATATTTGATGGTATTACAACGTCGAGGGCCTGTATCATAGATGTAAGTTGTATAATAGTTAAATGTCCCTGCGATGACTAAGAGACTTAAAATATGCCATCCAGAGAGATTACATCGATCGGCATCTTTGTAACAACATCCCGATGAGGTTTCCCGGTTGTAGTTCCGTCTTCTATCGCGTGTCTTCTCCGTAGAGTAAGACATTGAGAAGGAGATAACCAAGATAATGGTCACCTGACAGGTTTGGGGGCTGCGTATCTCGTGTTCAATTGGTTCTATAGAGTGTAATCCGATGAAAGATGCAGAGTCCAGTTACTACGAGCAAGCTCGGCGTGGGAGACCGATATGAGAGACGCATCTACGGGAGAGCTTCCCTTCGGTACCGGGGAATTGCCCCAGTCATGTCGCACGTATCCGTGGGTCAGAACCGTGGTTTGGCTTCTTTATCAATGACCCCGCGGGGTCACCAGCTTTTGTCCAGATCCCTTACCCCGGGAGGCCAGCCGATAGAGTATCATGAGACCATGGTTCTTCAAATTAGTGGATAAGCAAGGAGGCCGTATATGTATATATAGAGTACTTAGCTATCAGGAGACAGAGAAACATCACTATAGAATCTTGCTGGATAATCTCTCTATTGCTTGGTCCAGCTATCCGACGAAACATACCAAGCAATGGTTATTATACATTCCGGCAAAGCCGCGCCACTCGCAACCCTAGGAACCTTCACATCACGATGTGGAGTAGGCACACAGCTCAATAATGTTGGCAAATGCCGACTAAGAGTGCGCTCCGTGTCGACTTCAGTGTTGGCTGAAACCAAGAGTGCCCCCAATGCCACCCTTCCGCCTCCTCTGTCAGCTCTGCCCACCAGCATGTTACTCCGATCCTTGCTGGTGGCTGCTATCACGTCCAAACCATACCTCCTCAAACCGTCTCTTTCGATTCTATCCCTCCTGTCGAAGTCAGGCAATGGCCTTTTGTTGAACGTAGACCGCAATATCATTCTTCACACCATCCTCAAATGGACGTTTTACAAGCAATTCTGCGCTGGTGAAAATGGCCGGGAGACCCAAGCCACCGTGCAGATGTTCAAGGATCTGGGCTTTCGGGGTACGCTCCTCACATACGCAAAGGAAACTGTTTTCGATCATTCCACCAAGAGTCAACACGGCCTTGGTGTCACCACGGACCAGGCAAACGGCACGGGACATTGTGAGCATATCGAGGCTTGGCGCGAGGGCACAGTAAAGACAGTCGACCTGCTCGGTGAAGATGATTATTTGGCTATGAAGTATGTGATCCCTCACAACCTCGTGCCCAACGTATTGCTGACTTTTCAGGTTAACTGGCGCCGGACCCGCCGTGACGGAAGCTTTCGCTGCCGGCGAACTGCCCCCTGTACAGATGATCGAAGCATTGGAAGAAATCTCCGAAAAGTGCAAAGCCAAAGGCGCTCGCATTCTCATTGACGCTGAATCCCAACATTTCCAGAAGGGAATCGCACGTGTGACCATTGATCTCCAGCGCAAGTACAACCGGGATGGATACGCACTCGTTTACAATACCTACCAGGCTTATCTCAAGAGTACCCCAACTACTCTGGCCACTCATCTCACTGCTGCTAGTGAGGAAGGATTCACTCTTGGACTCAAGCTTGTACGAGGCGCCTATATGGCCTCCGACGATCGATCTTTGATTCACGACACGAAACAGAACACTGATGACGCCTATAACTCTATTGCACAGGGTGCACTGCGCCAGGAGCTGGGAGAATTTGGCGCCAGTAACGGCCGCCCCTTTCCCTCCGTGAACCTCTTCCTCGCCAGCCACAACAAGGAAAGTGTCATGGCTGCTCACCATCTACACCAGCAGCGCCTCGCCGCCAAGTTGCCCACTGTGCCGGTTGGCTTCGCCCAGCTGCACGGTATGTCGGACGATGTCAGCTTTAGTCTGCTACAATTGAAGGGACCTGATGGGTCTCCTCAAGTCTACAAATGCTCCACGTGGGGTGGAATGGGGGAGTGTCTGGCATATCTCCTCCGCCGCGCCATTGAGAACCGTGATGCTGTGTCAAGAACACAGGATGAATATCGGGCATTAAAGTCGGAGGTTGGAAGAAGACTGAAATCCCTTTTTACGTTCTCGACGTAGGCTATACTATATTTTAGAAAGAAATATATTTTACGATTATCATGACTTCAAAAAAAAAAACCATCTGTTTTCATTTCACTGCCAGTAGCCATAGACTGTATTGTCGCTTAGCTTGCCCTAGTGGCCCACAAGTCACCTAAGATTTCTACCTCCCTTCCTCCCTTGTGGGATTGATTCATCATAAAACCAGAGGAACCACCGATAAAGCGTCATAATTGAGGGGTACTCGAGTCGTCCCAGAATTCCGTGGTTCGGGGTGTAAAGCCGTCAGTTTATCTTATCGGTTCGGAAGTCCGTCCGACTTGAACTCCACCAGATCAACATTCCGTCTGCTGCAACCCCACCACTATCTTGATACTTACTTACTTACTCTCTTCAAATTGAAAAGTCCTCTGTTGTTGAAGACAAACAAACAAACAGCACAGAAAAAAAATTTTTCTACTATTCAATCTTGAGCAAAATGGCGAATTCTACGCTTTGTATTCTGGGCTGCGGTAGGTAACATGTCTTCGGTGTGACCATAGCAATTTTTACTAACCATTCCCTAGGCAACTTGGGCGGCGCTATTCTGAAGAGCTTGGTCGATGGTCCCAAAGACAAAGAGGGGAGCGCGCCTTTCACCCGGTTCATCGCCTGTGTCCGGAGTCAAGAATCCGAGGCGCGATTGAGTGCGAAATTCTCCAACCATTCGCAAAGCTTGACGATTGCCCGAGACAACATCAAGGCTGTTCAAGAGGCGGATGTTGTAGTTTTGGGTGTGGACCCCGCTGTCGTTGAAAAGGTGCTATCAACTCCTGGCCTCAGCGAGGCCTTATCGAACAAGCTCCTCATCAGCGTCGCTGCTGGCTGGACCCGGCAGAGGCTTGAGACCACCCTGTATGGTAGTCCGACGACAAGCAGCAATGCCGAAGGTCGGGCGTGGGTGGTGCGCACGTTGCCGAATATCGCTGCATCAGTCTCGCAGGGTCTCACAGCCATTGAGATCTCAGATCCAGAGGTTCCCGAACACTACCAGAAGATCACAGATGCGGTCTTTGAAAACCTGGGAAAGACAGTCCACATCCCTCCAACTCTGATGGATGCAACGACGGCGGTGGCCGGATCAACTCCCGCATTCTTTGCCGTGATCGTCGACGCGATGATTGATGCCTCCGTGGCGGTTGGCGTGCCGAGGGACCTGGCACGGACCATGATAGTTCAGGCGATGACCGGAAGCGCAGCCCTTATGCAAAATGGAATGCATCCGGCCGTCCTGAGAGATCAGGGTACGTCGCCTGAAGGGTGTACCATTGGAGGTTTGATGGTTATGGAGGAGGCCGGGGTGCGCGGTCATATCGGGAGAGCCTTACGAGAAGCCGTCACCATTGCGCGCCTTATGGACGGCACCCGTCATTTGAATGATACTAGAGAGTAGCGAATTTATAGAAGTAATGAAAATTGATTATCAATTTAATTTAACTCATTTCTCATGCTATTTGTTCTATATATTGCTTGATTTCTATGGGTATTACCGTCATCGATTTTCAATAGCTACAGATCAATCACACTGTTCATGAAAGAACTCTCGTAAGCCAATATTCGTCAAACAGCCAAATCCAAAGGCTGGAATAATCCGAACACAGCGAATGACTGTGGCAGATGGTAGATGTTTTCGAATGGTAGCGACTCGATCCGCCCATAAGACCCCCGACTGGCGGTTGTATAGATCGAGGCCGAGGAGATGTAAAGGAGTAGCCACCAATTGCGACAAGACCGGTACAAGGATCTGTGTGATAACCATCTTTGAACTCGGCTGGGAGGCGAGACTATCGGGAATCATCGACGAGCACCACGAGGCCAGGGTGAAGGAACCAAAAATTGTGACTCCATCGCGGAGAAGGAAGGTCGCCGTTGCGGCTTTGGAGGCGATCTTGCTAGACACCTTAAGAGCATCCTTTGCACTCGATTCGATACGACTTCCGAAGAGCTGCGCAAATCGGATATCCTTCCAGACACCAAGAGGGACATTGACGATGAACGTCGTTGCAAATGTAATCGGGTCAACTCTGGCTGGGCAAATCTCTTTTGTGATCGTTTCTGTTCCATTGGCGACCGCATAAGTAGCTCCATATAAGGTCCACATAAGACCATATGGGCGCGAGAAAACAAATGCGCCCGGTCGTTTCAGAGCAGCAATCGTGTGAGTACGAAGGCTTTGAAGAAGGGGTCTGTCGGACGAGGCTCGTTCGACCAGGGCTCTGGAGGTTCTTGATCAGCGACCGGTCCCAAGTCGACCATTGTCCATCCCAACATACCGATCAATGATGGTCACCGTCGGCGCGATCAATGAGGCCGAAACTGCAGCAGCAGTCAAGTCTCCGGCGAGTCTCCCCGCGACGGAGCTGCTCCAATCGCCATGGAGGGTCTGTGATGCCGTGTAGCTCATTGTTCTGTTTTCCTCAATAGTTGTTCCCTTGGTGGTCGCCATCGTATCCTTTCCTCAACCGGATGAGCACCCTTGATCGAGCGAGAAAGAGGGCGAACCGGCCGAGAGAGGAGGGGCACTTGATTGCGCTTGCTTCCATGAGTAATAGTCTTCTCTATCATCGGTCACACGTATCCAGACAGACGGACATTCGGCTTCCCTCCCGACGGTGCATGATAGCTATCAATGGGTGGCGTGGGGAAACCCCAGACTTAGCGTCGGATGCTTTTCCGAAATCTCCAATTCATAAGAAGCTTGCCCGCAGCTTCGAATTGCTGTTCTGGCTTTCACTCTCATCCTCCTCACCTCAATCAATCATGTCTTCTACTAAGATGCTTTCCATGAGACTGTCCAACACTGCGCGCTCCTCTGCGCGCAGTTTGCGACCCTTCCCCAGTGCGACTTTGCAAATCCGCACCAAGGCGACCATGCCTTTCAGACTCCCCGATGCCAGAAATGAACCCAACGTGAGTGCAAAAGGAATCACACAGTTTCAATTTCTATTTCCTATTTGTTCGCGACTAATGTATTTTGGTCGTAGCCACACTACACACGAGGCTCTCCCGAGCGCGCCAAGGTAGAAGCAGCCTTGAAGGAGCTCCGGTCTCAACTCCCCGTCAAGAGTGAAGTCTACTACAACGGTGTGGCACAGAATGTCTCCAAGTCGGTGGATCAACCGATGCCTTCAGAGCATGCTACTACCTTCACCAACTACCCCCTTGCCTCCAAGGAGCAGGTCGCTGCTTCCATAGAATCGGCTCTCAAGGCCAAGAAGAGCTGGGAGGAGACTCCCTTCGTCGATCGCGCATCGATCTTCATGAAGGCGGCCGAGTTGGCCACGGGCAAATACCGGTATGAGTTGATTGCTGCGACCATGCTGGGTCAGGGAAAGAATGTCTGGCAGGGTGAGATCGATGCCGCGGCCGAGTTGGCAGACTTCTTCCGTCAGAACTGCAACTGGGCGGCGGAATTGATGGAGAAGCAGCCCACCCGGGGCACTGATGGCATGTGGAGGTATGTACTGCCCGGCGCAATTGAGAGAGAAGTGCCTAGCTAACTCGTGTAGCCGCATGGAATACCGAGCCCTTGAGGGATTCGTGTACGCTGTCTCACCCTTCAACTTCACCGCATTGGGTGGCAGCTTGGTCTCGGCTCCGGCCTTGATGGGTAACGTGGTCGTGTGGAAGCCCTCGCCATCCGGCATCTACGCTAGCAACTTGGTTTACAAGATTCTGCTCGAGGCTGGTCTGCCTCCAGATGTTGTGCAGTTTGTGCCCGGTGATGCCGAAGAGGTCACCAGCGTGGCTCTCTCTCACCGCGACTTTGCTGGCTTGAACTTCATCGGCTCGTCCGACGTCTTCCGTAGCATCTATGGCAAGATCGGCGAGGGTATCGCGAACAAGACCTACCGGGAGTTCCCTCGTGTGGTCGGCGAGACCAGCGGCAAGAACTTCCACCTCATCCACAACACCGCGGACATCACCAGCGCGGTCAACCACACCATCCGCGGTGCTTTCGAGTACCAAGGCCAGAAGTGCTCGGCCACTTCCCGTGTTTACCTCCCTGAGAGCCGTGCCGAGGAGTTCTTGACGGCTCTGAAGGCTGGTGTCAAGGAAATCACCATCGGCAGCCCCGACAAGGACTTTGAGGCCTTCATGGGCCCTGTCATCCACCGCAACTCCTTCAACAAGATTAAGTCGATCATCGATGCCAGCAACAAGGACCCCAACCTCACCTTACTGGCTGGTGGTACCTACGATGACTCGGTTGGCTACTACGTGAACCCCACTGTCTACCAGGCCCACACTCTCGACCACTCCCTGTTCAACCAGGAGATCTTCGGACCCGTCTTGGCCATCTATGTCTACCCTGACTCCGAGTGGAGCTCTATCCTGAAGACGGCCGATCAGCAGGGTGGCGGCTTCGCGCTCACCGGTGCTGTCTTCGCCAAGGATCGCCGTGTGATCCGTGAAGCTGAGGATGCTCTGCGCTACTCCGCTGGTAACTTCTACATCAACTGCAAGACCACTGCCGCTCTGATCGGACAACAGTCCTTCGGTGGTTCTCGTGCCAGTGGTACCAACGACAAGGCTGGTAGCTCCGACAACTTGCGCCGCTTCACCAGCCCCAGAATGATCAAGGAGGAGTTCTTCCCCATTGATGGCTTCACCTACCCTAGCAACCACTAGAAACTGTCATGACTCCATGAATTTCAATCTTATGAAGGGAAAGATGTATATATAGTTTAGATCGTTTTCAAAATTTTACGTTGTTCACATTTTTAATTTTATTTTGCATATTTCTCCGTATATCACCAACAAACCCGTAAACTCGTAAGCTGTTTAATTTTTACCTATATTACAATGGAGTTATAATCTTGAGTCTGTAAGAGAGGATTTCCTCGTCTCTCTGTCTCTCTCTCTCTCTCTCTCTTCCTCCCTCTGTATGTATGTGTGTGTGTGTGTGTGTGTATCTTTCTCTCTCATCCTCAATTGGCCAATTAAAATCAAATATTATGTGTCTGGATACTATGCCTGTAACTTTTTTCCCAATAAAGGACATCACACGATCCCATGCTGCATCAAAACCCTCACACCGCATCCACCAGGCACGGCAAGGAACACACCACAACCATAGAACCACACGATGTATGGTGGCAACCCCTCATCGGCATGCATCCCGAGGATTGATATTGATATGGGGCGATAAGCTATAAGTGGGGCTCGGTGTGGAATCCCCCGCATCCAAGCTGTTATCGGGAGAGAGTCTGGGCTATCGCTATCTGGCCCTTGACCGGCAACGTTCCCGGGCATTCACGTCCTTCCCGGTAGTTCTGGGGCAGCTTGCATGTATATATAAGAACGGATCACACTCTCGATAGTGGTGAATAGGAGACAGCCTTCACGAATTCTACGAATTGACCGTCATGGTTTCCAAATCTACGCCCATTGCCATCGTCGGAGGCGGTGCCTTCGGCCTCTCGACGGCCCTCCATCTGGTCCGGGATGGCTATAACAACATCTCCGTCTTTGAACAAGATGACCAGATCCCTCCTCGCCCCTCAGCTGCCAATGACCTGAACAAGATTGTGCGCGCCGAGTATGAAGATCCGTTCTACACGGACCTGACCATGGTTGGTCACTCCAGTGCCCCATCTGCCCGTTTTACCCTCCTTCTAACCCAGAATAGCAAGCGATCGCCCTGTGGAAAACTCCCCTCTTCGCCCCACACTTCCACCAGACAGGCTTCCTCCACTGTGTCTCGGGGACAGCCCCCGAGAGAGCGGTTGACACGCTCAAACGGTTCCAAGCCGCCGCCAACGACCACCCCGAGCTCAGACAACATGTCGTACCCCTCGAGAAAGATAACGAGATCCGGCAACGGTTCTGGCAGTATGACGGCCAGTTCCCCGGCTGGAATGGATACCTCAATACGTTTGATGGCTACGCGCATTCTGGAAATGCCTTGAAGGCTGTGTACCAGGCGACCCAGAAGGCGGGTGTCCGCTTCTTCCTGGGCGCGCAGCATGGCGCTGTCGCCGAAGTGACCTACAAGGATGGCAAGAGCACTGGCATCCGAACGAAGAACGGACAGTTCCACCCCGCAGAGCTTGTGATCGTCGCGGCCGGAGCTGCAGCCGCCAAACTAGTGCCGGCCATCGGATCCCAAGTCGTGGCCAAGTCGTGGTCGGTCGCACACGTTCACCTCACAGAGGAGGAGACATCCGCGCTACGGGGCATTCCCATCACCTACGCGCGCGACCTGGGATTCTTCTTTGAGCCCGATCCCGTCACCCGGCTCTTGAAGTTGTGCCCCATGGGCGGTGGATACGTCAACACGGATCCCGCCACCGGTGTCTCGCACGCCCCCTCCGTCTCGGACAGCGCATTCGTGCCCCCGGAGGATGAAGCCAAGATCCGCCAACTGCTGGCCCACACACTCCCCACATTGGCCAACCGGCCATTGGTGCGGAAGTCCCTCTGTTGGTTCGCGGACACGAGTGACTCGGACTTTATCATTGACTACGTTCCGAACACCTCGAACTCGGTGGTGCTGCTGTCCGGTGACTCCGGGCATGGTTTCAAGATGTTCCCTCTGTTCGGCAGCTGGGTGAAAACTTTCCTCGGGGCCCCCAACAAGCAACAGCCCGTGCCGCGCTGGCGCTGGAAGGAACCCCAGCAAAATGGTAATGGCAAATGGGGCGACGCAGTCAGTTGGCGGATCGGGCAGACCAGGGAATTCAAAGATATTCAACCTGGCAAGCCGAAGCTTTGATTGTCTCGTACGTGCACTGTTATTATAACTTTCTGTTCTCTATTTTACGATGTACTTGAAGCGATTGCACTATCTTATAGGAAAGAAGGTCATAGATCACAATTATATATATATATATATATACATCATCATTTTTCACACCGTCTCTCCCATGCGCTTCGAACCCTTCACATAGCAACTACGTACCTATGTAGTGTCCGATGAACAGAAACGAACACCCCCTTGTTGACCAAGAATTTCGTTTCATTTTGGGTCGATATGAATCGTAAAGCTGCACCGGTGCCATCATTGAGTGTGTGTTGAAACCTAGGGTACACCTTGCCGATCGGTTGGTCTCCCGTTCGGCAGCCTTTCCGGATCACGTGCAGGAAGATGCAACGAACGCTTTGCCTTTTCCCCGACTTTGACCTTCAAAAAAGTATTCAAAAAGACCGAGAGAGGACGGAGAACGTCGTTGAACAACCTCCGCATGTCCATTGCTTGGCAAGTAATTCGTGTCTCATTTCTATGGGATATCATCGCTTCTATAACAATAATCATAAAACTACCAGATGTGATTCTCCGTGACCGCGTGCGCAATCCAATCCACATCCCCCGTGTCGATCGACTCCGCCACGGCCATGATCTCCGCCGTCGTCAGTCCCGGATGTAGATTGGGAATGTCCGAAATCCCAAACACCCGATCCGGGGTGGACGGGGAGGGGAGTCGGGAGATAATACGATCGAGCTGCGCCCCCTTCCTGCCCAAGTCGGTAGTGTGAACGACTCCGTCGGAGGACAGATGGCTCAGCATCCCGGCCAATTGCTGCAACTCGGACTTGCGAAACCCGGCGATCAGATTCCCGCGCGAGATCATCTCGTCCAATACCGTGACGCTGCTGTGGAACCACGGAGTCCAGTCGTCGAGCAGGGACGCGTCGGCGGCGGGGGCGGTTACCAGGACTACGGCGGCGGTATATGTGGCTTCGAGGTCGAACGGGAGGAAACTGTCTAGACGTCGGTCAGCGGTGCCCACCCCGGAGTCCGCGAAGGGGTCCGTACCTAGGAGATTCTGCCGCTGGAGGACGGTGAGGATGTTCAGGATTTGCTGCGCCGAGTCGATGCAGACCTGCAGCAGCTTGCGTACGTTGGCCGACGAGTTCAGGGATTCGAGCGAACTGTCGGTGGTTTGGATTCGCATCTTCAAAAAGCAAAATAACACCGGTCGGGTGGCCAACACGATGCACTGCGACTCGTCAGAAATAAGCCATCACCGGACCAGAAGGAGCAAAGGGGTCAGACCTGATGGTAGAGTAGATGTAAGTGCGCCGATAGTCGGGATACACCGCTGATCGAGGACTCGTCCAAGCGCAAGTCGTAGCATTTCCGAAGCTCCGTGACCAACTCGGCCGCGCTGGCGAGAGCACTCTTCGTTCGCAACAGGAAATTCCGATTCAAACGCCCATCCGGCCCATAGACACCTCGGACCGTCAGCACAAGCCATATAACCATGTCTGTTGAGCAACTTACTGCTGTTGATTTCCTCCATGATCTGGCACACCTTGATTTGCATACTGAGGGCGATCGCCTTCTGGGGCGATCCCGGGAAGTAGGGAAGCTGGTGATGCAGCTGATCGTCGCGGATGGATTGCGGTAACCCCATCAACGAGGTCATCTGGCGATCGAGGATGTAGATGGTCCACCAGATCCGACGGCATCGCTGGACGATGGCGTCCCCTAGGTGCTCCGCGGACATATCGGTGTGCATTCCCTGGGCTTGGGCGATCCGCGCTGCTTGGCCAATCTACACGGTTAACGACATTGCGGTACTGCGGAGGACCCGTGACTTACATAATTGTGGGCCGAGTTGCGAAAGTCGAGCGATTGCAGATACAGTGCAATGCAGCAGAGAATCTCGGTGGCGACGATGGGATCTCGGCAGAGGTTGGTGGTGTCTGGCAGCAACTGCAACGCCTTGGTAAAGAACTCACAGCCGGACGGTCGACTCCCTTGATTGCGCTGCACGACAAAGGCCTTGCCAAACGCCAGAATGAGCAAGTAATGGATATACCACAAGCCCGAATGCGCCATCTGATGCTCTGGATTCTCGTAGAAGGCATACAAGCCCCCCATGAAGGTATCCTCGTCGAAGAGGTGGAACAACTGACCCGCATGGAACTTGACGGCGTTGATGAGGTAGATGGAGAAGTCTAGGGGCGGCGCCATAGGAATATCGTTGGTCACGGTGGTCCTCGTGCCCTCCCAGCCCAGATCGTATGCGGACCCGTCAAAGTAGAGACTCCCCGTCGGCAAGGGTGCGTTGTATAGATGCTCATGCGTCATGCTCAGAATCTTTCTCGCGAAGGACCAATTGGACGAGGTTCCTAGGTAGACTACACCACAGGCTTCTGTTCAGCCCTGCGAACGAAGGTGGGAAAGGGAGGCGATAGAGGCAAAAGAACTTACAGATTCGACCGGATGCTGCCGCCATAAACGTCGACGGACCCGACGACAATGGGTTTGTTAATTGTGAAGCGCCTTCGAGGTTCTGACCCCATTCCTGTTCACCTTCGACGGCCAGTTCGTCGCCTCCTAGAATCGGATCGCTTTGGATGGCACGTCCGGTTGCGTCCGGCAGCGACGCCTTACCCTCCGTCGGCCGGAGCACCTCCTGTTCCATACTCTGCGGACTGTATACTTCATCCTCGCCGCCTTTGAGGAGTGCTAGCTTGCGCTGGAGGTCTTCGAGGTATCTGGGGAGAACAAGGGTTATGGTTAGCTGCGGCTTTCGCACGGACAGGAGAGCAGCCAAGGCGTCTCACCCCCGGGTAACAAGAATCTTCTGGTCCCGATCATCAAACGTGCAGGTTGATTTGCGCTTGCTACAAGTGTCGCACGGCTGCGATCCCGAGCATTTGATCTTTTGTCTTCGGCATCGTTGGCAGCTATAGTAAGGGTCTTCGGGTTAGCGAGATGTGGCGAAATGGCATGCCGAGAACAGGAAGCAACTGACGCATTAGACGAGCGCTTCTTGACGCGGTGTTCTTTATTATGTGAGGCTTCCATGGATTTGGAAGGCGACCTGTGCTTTACAGAGATCATGGTTGAATGAGCAGTTTCCTGCCCGATTCTAATTTTTTTTTTTTTTCGAGATCTGTGTGTTGTACTGCGAATCTCTTCGTACTAGTCCAAACCGTCATGCAGGCTGAGATAACCACTTTTTTGCCTCTCAAACTTAATGCGGGGTAGGAACCAAAGATATTCTAGATGTGGGTCAAGGGGATAACATCTCCAGATTTGGAATGTCCGTCCAGACTTCTATATAAACGTTATGTCAGGTCATGCGTGCACCTTCGTAAATCCTTGAAAAAAATCTATCACTGTTCTTAGGGTTACTTCAACAGTAAGCAGTAAACAAGAAAGACATTCTGAACTATTCTGAACTTTTTTTTTTTTTTTTTGTGTGTTTCTTTTTCTCTTCCTTTTTCCCTTTCCCCTTTATCTTTTGTTATCTTGCTATCTACTCCGTACTCCGTAATTTATTATCTTCTAGTATTGTTATAATTAGTTTCTCTTAGTAACGTGGAACCCCAGAAGTAAGAAACTAGTGAGGGCTGGACTGTGGCCGAGAGTCCCATGATCTCGTCGACCGGCTGCCCTTCCGACCTTCGGCATTGACCACCGGCTGCCCTGCCGACCAGGCCACAAGGTGTCCAGGTGTGCCTGAGGAAAGCTTACCTGCGAAAGAGTTTCACTTTTGCCGGGTTTATATTACTTTTCAATGAATTAAGTAATAGGAAATCATACCGGCGATCATCATTAATTTAATTGAGTTTTTTCGAGCATTTCTTTCGTTTTTCCGTTGCTGTTTCTAGAATGATGCGGCTGAGAGATTCTCCCCGGTTTCCGTACATCCTCCAACTTCTACTACTACTACTTCCTTAAGGCTTTTGAAAGTGCCAATGACTCCTGAGAACCATGAGAAGCAAGATAAACTTATCGAGAATTACGTACATATAAAAAGCCGGCCGAATTACCTAGCTATGAAATTAGGGAGCAGCCTCTTCGATTCCACAGTAGCGATGCATTGGTGCCTAGCGTGATCAACTGGGCTTCTGCTATATCACAAGTATACCAGCGTTCCAATGTCCTTGAGCGGTGGATATTCTAGTTAGGAATGATAGTTCCAGAGTTAACTGGACGTGTAATTTGGTCAGGCCACAGTCTGAGTATACGAGTGGTCTATTGCGTCGGGAAGAGAAGTGTTGTTATTGAACCTTTATGTATATATATATATACATATATATATGTATATCTAAGGATGGGAGATCTCCATAATTCTCCATATTTTAATCATCTCTTTTGTCTCCCCTTCGCCCCATGCTTCAATTTCCTTTGTCTTTTGTTTCATCCTTCTTTTATGCTTTTACTCGTTATCATTGACCTTTAGAGCCGGTTACACGCTCAGTGTATCACGATGTTCAGAGCTAGTTGAGGGCATCCATGATCCCGACGTGTCTGATGCCAAGGGGAAGTACGAACATGATTGGCTCGAGGCAGGTGGGTTTAGATGTCAATCGCAAAGCATAAATGTCCGTCTCGGCTTCCTTTTCGGGAGCTTTAACTGCCGCGGACCCACTTGAATATATTAGTTCCTCTAGATTGTTAATTTGTATGGACTATGGCGAGGAAGCAGGTGCCCCACGTTATTGCGCCTCCACATTGTCCCATGGTGCAATGTACATATCTATGATTGATTGGTATGTTAAACGCATTGACCTCGCAAAATCTCTGAACTCCATCATTCTAATAAACCGTGTGTACAGTCCAATATCTTTTGATGCCCGGTACACAGTGTATCCACTATGGATACCAATGCTGTCGACAGTGTTCTGCAACCGGGCGAGTTGAACGTAGATGCTCCCAGTAATTTTCACATAACCCTGTTGTGTTGTTTCGCAATGAGACCTATAGCCCTCGATTGTTTGGGTCTGTTCTGGTACCAGCTTCGTCCTGCTAGACTTGACCAGACGGAATACCCCGACATTACACTCACCTTGAATCAAGAACTAACAACCCGAACGCGTGACTCAATGGCTATCGGCGAGAAGGAAGTCCATCTGTTTGAGGGTCTGTCGAGGCGGCGCTCGGCCCGATCGCAGCCAATGCGACTCGCGTGTTACAGGGCAGATGCAGAAATAGTCATGAATTTAAATGCTAGATGAGAAGGCTCGGCAACGGTGCCCGCAAACTACCAACACTGTGGCACGAGATTATTGCGGTTTTATTTCGATGCAGTCGTAGCAGCTCTGCCTAAGAGAAACATGAAACTTAACCTAGAGGCATTGGCTGACCGTTCAAACGCCCTTTGTTGGTGTGACTGGTCATTGCAATGCAGCGAAATCAATATCACTTGCACGTATTTGGGTAGAAGGGGGCAGAGAGGACGCATATCTAATTCCTAGTATAACGAAAACATTGTATAATTCTTTTCTTGGAGCACCCTCTCCACTCAGTCCTACACTCAAGACCAACTGTATAGGCTAGGACCGGGCTTAAAAATTTTCTTCTTTGTTCCTCGGAGGCTTGCGCGCTCGTTGCGATAATTGGGGGTTAGGTCGGTCTTTGGAACAATGATTCTTGCTATATCATGCTAAATAGGCATAGGGAAAATCGAGACCTTGGACGTTGCACTGCTTCTGATCCGTCTTACTTGTCCACTTACGTGCAGCTTCCGTTTGTATCGGTGATTGTAAGAGGTAGGGCACCCTAATAGGAAATTCTTAAGTGTGATTGCCTCATGCCGGAACCAGTCCCAAGGAGATAACTCTCTTGCAACAGTCAAACATAAAGTTTCTACACATGTAAGTCTATGACGTGTGCCTGACAATGGTCTAAGATGTAACATACAAAGACACGCACGTACGTAAGAATATGCTCTTGTTCCAGGTGCACCAATGAAACATTTGTCACTTGCACCACCGAATGTAAATCGCCGAGATACCTACTAGTAATTCGATGGGTCTATATCATATCCAAAAGGGGCCAACAATGCTTCTACCATCGTGCCGCCCTGCAACTGGTGCATGCTTCAGTGAAGCAAACAAGTCCGAGTTTTAGTTTACCGGGAAAGTGCCCAGGGAAATAAATACGCAGGTGCTATGTTAAAGAGTCTTTGGACGCAAATTGTTATAGAACAACACCTAGAACAACTGATCAAGAAACAGCGGTTAGGCCTCCGACACCCTTTTCAACAATATGTCTGTGTCTGTTTTCCAGAATGTCCCCTTCGAGCTCGCTGCGATCACCCTCGCTCTCTCAAGGTACAAGTTGCAGTCCGCGCTAGAGACAATATCCGAAGACTGGTTATCCCAGCGTTACTAAGCTGGACGAACTGGAACGAGCTGGACATGGGACCAACTGGTGTAAGGATAGAGGATATAACACAGGATGGCGCCACGGTCCGTGTAGATCTCCGGTTCGTCTAGGTTTTCTCGTCAGGGTTATATGTTAGTATCACTGTCCACGAACCTGAAAAACCCCACTGATGATGTGACTTGAGTTCTGAGTACCCATGGATTCCTGCAGTGAAATACCAATCTATGAATATGTCTCCGAAGAGTCCAGGTCCGAGTAGGGTTTGCGGTGCACGAGGATCTAATGTGGTAACGTTTATACAATGAATAAGCCGGTTAATGATCGAGTAAGTGGCAAGGAAGCGGCTATTGGGTCTGGGATTCTTTCCCAGTCTAGCTGGCGTAGACAGAGCGCCTCGTGTTTATGACTTGAAATTCTGCCATGTACGCTCTTCGGTTGATAAGTTGTGTTCTTCTATTTCCATAGCTTTGTGTAAGCTTGACGTACTTAGAATGGAACTACGTATTATTGTCTCGTCGGCCAGTATCAGTAGTGAATCATTCCAAAGTTCAATCGACACACCCCATCCCACCGCCCACCAAGGTCATATGCCAGGCATCTCGGATGGTTATTCCAAATAGGAGAAATAGCGTAGCGGTGAATGACTGGTTCAAGTGACAACATTACATGCTGGGGAGTTAGTTGAGAGCGAAACATCCTACGCTCCTCCGGAGAAGTAGTTGCATAGATCCCCACTGCACTAACTCGACTGCTTGCTGAGCTAGTATGCATGAGATACATCACATATCCTTTCCGATCAATCACTTGGCTCCACCTCTTGTAGCTCCAATGCCGCCAAACCCGGACCATCAATCCGCGCCACAATATCTTGTAGCTTGGTTGGAGAGATAATCTTCAAGATTTAGTCGTTTATCGCATTCCACAGGTAGTATGTTTGGCCCGAGGCAAACAGGTGCAGTGCGTCACCAGAATCCAGTCCAGTGCACATCACCGCCACTGGTGAGTCGATTTCGTGAACTTGGGCGGCCAACCTTCCCGCACTTTCGTCCGTCGACCAATATTCGTCCAGATCACTTGGGCTATTAGACCAGCCTTGGGGCTGACTCGATAGTACAGTCAGTTAGTTGAAGCCGTAAAAGAAATGGAGGGAGAAGGTGTATGTACCGGGGTTACCATGGCCGCAGGTGATGTTTCAAGTTGTTGTTGTTGGAGATCGGCGGAGACTGAAAGGATATCCAGGGGGTTTACTCCGTATATATGGTTAAATAGCAGAGCGGGGGTAACTGGCGGTATGCCTTCGGAGCTCTGTAGACCGGCGGGCTACAAGATTGTATAGTATAAGGGAAATTGGGAATATTCATATTCAGGACTTCAAGGAACTTGGAAGGAGAATCTATTTGGATTGAAACAGAACGAATGGCTTGGGGGTTCTTGAATAATCTAATTAGGGCAGCCATTCGCGCAGCTGGCGGGGTAACCGTTGCCTGAGGCAGTCCACCGTGGAAAGGATATGGAACTATGGGATATATAGAGAGGACCGAGCACCCGCTGCAGTACTCTGGACTGGCACTCTGGAATGAGTCTCTGGAAACTCATAGATATTGTCAAAAAAGAGGTGATGGGATTCCTGCCTCAACTGTTCTATATGACGATGGTACTGTGGTTTGTGAGTTTGGCACAACTGAAATTCTCTATATCTTTAACGGACTGGCTAGAAGCGATGGGTGGTCTAACCTAACACTGCATATGATACACATGCTTTCAAAACGCGCAAGTATGTTAGTCTAAAGACACTCGTTGCGTATCGAGTCGCTCATCTTCAAGGTGATATCGTAACGAGCACGATCGAACTAAAAGCCCTCCGCCGTACACCAGGCTCGCGTCAATGTATGCATTACCATCGAGTGATTGCAGCTACCAGGGTCACAACCAGTGGATGCTATATTACAATCATGTGGGTGACGGATACGAGGCGACATCAAATTGTGCCAAGGCCAGCATTCAGTGCGCTGAGCTCGTATTCGCATACAATCGGCGAGGCTATTCAGCATTGGCATCGTAAAGACTGACAAACGATTGGATGCAATAATGTGCCGCGATCGACAATCTTGGCTGTGCCAAAAATAGTTCTTCAGACATGAATATATCCGTATTCCCTTCATTCAAGAAGACGGATGGATGTGAACTCGAGCGAGAGGTCGTATAACTTCTTAAATTAGCTGTGGTGATGACAATCTTCATCGTTTCTGGGATGGTCTGCTGCGTGACACATTCCAAACGACTTGAGAAGCTCGTGTTAATGGGGGAGTATGCGAGGAAGATGCAAACCAGTATGACGCTGTCTTTTCATCCGCGCCGGAGAATGAAGGATAAATAGGACGAGAAATGCCGTCCACATCTCAAAGCCATCAACCAATCTTCTCATCAAACATCGAGATAAGCGACTGTAATTCTCTAATCATGAAGACCTCATTCATTTCCAAGCTGCTATCGCTGACAGCATTGGCAATATCTGCCAACCTTTCTTATGGCCTCCCTCTCTCCGAACGAGATCTGAGACTCTTCGAGGAGCGTTACATCAATTCATTGGACTATTCGCTCGGTAACGACACCGTCAAATTAGTCGGTTACAAAACCATCAAGATCCCCGCTGAAGAACTAGACGACCTGAACGACCATTACAACAAGCACCCAGATGTGTGGAAAAACATGCCAAACTACTTCTACGATCAGGGGTCTGGCACACTGCGGGCCTACTTCCCAGTCGACGGAGCGCTTGTTGAGCATGACGGCCAGCACCACGAGGCGAACTCACTGGGCGAGTTGGACCTCACCAAAGTTAACGGCGACAGTTCTGTTCTGGGCCGAAGGCAGACCGAATCTATTACGGGTGTGGAGGGCAATATCATCAAGGATGGTATTATATACCTCGAGAAAGCTGCAAAGCCACATGCTCAGTACGGTAAAGTGCTCGTCTACGACTTCGGCGAAAAGATCGTGCTCGACCATCATCATGGCAGCCACTCGAAACGAGAGGGAAAGAAATCTTGCATGAACAATCATGGCGGTCCGAACTGCAGCGATAAGTTCAACATTCATAATGATAAGTGCAAGAAGAGACATGATATCTGCATGGATTACAACGGATGGTTCTCGAACTGCAAGAAGAATGGCTCGACCTGGAGGAACTTCCCTGGTAGTGACTGTGATAAGGCACTGGGCCGTGGCAAATGCTGGAATGAGGTTATGTGAGATGTTCTTGGCTGTCTGTTGTCTTGTTCGTGGTCGGTATGGAGGCGTTAGTTACGGTGCTCAGTAGGAGTTGGTGAAGGGAGCCTTCTTCTTGTATATAGATGTCTCAATAATAATGTTCTGCCATTGAAATGCTTTCTATAACTTCTTTACTAAGTAATACCCAATCTTGCTTTATGATAGTGGTCGGTTACCACGGTTAGAATAGCCCACAATACTGGCCCCGAAGAATAGCCAGTAAATGCATGACAGTATATCATTGGAACACCCCTAAGATATACCTGGATTTATCATGGCTCTGCAGGACACGATTTGCCGACACAAAGCAGAGCAAGAGCAGGGGCGCTGGACGTAGTCAGCTAATTTCCGGTGGAAGGATTGGGAGAACGGACAAGTACCTGTAGCAGTGCCTGATATGGATAAATACAGATTCTCCGCTTTTGTCGGGAGGACCAATTGCACAATTTGGGCCTAAGTATCCTGATTTGAACAACTTGATTTGGCAGGTTCCTGCTTGTTCTGCCACACACACAACTGTAATAAGCATTAAAAAGGTACGGTCAGCAGTAAATAATTGAATCAGCAAGGCGGCTTGTTAGGGTAGTGCAAGCACGTGCCAGGATCGTGGACAGCACTTGGGCCATGAAATTCATTAAAAAGACCAATATGGCTCTAGGCGGTTGCCAAAGATCATCTACAGGTATTTCCAGGCTACATGGTACCCTGAACTCTTCTTGGCTCCTGTTTGCATCCTGTTAGGTCCCTCTTCCTGGATGATCGTGGCGCTGAATGCGTCGTGCCAGATTGCTTTATGTGGGGCTTTGTAACAGGGCGCGATTGAATACAAAGGCAGTAGTGCGAGAAACAAAGCAAGAGGGACACCCCTTTCTTCATCTTGTATTTCCACTTACTCTCAAAGGCCGGCCTCCCTCCACTACATTATCATCAGGCACGACAGGAAATGGCATTTGCTCCCCGTCTTCGAGTTCCGCCCCTGCAGTCGCTAGTGGAGATGGAATCCATCAGCGACACCGCATCCAAGGCTGGCAAGGCAGGACGCCCAGTTCTTCTCTCGTTCGATGAGATGCCCGAATGGTTCCGACGTGAATCCAACCAGTGGATTCTCCGTGGCTATCGGCCTATCTCAGGCTCGGCTCACGCTTCGTTCTGCAGTTGGTCGTATATCCACAACGAGTCAGTCAATATCTATTCCCACCTCATCCCGGCTGTTTTCCTCCTACTCGGCGAGTGGTATATCCAGCAGTACCTTGCCAGCAGACACTCCGGGGTCACTGGCGCCGATCTCATTGCTTTCTCCATCTTTATGTTGACGGCCTTCACGTGCCTGTCGTTGTCGGCGACGTACCACACGTTGATGAACCACTCCAAACACGTAGAACATCTCTGCCTGCGATCGGATATGTTGGGTATAGTGATCTTCATACTGGGCGGCCTTATCTTGGGAATATACATGGTTTTCTGGTGTGAACCTTTGCCACGCAATATCTACTGGTCTATGGTTAGTTAGTTTTTCTTTCTCTCAGACCTGGTACTTGAGTCTAACGCTCTTCTTTCCTCGGCTGATAGATTGGAGTTTTCGGGACGTTGACCATCTTTATGACAATGCATCCCAAGTTCCAGGGCCGAAACTATCGCCTCTTCCGAGCATTGATGTTCGTGGCGACTGGCTTGTCCGGTGTTGCGCCCTTGATCCATGGACTCAATTTGTTTGGCATGTCGCAGATGATGAGAAAGGCTTTCCCCTATACTCTGGCAAAAGCAGGCTTCCTTCTATCTGGGACTTCGTTTTATGCAGTGAGTCTCCTAATTTTGCGCACAAGACAGACATTGACCCTAACACACGTGGTTCCGAAGACCAGGTTTCCCGAAAGTCGATATCCTGGCAAATTCGACCTGTGGGGCTCCCATTCGATCTTTCACATTCTGGTGGTATGCGCTGCTGTGGTCCAGTTGATTGGGTATCTGGATGCTTTCGACTATGCGCAGGCAAATCTTACTTGCTCGTCTCTTTGAACTCTGTTTCTCCTAATGTAGGTTTCTTCAAGTATTGTCAAGATCAGGCATCTTGAACGGTATCACGCATAGCGTGATCAACACTAGCACAAGGCAGCATAGCTGCTACCTACAGATTGTCTCTGCTGTTTATGACTGAACACAAGTATAAGAAGCCGACTTTCGTCGCTCCTTTAGATAGAAAATCAAGAGTCTTTAATTTATCAGATCAACAGATGGCCATAGCGTGACAGTTATGAGCTCGGTTTGCCCCAGGCATCATTGAACGCAGTTATATCCCGTTCGACGCCGCATGCCGTTGTTATCAGAAAGTTGATCAGACGGATATCCGTATCTTTGACGCTATACACCGACTTCCGCTGTTGTTATCGCCAACAAGGGACCCAACGGATTCGAAAACCTCTTCCTCGACCGGTTCCCAAGGCCCTAGTGATTGGAAACGATGGATCAACATCATCCATAGATTCGCAATAGCTCAGAGCGTCTGGCGATTCATCGACCTTTCCAAGGAAGGTGGACCAGCTCTAGCCAAGCTTCGTGCCTACCAACCCCGTCTCACTTAACAGACTTTATTACCCGTGGCCGACTGGTCACTCTAACTAGGGCGCCTGGGAGCTATTCGTACCGGGTTGCTACTGCGGCTCCAAAGAGTATCTAGCAGCACTACCGTTACTGTGCTAAGCAATACACGGACCCAGGCCCTTTTAAGTGCTTGTAGGATAGGTTGGCTTAGGGGTGAAATGCCCAAGATAGTCTCCGAGTAACGATGTGTACTTCATCGCGAATAATTAAATACATATGTGCTAAATGAGTGTCCTTATGTATCCAGTCCTTCCCGATGGTATGGATGGTAAGATAGTAGATGGGGCTAGGCACAATCTACCTGTCTTCCACTCCACGGCGATCGGTCCGGCCCAGCAGCGGCTCGCTTCCGTTGGCCCTCGCATGTATATGAGGGATACCGTCTCTAAGAGCAGTGTTTCTGTGGCTGAAACCCGGATTACAGTGTATCATTAGAAATGATGTGTGCTCTCTCTCTAACAAAACCAGCTTTAGGACGATACCGCAGCTGGGCTGACCAGCTGGCAGATGCAATGGTGATTTTCAACAAGATGTAAATAAGGACTTCCATATTGAATATTGTTTCAATGGCAGAGCGAGTGCTCCTTTTCCCGCCACTACCTTAATTTGGTATTTGAATACAGTAGCCCTGTCTATTATGACAAGTAAATGTCAGATGGTTTTCTGAAGAACACAACTAGATACATGAGACTTTGAGCCACTTTGGGATACAGGAATGAAATACGGATGAAGGATGAAGAGACATGGTAAGGGAAGTACATGGTTGGCAGGTCAAAGGGCTCTTTGAAGGTCTAAGTCGACGAGCCATGCAGGGTGGGAGGGAAAGTCATCGGAGCCTTCGATAGCGGCATTGATAAAGAGAGTGTGACGCCCATGTTGAAGGGGATTTGCATCATCGGCACAGTGACTGGTCATGTAAGATGGCCGGGGCCCACTCGTCTTGATATTGGAGAGCTTCTCGATTACCGTTGATTGGCCGTTGTCGATATCAGTCAGATGGGACGGTTTCTCACTAATCATCTTGCGCCATGCAATCAGTTTGGCTCCCCAGCTTCCATGAATGTGTCCAAAGCAATGCATTCGGGGCCTAGATAGAGCAACCCTTTCGAAGAGATGCTCACAGCCTGTCCGCCTGCCAGAGATGGTATTATCCAGGACGCCTCGAGGCGGGCCATGCGTCATAACCAGGTCAACATTTCCGATTACAAACTCGTGACATTCATGTGAACTATACTGAAACCCCCATTCCCCAAACGACGGCGTGTACGGACTGGCATATACTGTTAAGGACGCGCCGTTGGGAAGGGTCAAGTAGTGGGTCCCTTCATCCAAAAGACGGATACCGCTTTTCTCCTTCACGTCCACATGTTCGAATAGTTCTCGAACCTGCCCACAGTAGCCATACTCTTTCTCGATTAGGAGAGGGTCGATACCTTGCAGCCTCTGGGCTTCGCGGATTTTGTTCTGAAAGGCAGAGGGGTCGAGTGTAAAGTCGTGATTGCCCGCGATGACAAGTTTGAGCGGGGCGTTGATCTGCTTCAGAAGGTTGATGGCAGCTTTAAATTCTTGTAAGGTGGACCCCATCGTGAGATCGCCGCAGTGGATGGCCACATCTGCTGGCTCATTTGACGATGGTATGGAGTTGCGGCCGTGGGTGTCTGAGACGACGAGAAACCTCGTTTTGATGGTAGATTGGGGCTGTTCAGTCATCTTGAAAATCAAGGGAAGTTGAAGACTATCCGTTGCTCTGCGATATGTAATACCTAGTGTATACTTGGTGGTGTTTTGATATTTGGCTTTAGCAACAGAGAAGGATGAGATGTGTCGGACAGAAGAGACCAAGACATTCAGTCATGTCTTACCACACGACATTTTTGCATCATGTATTTATTATCAAATATGCCTGATGAGGAAATAGTGAAGTCATCACGCTACCTTGTATACACACTTAGCCACCCCCGTGATAATCGTGACCTGAGCAACCAGCCCAGAGAACTTCACCCAGTGGCCCTATACCTACGCACAATATTGTAGGGAGAATTCATTTGACTAAGTATGTGGTGTCAGCCGCATGGTGTGACTGCCTGCTTTGGCAAACCTTCCGACAAGCTCGATACGCTACGGAGGAATGGGACAAGAAAGATAGCAGCATCCTGATTACCCCGGGGATAGGGTCGCTCTGGATCAATCGTGGGTCTTGACGAGAGTATTAATTTCGACGGTGGCAAACTGCCTGAAAGGCAACCGAAAACTATCAGAATAATGTGAGAAGAAAGAACCAATTATGTTATCTATGTAATCTGAAATAAACCTTGGGGGTATTCCAGTGTGGCTGGCTCGCGCTGCCTGAACACGGTATGTATCGAAAGATCGGTGTGTCCTGATTAGATCGGCTACATGTACATAATATTGCGGAAATGACCTGCATGATCACTCCACTTAATCCAACCCCACTCGGTAGTGGCGAGCTGAGCTCGAGCTGTTGTCGGGCTGATCTGGACCTGAATGGTCTACGTGTTTCCGCAACATGAGGGGGTACTGCCTCAGCTGGGATGGGTCTGTGGACTCGATCCACGTCGGGACCCTGAACGGGTTCAAGAGGAAGAACACCGGGGAGGTAGAGATCGAGTTCCTTCAGAATCAGGCAGCGGAGTCTTACTACTGGTAAGTGTCTCCGTTCCTATATTTCCATCATTATAAGACTTGAGCTAAAATACTGTTCCTGTAGGTTTCAGGGAACTGTGACGGAGTCAGGTTTAACCTTGGACATGTACAACGAAAGGAATGAGTTTTGTGTCGGCAACATTGAGCTCGAACGTACATTCTCATCTGCTTAAGTTCCCCTAGGCCTTATTATCGTTTTCTCTTGGTGCTGCTATTCAAACTCATGTGAGAAGTCCAGTAGCAGGTGCAATTTTCTTCGGCTCCTAGGACCTAATTTCTTCTGCTACACAGACATCTATATTCACAAAGAAGCCAGAGGGAGGTAACATAGGAAATGATCATGATATGAACTGATTTTAATTGATCCATATAAGAAAGTAATGTAATTAGAGACTGCTGCACGACAACCCAGTCTTAGCCCTATACTTGATAGGTCATTTTGTCTTCAGTAATAATGACAAGAATGAGACAATCTTCAGCTGCAAATAGCCTGAGTGACAGTAGTTCCGCCTGCTCATCGTAACTGCTCGTTTAGAGACGAACGCACCGTTTTTGAACACAAACTAGCCGTTACCACTGTTGTACCCCTCCGAGTGCACCTTTACAGTTGTAAATAGGTGAGGGATTATATGCTTCCGTTCCCCCTGGATTCAAGTAGTCCAAGAACCACTTGGTGATAAAGATCTATGTTCTTAACCCGCAGATTAGCTCACCTACAATCTGTCATAATCTCTCAGATTGACTTGATGTGTATTAATCGTGTTGCGAGGTAATCGAATTCTAGGGCCAATAACAGACCAGTCCGCCAAGAGGTGCATGGCTTGCTGAGCCCGGCTGCAATCGGTATAGAGCAGCTCGCTCTAATATTTAAAACTTTCTAGCTCTGCCTAAGACCTATATGAAAAGAGATATAATCTCTCCTGGTATCCTGATTAGTAGTATCAGGCTAATCTAACTTGTTTCTCACTTCTTTCTAAGATATCCTACTACGACAAGTAGAATAGTAAATAGAAGATATAATGAAAAGCGTACTGTTTAACTGAATTTTATAGCTATCATTGTATCCTTATAACCGCATAACTGTTCATATCTATTGAATCGGCGATATTCGGTATTACCTAGTACACTAGGGCTAAACTAAAGGGGCCAAACTGACGGACAATTAGGTCTAACTCTTCCTATCTAAGTGCCTACGTGGCCTAAATACTGATCGTAAGTCAGGTAACCTGCGAGTAGGCCTTGGCCATCTAACCGATTTTAATGATAGTCTTGTTATACAGTTGACAGATAGTAAATACCTAGTAGGCTTGTGATAACCTTTTAATATGATTCTATTTACACCATAATATAATTTTAATTGAGGAAACTACGAATCACAAACCTAAAATTACCTCAACTATTACTGTTCAAAAAATAACATAACTATTTTTAGCATGAGCTATCTCTAGCGTAATTTGCAAGAAGTGAGGTCTAAGTATCAGTGAAACGAATCCCTGGGAGGACTATTTAGATCAGACATGGACTGAGATGTCAAAGGAACAATGTATAGCATGTTTTCGGATGGGACGGACGGAGTCTTTAGAGGTCATTTCAGCTGGAAGATTCATCCTCTGATATAGAGACAGTGGAGACCAGGCTCCTCCAAGAGAAGACCAATTTAAAGTTTTTCGAGAGGTATTTGATTCGACTATAGTCGCTTTACGGTTACATGCTTAAATAGCAGAGTACGCAGTGCAGCCTTGTTATGAAGAAGAATACCGGTGCCATATTGCTTATTGATGATCTTTGTGATACGACACTGATCACTACAAAGCAGAAAACATATGACTTAACCTAAGCCAATCAGTTATTAGTGTGGTGTGGCCTCATACTTCAGCTTGAAGACGTCTCCATTCATTTACCCGGTAGAGGTTTTTCGATGACCGTGACCTAGGGCTATAAGTAGCACGGACCTCTATTTCTAGGCACATACATCTAACGTACTATGTATTGATCTACTCTTTTAGAAGGTCTTACAGAACGTTCATAATGTAGATGCCTACTTCACAAAGTATGCACCTTCGAGGGGACGAATCTGGCATTTTGCTCATACCTAAGTTGGTTAAGTTCTGCTTAGCCTCCCACAGTGTCACGTATCTACTTCAGGTGAAGACATATGTCCACACATTCATCTAATGAAGTCGCTTGGCATGAGCTTCTTTCACCCACTGAAAAAGGGTGTAGAAAAGGTGGATAGACGAAGTACAGGCTACCCAAATAATAACCTCGCACAAAAGGTGCTTTCCTAGGCAGATTACCCAGAAGCCAGCTCTCGATCATAAAGCTCTACAGCCACAGTATCGAAGAATATCAAGATTGTACAGATTCACTACCACAGAAGTTAATAATTCTGTCCCCTATATTTATTCTCAAGCTCTTTTCATCAGAAATGGCATTTGAAGGGGGACTCCAGTACGTTATTCCAGAACTCAATATGAAGAATCCAAAATCAGGTACAATACATATTATGATCTGAGCCCTAGTCATCGTGATAGATTATCTCTAACCAAGTGAAGATTTTGAAGATACAAGACGCTTCGTTTAGGCCTTCATGATTGTCACCCTTGGCCAACTCCAAAGTAAAAGCCAGCTTCCAAATTCCCACATGACTTGACCCAAGGCCATTTTTGGATTGACTGATTGGCCCATGATTAAACTACCAGTCCAATAAAGCTGACTCTCTCTTTCAAGTCACCATCATATATACCTCTGCGGAAAGATAGCCGGTGGGCGTTTGTGTTAGCGTAATGTCGTGTAATCGAAGGATGACACTTACCCGAATAGCATATCCATATGCTTCCCGTTCTTGCCCTGGCTTTCAGTCACGAGAGATCTCATGGCAATTACAAGGGTTTCTATCTAATTAGCTCCCTATTGGCTATTTCACCGACACATACCACAATATCCCTATCATTAAAATGCAACATAATGCCAGCTTCTACCAGTTCATTTTTGATGGCGCATCTAATGATAGTATACAGCATTTGTGCTATACGTGTTTCAATTATATATACAACTGGTAGTATGATTAAGAGCTCTAGCCTTACGAAACGTAGCGTATGATTCAGGTATCATCTCATCAAGCATAACTTAACAGGAGCCTCATCACACATCTAGCGGTATAGTGCACAATTTGATGAACCGCCGAGTTGCTTAACAGGCGGGATTACTGGCTGTAACTCATGCCTCTCTCGAAGAGCTAAAGGATTGCAATAGATATCCAATAAGCTTCCTAGGGTTGAGCTCGGAGCCATGGTTAAGAAAAATAAATTTAAAAATTAATAAGCAATTTGACTGAACTGAAAGAAGTGCTGGAATTACCTGGAATTACCAGTGGTCTTCCGCTGATGGTATGGGCCTTTACCTTTCGGGCTCTTGCAAGATACCAACTCACTTTACATTCAAGAACTAAATTCTAGGCACCCATGAGGGTCTCGCCAAGTCTAGAAACATGGGCAAACTAACACTTCGCATCACGTACAATCACATTCCACTTGTCTTTCATGAACATTTGACCAGCACAAAGATTCTCGAATCCTGAATCGCTACTAACAGCAGACATCCAGCACCTGTTGCAGATTTCCTCCGCAGCAAGGCCAATCTCTCGGAAAGAGTCCAAAGTTTTGCTTTCGGTCTACATGAAGGAAATTTAGTTAGCTTATGGTTAGCAACCTAGGTACCCGTCATAGACGGCCAAAGGGGAAACTGACGTTATCATTGCACCACCAAATAGCATTGTTATAACTGCAACTCACTCGGCCACAGTTTCCAGGTCCAGGCCCATTTGTAGGCTTGCCAGCAACGTCATTTTTCAGGTATTCAACTCCCTGCTGAACCATGTTTCCATCTGCAGCGCCCCACCCATTCGGGTAGCAAATCAAGCTCTCCTCGTCGTAGCGCTTCTCCAGGGAGCCCGCTAAGACGTCCGTATCGTTGCGCGCCTCGGCCTGCGGTTCGCTCCGTTTGTAGTTGGGGTTGATGGCACGGACCTGGTTGGTGACTTCTTCGATTGTTCCCCGGAGGCGGAGCTTGTTACCGGGTGAAGATTCGACTTCCCACTCAAAGTCTTCAACGCCGTAACCCTCAATTGGAGCTTCCAGGGCTTGAGCCTAAAGAGGAAGGTCAGTCAGATTGGACTCGAGATCTATGTCAGGACAGTGGCTGAGTACCCCAAGAGAGAAGAAGGTGGCGATGGCAATGGCGAAGGTGGGACGCATGGTGATGTACTGAAGATCTGGTAGACTTGGAGAATATTGAACCTGAAGCACCCACAAGGAGGCGAGACAAGCACCCGACTCTTATACTTATCAAACTCGGGCTTTGTCCGAGTTCCAAAAAGAGCATGTCGGCTACTTGCGCCACTAGGCCAGGATTCCATACTGCTAATACGGAGATAGAATAGAGTCACATGACAGGCAGAGGGTCCTCTGGTGTATCAATTTTCAATCTTAAACATTCACCGGATCGATCTATAGTTGAGCATGCACCATGGTGAAATGTTGATTGGCCTGGCATTTACGAATTACCACTGCAGTCGAGTCACTGAACCCCGAGCCCGGTGCCCGCATGCAACAATGGTCCTCGATGATATGACATATTGGGGCGAAAAAGGCGTATATGCAACTTGAAGGAATTAGTGAATCGTACGAGTGAAACACCAGTCATCCTTCCGGAGAATATTGGATACGGTGTAGGTCCCTATAGCACTACTGTTCCCAATGAAGCCATTCCCAGGCAACTGCCGCCCTGCTCAACAAGAGGGGAATGCATTTTTCTACCCAACGGCGCTAAGTCTAGCATAGGCGAAACGGAAGGATTCATGATGTTACATTGCCATCTCATGGTTTCCGCCCCTAAACTAATTGCGCAGCGGAACGAAGCGAAGCTAGCATTATACTATTCTTGGTGGGCAGCACGTTGAGTAGAACTAGGGCTAGGTACGGAGTAATATGCGTTGATATCTAGGCCACCTTTCAAGTACCTAATTCTACTTAAATAATCTCTATTCGGAGTAATGAATTATAATAAATCGAGCGAGCAGTATACTTGGCAGGACAAGCCTCGAGATTCTTCATACCTGCTGCGGTTGTGTATATATTAACGACTCTAAGCATGCCAAGAAGCTAAGTCTATGAGTTAGCACGCTATCTATCTCACTGCATATCCACTCCTGGGTGCGTATATGCACCTCGATGCACCTTCTTCAGCCCTAGCAAGAAATAGACCCCACTTTAATCTATTTACTGAATAACCAGGGAAATATTCGTATAAACCCACCAATTGACTCGGACAGTGCGCCAACAGTGGTGGAATGAACCCTTGACTAGGATAGTCAGTTTCGTTCCAATGCACGGAGAAAGGGGGCAGAGCTAAGGTGAAAGAAATAGTTCACTCTCAAGGTTTTAATTTTGTAAGAATCTGAAATTAGGAATCCGAGCGATACCGAGGGCGAGGGGGCCCAGGGAAGAGATAAATAGATATGAGTTCGGATCATCCATTCTATTCCTTTTCTTCTGAACAGAATTCAAGGCTATTGCTCCAACAACAAACGTTTGACTCCATTATTCTTTGCAATATGAAGTACACCGGCTTGATTGCAGTGCTCCTTGCCTGTTCAGTGGCGGCTGTAAGTTTTCATCTCCATGAAAGCGTGAAATTCTAACGAACTGGCTGCTAGGGTCCAGTCGAAAGCTCCTCACAAGGCCCTTCAGGATATGGCGTCGAGGACTTGGAATGGAGTGTCCAACTGACAGAGTCGGGCGAGTCCATCAATGTCAAAGGCACCGTCGAAGATGTTGTCGCTGAGCTTTCAAAGCAAAACCCAATTGCTGAAGAACAAATCCGAGCCCGAGGGAAAGCAAAGCAATCTCTCATGAAGCGGGCAGACCCTACGGGCTATTACTGCGGCGAGCCCTTCACTCCAGTTTCGTCTGCCTCCATTGGTCGAGGCATTGAATACCTTCAGGGCGTCCCCGGCAAGCCTGTAAATGGACCCGGCCCGGGCAACTGTGGCCGAGTTAGTTGTTCTTACAACGCAGCGATTTGGTGGTGCAATGACGTACGTAAATTGATCATGACATTGTTGGCGAAATGGGGCACTGATGAGATTTAGAATACTGAGTCGAAAACGCTGGACTCGTTCGCCGAAATTGCCAACGGTGCGGAGAAACTCCTCCACTGGTGCTATCACTGGGAGGAGGGGAAGCTTGGCTCTTTTGTTGGTGGACAGGCTTTCTATGCCGACAACTGGAATGTGATTGTCCGTAAGAACGATTGCTAGAGGGGCTTGTGGTTGATTCAGCATGTTATCAAGTGGTTCTGATGTCTATCCAGCTTCTCTAGAACCTCCCCATGCTATTTCAGATTATCTACATAACCCTTATTTGTAGTCATTTGTCCATTTAATATTGGGAGATATATAGTACGTCCGACTATTGTGCTAGATCTAATAAAAAGAGAGTAGTACTCTTTCTCGCGGAACTGACTTAGTAGAGTATCTGTGAACATAAAGTAATGGAGTTATAGCTAGCTATCTGTCCTTGAATCCCCTAGATTCTATTAATATAATTAAACAAAGTCTTATACAGATCAGTATACCATGATCTCTCAGATTTGTACGATGCGTACTGAACCCGTTGCGATAATAGAACTGTGGGACGAATAACCGACCAGTCCACTAAGAGGTGTATGGCTTGCTAAGTCCAGCTGCAATCGGCATAAAGCAGCTTGCCCTAATATTTTGAATTTTCTAGCCCTACTACGGACCTGTTTAAGGTGATATAATCTGTCCCGGTATACTAATTAATAGTGTTAGACTAATCTAATTTATTCCTCACTTCTCTTTAAGATAGCTTACCACTACAAGTGGAACGATAACTAAAAGGATATAGACTAATAGTACTATTCAATTCAGTTTCATAGCTATAGTTGTATCCTTACAACCGTATCAGTGTTCATATCTGTGACCAAAGTCATCACTTAGGGCCTCATATCTTTGTCTTTTGCCTGCACATCCTCATCGTGAATGGAGATCACCTTTTCCTCATCATCAATCTCTCTTGTCTCACCCTGTGTTGGAACCTTCTGAAAGCCGATTTTATACCAGGGGAGTGAAAACAATGCATTAGCACTCTCCATACTGCGTCCCTTACATTCAGGGAAGGCAAAAAACACCCAGACGGTGGCACACCCAGTAAACGCTGTAAAGAGCGCAAACGGCCCATAGGACTTCATAGAAACAATCATATTGGGGAATCCTCTCGTAATGCCAAAATTCAGCAAGTTTTGGTATGTGAATGTAATCATGACGATGGTGCCGCGCAGATGTGTGGGACAGATTTCTGATGCAGTCAGGGAGAAGGCTGGCGCCCAGCCGATGGCGTACCCGACAGCAAAAAGGCATATTGCCACGATACTGACCCAGGCAGCCGGTGAGGGAGCAGCTGAAGTTGACAGATTGGCAACTCCCAGATAGACGGCAAGGTAGAGCAAGCAAACCGTGTTTACGGCGGACCCAATGAGAAGAAGTGGCCGCCTACCAAAACGATCTGTAAAGAAGAAGGCATAGAGGAAGACGGAGACGACTTTGATAAGTCCATACACAGCTGTGAACAGAAGGACCTGCGTGGAGTTGAGACCGATTGACTTCAAAATTGTCGGCGCGTAGTAAGTAATGGAATTTCCTCCTGACATGATGAAGAAGGTCTGGATCAACGTGACGAAGGTCAAAAGACGACGTGTGGGCGCATCGGAGACGCATGTTTTTAAAAGAGAAAGTGTTGATTTGAGGGCTGATTGAGAGGATGCCTCCGCCGTGGTGTCAACTTTGCTTTGCAGTTCCATCCACTCTCGGGCAAAGTAAGCATTGGACTCCTCTAGCCCGCCTCGGAGGCGTGATAGACTGCTGCGAGCAGCTTCCACACGTCCACGCATCATAAGGTACCGAGGGCTTTCCGGAAAGAAGGGATAGCCAACAAAGAGAATGACCGATGGAATAGCTTGCAAGACGAAAGTAGTACGCCACTGCCAGCTAGATTCAGAAGAGATAACACCCTGTGAAGCGTAGTTGATCCAGTAGCTTCCCGCCACACCACCCATGATATTGACATTGTAGAAGGTTGTCATCATACCACGTAGTTCCTGGGGGGCAACTTCAGAAATGTATACTGGCCCGGCTGTCATACCGAATCCAGATCCTATACCGGAAAGGATTCTTCCCACGAGCAATTCTGCAAACGAACCAACATTCCCGCACATTAGTAGTGCACCAATGGTATAGAAAATGGCAGAGGCCATGATAACTGGTTTCCGCCCACGTCGTTCACCGAGAGGTCCTGATATAAGGATTCCTGTCACTTGCCCCTATTTCTGTCAGCGTGTTCAGACATACGAAGATGTAAGGATTACAGGGGACATACCAGGAGCATGGAGGAGACCGCCCAGCCACTGTTATTTGATACTTTAGCATCGCTCAGATCCGTCCAGTGAAAATCCCGGACAAAGGGATCCAGGCTCATCGCCCCAGATATGTTAGATGTATTGAATCCATGCAGGCCACCACAGTAGCTGGACCAAATCACAGCAAGCCAGATGTACAGCCTTTTGGCTTCAGCGGGAATCTGCTTCACGGCATCCCGGGAGAAGCCACCGCCGGCAGCACCCATGTCTCTTAGATAGAATTGTGCAGAGAGAAACCAAACAATCAAGGAACAAGCAACGGAGGACTTTGAGAGCGGACGGACAAAATTCCCAATGGGCAGTAGGGATCCCAGGACAGGGTAGGGTACCAGGAGACTGGAAAATGCTCAACCCTAAGTACCCTTCAACTGTAGAGCATGTTCGCGCGGGGTCCAAGCCTCATTCTCGGTGTCGTCGTCAAGTATCGCCTGACAGACTCGGTGTGGAGGTGGCAAGTCAGTAGTAAAATTCTCCACGGACGGGCTTGTCCTCACACTGACGAGTCTGACCACTCAGCCAGGGTGGATTACACCGAGATACCCCAGATTGCATTCCTGCATCGTATCCACATGGGACTTTTGTGCCGAGCCCGTGGAGTCTGGAGAGCTCCGGGAGGAGTGTTCCGGGGTCGTGGAAAAGGCTTATACTAAACTACCCCACATAATCCATTGCCAATGAGGGAGCTCCTTTTGTAATGCTAATCTGAAACTTGAGATAGCATGGTGGGTATGCGCTTTGTCCTCTTTTCTTGTTTATCTTTAACACTATCACTATTATTACCACTGTGTTGTAGAAAAGGCGAAACGTTAACAGCCTGAGAGACATTTGGGCATGGGAACAGTGGAGGCTAATATTCTTTAAGGTCATATCATTTCAATTAACGCCGTTAGACTATGTACAAGTGTGAAATCTATAGTGACATAAATAATCAATACAAATGCTCTCCTCTACTTGGCGAGGGCGGTATTCTTGATATGGTTCAACGCACTGCCAGCTCGCAGCCAGTGCAGCTGGCCGGCATGATAGCTGTGGTTCAACTGCGCATTCCAGGATGGTCCCTCTCGAGGAGTGACGCGCATGGTAACCTGCCGACCGGGAGTTAATTCACCATCCTCGACCCCAATTAAGGTAATGCGATCGCCTTCCATGATCCGATCATAGTCCAAAGCATCGGCGAAGGTAAGAGGTAACATCCCTTGCTTCTTCAGGTTAGTTTCGTGTATCCGCGCAAAGGAGCGAGCAATTACGGCCACCCCTCCGAGATAACGAGGTTCCAAGGCAGCGTGTTCGCGTGAACTTCCTTCACCGTAGTTGAAGTCCCCGACAATGCACCACCGGATGCCACGTTTTTGGAGGTCACGAGCAACCTGAGGAACAACCTCGACGTCCGATGTAATGGGGTGGCGAGTGTGACCGAGCATCTGCGGATCATTGCCAGGGAGGAACGCGTTGGATGCAGTGGTGAGCATGTTGTTGCTAATGTTCTCTAGGTGACCCCGGTATTTATACCATGGGCCTGCTGGGGAGATGTGATCGGTGGTGCACTTGCCCTTCACTTTCATCAGTAGCTCCATGTCAGTGGCACACCCGGACTGCCATGGTGCAAATGGGGTCAACAGCTGCAGGCGGTCGGACTGCGGATCGACAATCACGGACAATGATGAACCGTCGGTTGGAGGCTCTTGAAAAGTCTCTTCTCCTGCAGCAAAATGCGCTGGAAGTTCTCGATTCATAGGAGCTTTGAATTGGAAGGACTTCCCTCCCTCGACAGGAATACTGTCCGTTAACGGGTTGAAGTCGAGGCGGCCAGCGTAAGCGAAAGCAGTAACTAACTCGGGCGATGTGACAAATGAATGAGTCGCTGGATTGCTATCATGCCGGCCCACAAAATTCCGGTTGAAGCTGGATACCACCGAGTTCTTTTCCTTGCCTCGCACATCAACATCTTTGCGGTCCCACGAACCAACGCAAGGCCCACAAGAGCTGCTCAGCACAACGGCACCGGCCTCCTGCAGCTCTTCGAGTATACCATCTGCCTCAGCCGTGGCGCGGATTTGCTCACTGCCAGGTGCGACAAGGAAGGGTGTTTTGAATTTTGGTAGCCCAGCATCACGCGCTTGTGCGACAAGCTGTCGCGTCTTATCAAGGTCTTCATAAGAGCTGTTAGTGCAGCTTCCTACCATCGCATGGCTGAGGTTAATGGGCCATTCACTCTGGGAGGCTGCCTTTCGTAATTCAGAGATGGGGTGGGCAAGATCAGGGGTGTACGGCCCATTGACGTGTGGTTCGAGCGTGCTCAGGTCGATCTCGATAATCTGATCATAATATTGTTCTGACCCTTCGTCGGCTTGCAGCAATGCCTGTTTAACCCCTTGGGCCGCCTGAGCTGCATGCGCCCGCTTCGTTGCTGCAAGATATCGCTCCATCGCAGTAGTGTAAGGAAATATACAGGATGTCGAGCCAATCTCCGCAGACATATTACAGATCGTCGCCATGGCTGTGGCCCCCAGAGTCTCTGTACCAGGGCCGAAAAACTCAATGACGCGACCCTTGCCTCCAGAAACGGTCAGGATGCCGGCGAGCTTGCAGATGATGTCCTTTGTGGATGCCCACCCGGATAGTTGGCCTGTCAGGCGCACTCCGACAATATTAGGCGTTACCAACTCCCAGGGCATTCCTGACATCGCATCGACTGCGTCGGAGCCACCAACGCCAATGCCCATCATAGCCAAGCCGCCAGCATTCGGCGTATGAGAATCCGTACCGATAATCAGGCCGCCAGGTCTAAGGGTAGCACATATGAATTAGTACTTGCATGGACAACTCTATCTCTCTCTAAACAACGTGGGGGGAAACATACACGGCGTGGTTTTCAAAGATCACTGTGTGGATGATACCAGAACCGGGTTTCCAAAACCCGATTCCATACTTTCTAGAGGCGCTGCTCAAGAATTCATAGACCTCGGCATGTTCTGTAAGCGCACGCTTTAAATCCGGCTCCGCTCCCTTCTCGGAAATTATGAGATGGTCACCATGGACCGTCGTTGGGACTGCGACTCGCGGTAGGCCCGCACTGATAAACTGTAGGAGGGCCATGGTCGCGGTAGCATCATGACAGGCAACGCGGTCCGGTCGCAATTCCAAAATCGTCTTCCCCCGATCGATTTCTTGCAATGACCATACTTTATCATCGCTCGGGATCAAGTGGCTGTACAGCAGCTTCTCGGTCAATGTCAGAGGGCGCCTCGAGCCTTGCCTTACTGCGTCTAGATTACTAAGTTGCTGGCCATAATTGACACCAAACATCTGGGGTCCAACAGGAGTCAGCATGAAACCTCCGTCAGTATTCAAACAGTCAAGTACACACCGGGATTGAGTTATTCTGGGTGGCGAGCCTTCGGACAGGCGCCCCGACCAGACGAGGTTGCGGTCGTCCCGTGCGTAAAACCGGGGATAGAAAGCGCTGCATTGTCAATTTTTCTCATCCAGCCCGTAAGACCATGAAGAAGAAACAACACTTCGGCGGGGGTCAAGAAGACGAGAAAAAATAAAGGCAAGTTGGAGATCCAGTGTGTACATTTGGAGCTCTCTGGACTACTCCGGACCAATCAGCGAGCTTTCGGATCGTTCCGAACCCTCGATCGGCTTTCCTCCGCTCATCGGCGTTTTCACCTTCCAGACTTCTTTAACCCTCACATTCTCGGTGGTATTGCACTGATTCGCCTCGATTCCTTTCTTCGATCGATTCGTTAACTTTATTCCTCGGCGGAAACCTAATCAAGATGGCGAGCAGATCCAGTGCTATTCGAGCTCTTCAACAATTTACGTCCTGCGATGTAAGTTAAACTACTGACCACCGAACACGCATTCTAGAAGATGACATGGATGGAAATAGCTCACAGAATATCGAAATAGATAGGTGATGCGCTAGTCAAGCTTAAGGTGCCTTGTGGTGGCTACCTGTCGGGATTGAAAATGTTCTCTCCTGGGCCGACGAGCCCGAAAGCGAAGATCTTTGGCCCTGCCTACACGGTCCGCATGGTCCATGCCAACGACAAAACCGCGCCCTCCCCCAAACGCCATTTCGTTGATGACATACCTCGAGATAGCGTCGTCTTCGTTTCGCAGCCAAAAGGATTGATCAGCGCGTGTTGGGGCGGCCTGATGAGCACCCGCGCCAAGAAACAAGGTGCAGCTGGGGTCGTTATTGACGGCCGCTTCCGAGATATTAACGAGCATCAAGAGTTGAATATGGGTCTCTTCGCGCGAGGAATCAGCATCTTGGGATCAAACACTTTCACCAGGTCGTCAGAGCTGAACGTGTCCGTTGCATACGAGAATAGCGAGATTGGCGAAGAGGTGGTCATTAACCCAGGAGACTACCTGCTCGGAGATGTGGACGGTATGGTGGCAGTACCGGCAGATAAGGTGGAGGAATGCGTGCGACTCTGTCAAGAACGGTATGAGATTGATGAGGAGACTCGGTTGTGTTTAGAAAGGGGTGAGGAAATGGGCCCCACGATCAAGCGATTGAGGAAATAGGTAGATGGCACGATGAGTACTTCGTATAGCATTAAGCTACAAGCCCCGCTGAGTTGAGAGAAATCTAGCCCGTTTGTAGAGTTCCGCATATCATGGGTACTCTGGATTTACCATGCTGCTAGAGAACGGATCCCAGCCCCAGTCACCATGCAAATATTCCACCAAGAAGCCCTCCATAGCTGAGTCAATAGTAGATTCGTCGGAATCGGCTGGAAGAAGACCACCAATCTGTGATATAAATAGGTCGGGCCCATTCTCGAAATGGTGTTCCGGGTATGACTCGGTTCGTACAGTGTCTGCGGCTGCAGCTGGGGCGTCAACAGAGCTGACAGAGCCATATACGACCGCATGATGTTGGTCAAGAACAGGTACCCCCATCTGCGTGTCAACTACATCCTGCATGGACCCCATATTCGATGCAAGTGATGATGGATCGGTTGATTGGGCTATCCGTCGTCTTTGTGCCCGCGATGAGGACTGCAGCTGAGACAAGGCCTGTAGCTGGCTCAATCGCTTGATTGTGAGATCTACCATATTATCAAAACTGTCTTTCCCTCTGCGAAGAGAAGGCCACCACTGGCTGCCAACGCTGAGCAGGTTGGAGCATGTGCGCAGGTCGCTCAGAGCTTCAGAGAATGGTATCGTTTCCAGAAGGTCACGTGAGGCCCAAAAGCAATAGACAATCGTGGCCCCAGAGGAAAAGATACCATGTACATGACGCCAGGTATAGTGTAGCTTTTCTTCATGGTTGAGGTATTTGTATATCCGTAAGCGCCTCCGACAGCTTTGGTAGCAGAGAATCAAAGCATTCCTTGAGGGTGATCGGAAGACTTGGGATGGCTGGAAAAGCAGGGTGATAGCCGAATGATACAGCGATTCCAGTTTAAGTTGTTCGCAGTGAAATTTCAATTCTCCGTCCTCGATGTCCTGCATGCTCGACGTCGGCCGAAGACTTGCCGTCTCCGCTAGCCAATCATCTAGCTTAGTCTTTATGCGTTGCTGTATGCTAACCAGATCCGTGGGCCAGATCGTGGCATCCCCTTGCGCTGGCAACCTATAGAATAGAAGCTTTATTTCTGAGATGTAAGAGTCGACCCGGAAGCGATATATACACAAAGCCACGGTCTCTGGTGGTGGTAGCTGTATATCGAGTTCATTCCTCTGGTCCGCTGGGTACGTAAACTCTTGGATTTCCTCAAACTTCGGCCACCTTACATCGAAGGTCTCGTCCCGGATACCCAGGGGCCTTCCTTGGATTGTTGATATGGAGCTATGACAGGCTTTTTAGCATGTGCCTTACAGGGTGCATGGAGGTGGACAGTAACGTACCGGTCAAGAGAATAGACTGTATGGAAAATAAGCCGGCGAATTGTCAATGCGGTGGGGGTGAGTTCGGAGTAGTCTGTGGGCTCCCGATGGAGGCCTAAGTCAATGCAATGTGACGTCGCAATGTACGAGAGCGTCCAGATGTTGATAGCCGCAGGGCCAATCAAGCCCTGGACCATTAGCAGCAGCACGCCTTGTAGAGCTGGCACGGAGATGCTGCAAAAGCATTCAGAGGCAGCTGACATGGCTATCCGATAATATTTATCTGGAGAGTGATCAAAGCTTCTGTTCCGAGTCATAACGGTCGCCGCAAGTGAGAACACCATAAAGACATGGAAAGTCGCTGTGAAAACAGAAATCGGGGTGATTTCGTTGCCGGCACTGACATCGTATCTTCCATTGTAGGCAAAAGGATTCATAGTATCAATCCAGCCATTGGGTCCGACATGACCATTACATCCGAGGTCTGCACAGTCTCTCAGGGCCCGATATGCGTTACATATTGAGTGCGGATGAAGAAATGGGTGATCCACGTGGATCACCTGGAAATAGACCTCTAACAAGGCACTGGCTTCCTCCGGTGATGGCAACTCCTTACTCACGATTAGCACCACAAGCTACGAATATTACAGCGACATTCTGCACGATTACCTCTCTTAAACGGTCATAGAGAGCCTGGTAGGCCTCGCGTGACTGGCTACGACCAGGGGCCAACCGACGACGATGACCACTGCGAGAGGATGTCGATACCAACTCAGGGCTCGCAGTAGAACTTCGCTCGCTGTCGATTCCAATCAGTCTCGTGAAAAGCAGACCAGATGACGATCCTAGATAATGTTTCTGTCGGGAATCGGAGTGCAAGGAGAGCATGCCCAGCTCAACGAAAATGGGCTGTTCCACCTCTGGCCCCTCTGTCATAGAATACGAGCGCTTGGAAGACGTGGTACCTTCCACAAGGGGGTGATCAACAGATTCGAGTACCGGTGGCGGGGCATGTGCATGCTCCTGACCTGTCCCGCTGGTAGATATTGCAGGACGATGAGGGGTGGTTGTTTCATCCGCGCTAGTCATGTCGACTGCGGGCCCTTGAGATAAATCGAACTGAGGGTCGATCTCCTTCAGTCTTTGTTCAAGCCAGTTAATCCTGGCGTAACATCGTGTGATGAAGCTGAATTATCGTCAGTCATTGTCTATCCGGGTGGGACGCCAAAATCCCATACTCTCGTGGGATGGATAGTCCATTGTTCCGGCCATCGACATCAACACACGGGACACCTGCACGAGCACAGTTCCCACAGGCTGGAATACTTCCATCACACTAGTTGGCAGAACGTTAGCTGGGGTCGCCAAACAATTCTCGTCCTTACTAATCCGCTGGAAATTACTCGCCTTCACACGTTTAGCACGGCATCGACGACAGGCTAACCGCACCTTCTTCGAAGGTGCTGGCTGCACAACGTCGCCCTCCGTGGGCGCCATATGGTTTACTGGAGAGCCACACACCCATCCAAGGTGAATAAACGATTTTCTGTCCCAAGACCATGGAGATGTGGGGAACAGCAACCAAGATCATGCATTCTGTATGCACCGGAGAGAAGATCCGGGGGAGAATGGCTTGGCAGTTTGCATTGTTTGCTTTCTTGTCGGTAGCGGTCCGAATCCGACAACCCAGTCAGTGACCAATTGACTTCAAAAGATATAGTGAATGAGACTAGGTATGATGCCATGTAGGATCGGATAAATCTGATGTGGTAGCAGCTTTGGCCTATTAGTGACAAGCTCTTGTCCACACTCACTGTCTATGCTTTGTGTTGTATCACTATATTTTACATAGGCAACATACTAGGTGGTTCGACAATATATACTTATATCGCTACGGTTCAGACTACGAAATTGTTTGACCTTACGTACATCATGGTATCCCAGAGATAATATTGAAATAGTATCTGGTTCGTTTTGTTTATAATAAATATAACTAAACGTTTACCCGACTTTCACTACCCACGGAACGATCCTGTCCACTGAACCACACGCTCGTATATCGCAAAACTGATGGCGCCCGATATCTACAACCAGGTGTTAGAAGCCAACGGTAGAAACTAAATGAATTAAATGGGGAGACGTACACTGAGTCGGGCTAGGCGAGGAGTAGTCCCCTTCCATAGCGCCAAAGTACCTTCTGTAGTGACGATTGACCGTAGACAATGGAAAGAACCTCGGTATCGCTGAGAGCCATCCAACGCTTGCAGGCGAGTCTTAATCGTGTCGAATGGCATTGTAGCATACACCGTAACTACTCCAGCCATGGCCCCGGCGACCACAGTACCCCAGACTGGTGCGCCGTTAGCTGCTCCCGCACTCACGAGCGCCGTGAGATGGTGTAGGAAGAAGTTGTAGCTGGTAAATCGCACCATGGCGTTGGATGATTGCTTCAGCGTGACGGGCAATGTTCCACGATACAACCCAGATATGCCTTCAGTCGATAGAATAGTACGAACTGCATGGCTGGCCGACTTGTATACCTTCGCGCCCGCTCGATCATCAATGATCTTGGTCTTCAATGTTTCCCCAGGGGTGACAACGAGTACGCTTTCCGCGACTCCTGCAATCAGACCTGCGCACATGTTACCCGTTGATGTCACCTTACCGGATGAGTCCGTAGGCATCCAATTCTTTGCACTATCAAAGGCGAAAAAGCGAATCCCGGATTTAGATGCATTGGAGACGCAAAAGGCCATACTGCCCGTGTACAGATGGCGAATACCATGTTGTCGGATTGTAACGGTTAATAGCTGCACCGGAGACTGTTTTGTGGCATTGGGGTTCAGCAATTGTTGCCGAGTTTTCAAGTATTCGGTGGGATACTGTCAATGCGTGATGGTGAGCGTTTGGTTTCAACCTGATTGGCATTTCTAAGGGGGTTTTACTGTGAGAAGACTTTCGGCACCGCCAGCTGCGGCTCCGGCGACTATGGATTGCCATGGAGTGACTTGTTTCTTAGACATTTTGAATCCCTGTGATAATAACTCTCCAGCTCCATGGTCGGAGGAATTACTATATTATGCGCCATTGATCGCTGGTCTTGCGCCGATGCGGTGGAATTGGACGATATCGGCTATCTTTCCTATCTTTTAGAATCTCGCCGTCCGTTGCGGGTTTCGCAGTTGCGTTTCTCTATCTCCCTGTCGCTCTTCTCCTTTTTTTCTCATATTTTCCTCGACCGGAGTAGTCAAGCCGTCGCAGGAAGGGGTGAACAGGAAGAGTCCGTTGGTGTGGAGGCCATAGTGGAGTCGCCCGGAGTAGCCCGCGAGCCCGGACATGAGGACAGTTCCAGACCCAGTAAGTCATACGCCACACCATGTCGGTCTGGATACGATCGAGTAAATAACTTAAGCGCAATGGTAGACGATGTGGTCGGCAGTTGGATGCTCACTGGACTAAACGCAGAGACCGTTATTCCTCCACGATGGAAGTAGCAAGTCAGAATAATGCTGTTGCGGAGCTGTTCCCGCACGGATGCTGGGATGCCCATCACCATATCTTCGATCGTGAGAGTTCTCCCCCAACGTAGAATAGAAGGAGACTTGCTAATGAGAGTCGTACGGCTTAGCTGCGCAATTTGCCTACGCCCCCGACCGTCATTTGACGCCTCCACCTGCGACCATTGAGCAATTCATCCACTTCAAGAAGAGTTTGGGTATTACCAATTCGGTGTTAACGCATGGCCTATCGTATGGAGCCAATGTAGAGTCATTGAAAAGCTTCGTCAAGCTGCTAGGCCAGTCTTCCACGAAGGGGATCGGAGTCATTGATCCTGAGACGGTCACCCGGGAAGAGCTCCGGGAAATGCACAATGCAGGCATCCGGGGCATTCGGGTCAACGTCTATAAGTACAAGGCCATGCATGATGCTGAGCTACAGAAGGTCGCTCTGCGGGAACATGCCCGCATGATTGGGAAGCATTGTCCGGGGTGGACCATGGCGTTCACACAAACTCATCCAGAGTTCTGGAAGGAGCTAAGACCAGTCATTGAACAGGAGATCACGCCGGCAGGGATTCGTTTGATTACCGATCATTTTGCTTTACTAAAAGGTCCAAGCATGCTTCCACCCGAGTGTGAGGGAGATGTAACCCGACAAGTGGGATTTGAAGACATCATGGACTTAGTGCGCAAGGGTCATTTGTATGTCAAACTCAGCGCGCCGTACCGAGTGAGCAATGAAGCACCTTTCTACGACGACCTGAAGCCATTAGTCCGAGCTTATATCGATGCGAATCCGAAACAGGTCCTTTGGGGGAGTGACTGGTAAGTAACATTCATACCGGCAGTTGGTGCCCTGGCTAACATAATCATGATGATAAAGGCCTCACACGCCACGTATGAAGGTCCGTACGTATGACGAGGCAATGAAAGAGACCCCTTTCCTTGAGGTGGACGATCATGCATGGTTGAAAAGTCTACGGTCGTGGCTGTCAGAGGACGAATGGCATACCCTGATGGTAGAGACACCAAAGGCGCTTTATGATTGGTAGACGAGTTATGACGTGCAGTGTATTGGGCTTTTTATTCTATTTTTCATTGTTCTTATTTTCATTCAATTTTTCTCATCTTAATGTGTAGATGCTATGCGTAGCACTAGGCATACATGCAGGCGAGGCCCCGGGGAGATTCGATCTTTGAGGGAGTCACCGAACGCACACAAGGAGAGCCAGCATTTTACAAGGATATGGTAATTGCGGGGAACGGGGTCTCTTCTCTGGATCTACCCCACGGGGTATGTCCGTAGCTCGGACTTCACGGGGAGAGGCGAAGACCAATGACCGATGGTTGGAGTTTATTCCACTGCTAGTGTCGGCTCCATTGTTGCCCCGCGAGCCATGCCCTGGAGGCATCCGGCGGATGCTTGGAGTACCCCGGAAAGCGCCTCGAATAGCTTCCATTAAGCGTAGTTTGCGCTGTGAAACTGGCGTATTTAAGTTACATGTAGATTCCCCACCGTACGAATGATTTCTGGCGTATTCTCGCTCCAAGAAAGAAGGAATACCTACAACATGAATGTCTACCTGAGCCCGCTCCCACCGCTCTTGAACAACAGCATTGCCAGATGGGCGTATATCTCGCTCGCCGCATTGGCCAATCTTCCTGGGCAATTCAACCGAACGGCCTTTGAAGCTCCATGGGCAACCTCGGAGATATCGGATGAAGGTCTTAGTGCAACGTAAGGATGTCATCCTTTCCCAACAATGTATATCGATATACTGACCGAGATAGATTGTCGCACCTAAATACCACGGACTTTGTAGCCTATGATGCGAAGTTTCTCGATATCATTGGCCCCAATGCAACAGTGGAGCATGTTCAAAAACTAGCCTACCAGGTCCATGAGGCACCATGTTATATCAAGGATACCAATCAGCTCTTCTTTGTCGAATGGGGCCCACCAGGCGGTGACGATGGCATTCACTCATGGCAGTACCTCTTGGATGTGGAGACCAATACCCTGCGCAATATAACCACCAACCCTCCCACGTACAACGTACATGGGTGTATCTACTACAATCACTCCATCCATGTTGTAACGGATGGATACAGTGACCTGCAGACAGGAGAGCTGGCAAAGATCGACCCCCACAGCCATAAGAAAACGACATTGCTGAATAACTACCTGGTGCAGCCATTTGCGGGCTTCAACGACCTGGAAATTGATCGGGAGGGTAATTTCTGGCTAACAGATTCAAAGTCAGGCTGGGTATGTTCACGCTATATGTTCCCCCAGTCAAGAGCTTCGGATGCTAACTCGCGCAATAGGGCCGAGAGATTGTTGACTTTGCACCTCCAACAAACCCCTCGATTTACTTCGTTGAACGATCAACTTTTCGCACCAAGGTGGTTTATAGTACGACCGGGAATACGAATGGTGTTGCTATATCCCCTGATGGAAACACATTGTTCATCCCGGAGACAGGGGTCTCGAAGTACTTTCCAAAGCGGACGGATCCCTATGGAATGCGACAGCTCTGGGCATTTGATGTTTCCAAGTCAGGCTCTGTGTTGTCAAATCAAAGATTCCTCAGTAATCCCATTTCGTACTTCTATGATGGCGTGCGTGTGTCGCGACATGGGTTGATATTTTGCGGTGCAGGGGATGGCGTTGATGTCCTTGACCCCGACACAGGGTATACGCTTGGTACCATTCGCGTCGGCGGGGGTGAAAATGTGGCCGTGAGTGTGGCCTTTGGGGAGCATGAATTATGGATTGTGGGAAAGGGAGGAGTATGGCATGTTAAGGGGATTCAAGAGCGACTGGCTCGAGAGTGGTAAACGAACTCCCCTCGGAAGAAGCCTCAAGGTTTACCCAGTGCCACCAGTGTTAGTGTCCATGGATATATAAAGACGTCCATGTTACTTGTAAATAATCCACAGTCAATGCCTATTTCTCTGCCCGGCCCATGTAGGCATACTTTCTATAACCAAAAACTTTCATCGTAGCATTTTTGGGCACGAAAGTGGCCATCGATCGTGGGGATGAACACCGTCCTGAAGCTCCTACTTCCGCCATGTCAGCCAGGTCACCCAGCCAATGTACGCTAATGGACAATGGGTGGTGGAATGATTGAGCCTGAAATCCAAAGTGCATCCATGTCTTGTGGACAACGAGCGGAGTAATCTCCCCATACGAGTATTTCGGCAGAGTCAAGTGACCTCACAGAACAAGATGTAAGGTGAAGGATATATTTGACAAAAGCATATCTAGCTATGGAATAATGAATGGTTTAGAGAGAGTCTGATTTTTGTGGCAGTCTTTCCGTTTTTCACTTTAAATTTTGTTCTTCGCTCTGGTAAGAAAGAAAAAGGAGCCTCAGGCAGCATGTTTGTCATGGTTTATCGACATTGCCTTCGGCATTCGGACTTAACCAGATATTTTCTCTTCCTTGGACGTCGACAATTGTGAATCGGCTACGACCGGAAGTCAAACACGTAGATAGCTGTGTTGAACGATATCCTTGGATGCCTGTCGAAATGAGAACGGTAAACAGCACGTGGAGGCAACATGCATTGCGAAAATCGCTCATGAATTGTCATGTTGAGCCGAATGGTGTTAAGTCTTGAGTTTAGAGATTGGCTGCTTTAAAGACAAGATTTTGCATCGAGAACGTGGGAATCAGCCCATATTAGCCTGGGATGGTGGGTTGTGAAAGATTGTTCAAGGGATAATGCGTCAATGGAAGATTATATGCTGGTCATGGCGGTCTATGTACATTAAGTGTCCAATGGTGTATCTGCGCACACATTGTTTGCTATTCAGCTGTCCATTTAGGAAAGGACTACTCGGGTCTTGGGTCTTGGATGGATAAAGGAAAATTCGAGAGAAAGGTGCCACTAGACCGCACCACAAGTGAACGGGCTGTGGACGTTGCCAGTGCGATAATTGTTTCTCTGAGAAGATTTGTGAGCATACAACCAATTGACAAGAGAGAGGTGGCTTACTATATCCTCGATACTGGAATAAAGGCCTCCAACCAACACGACGAGACCGAAGATGAAGACCAAGAGGTTGACGATGCTGAGAAGAAGGTTTTCCCGAGAGTACCAGCTGCCCTTGCGGAGGAGGAAGAACCACATGACTGGGGGGAGATAGAACGAGAACCCCGAGGTGAACAATGCCGATGTGATCGAAAGCAAATCATCAAAGAAAGGAACAGCCTCTGCAATTACCCAAGCTAGGATCGTGAGAATCGTGATTAGAGTCAACCAGGTAATCCAGCCCTTGGTTGTATTAACATAACGGGTCACACTGTTTTCGTAGATACGACCGTGAATTAAACGCCCCGCAACAATCGTACCAATCGCACCAGAAATGAAGATGACTGGTAGGGCTATACCAAAGGCGACCTTGCTCACAAGTGAGCCGGCTGAGAGCAGCGCAGGCGATTGGACCTCTTTGCCGACAAAGGCGTAGATGGTCGCTCCGGTAACTGTATAAATTACTATCTGGAGGATACCAAGGGTCCAGATCGATTTGGTGAAGTCTTTGGGGGTGTGCATCTCGTCCATGAAAGAAAACAAGCAGCTGGCGAATGTGTAGGCAAACACAATGTTGCTAATTGCAATGAAACCATCCGAAAAGCTCGGGTCACCTTGTGGTAGGGCCGACCAATCAACTCGAGAAAGTCCCGACTGGGTGCCTTTGATACCGGTTGATATAATGGTGATGCCGATTGCCGCCACGATTGATACAAAATCAATGTAGCCCAACCAAGCCATATCGGCAAAAGACGACGGGATGGATAGTAACAAAAGAATAATAGCAGAGACAACGCTGAAGACCACCGAGCAGACATTGTTGCTGTCGGTGATATGGCGCCATGCAATCGTACCCGTCAAGCAGTTTGACCCAGTGAGAAAAACAAGCTGCAGGATTAACATAAAGGTGAAGAGTTCATTGCCCACACGGCCCATTAATAAACCACCGGCGTCGCCATAGTGTCGGACGCCAGGAAAGGCGAGTTTCACCTTTCCGATAATCCAGGATGTATAGATGGCAATTAGTCCAATGCCAACACAGCAGATCACCCCTGCAACCATTCCCAAGGATGCAAAAGCGGACGGAATCGAGAGCGATCCCAGACCGATGGCCTCGATAATTAGCATGATTGTGAGGCGTTTCCAACCCAGACGATGGTATTTGGCCTCACCGGCCTCGATAATCTGCTGCTCTCCGTCGTCCAGCGCGTCGGGCAGCATCTTGTTATCTGGAGACCAACCATTGGGTTTGGGGGTGTCCATCTTGCCCACACCACCGTCATTGCCTGGATTGGCGTCAACTATTTCTCTCGGGCAGCTCATAGTGATGTGAGCTGTTTGGAGCCTGTTCTTAGAGAGAAAAGGGGTAGGATGCCACACGTATATCGCAACATTAGACGTCTAAAGAGCAATGATGAATGAAATGTAACCAATCTCTTCACTTTTTTTTCTCAGTCATTTTTTTTCTATCTGGGGTATTTTGTCATAGATTACCACTTTCGGTAAAGTTGAAATTCGAATACATTCCGCATGCGGTGTGCAGGGGTTAGGTTCAATATAATTGGCTAGTTCCTGAAACTTCAGTGACTCAGTGACATCCATCAACCAATGATAATGGATCGGGAAACCGAGTGGTATCCGGATTTCCCTAGTGGTTACTTTCGGAAAATATCCAAGAAAATTCTGTCAGAGATCTACATGAGGTTATCGACCGGGTTCTGTGTGTGGATTCTGGAATGCTTCAATCTTTATGAGCCTATGTTGTGCGCTACTCCTCTACAGTAGTGAAGTATTCCACCCTTTTTATTTCGACAGCCATAATGGACAAAATACAATCTACGAGCAGGGTATTCATCCTACACAACACCACGTTCATTAGGTTCGGCTTGGCTTGCATTGGACTGTGTATCAGCGGCGCCACAAAATCTTACATTATTTTATTACATTATGTGGCGTTGAGGTTCGGTTTGTGGTCTGATTGGAAGATTGCCGGTGCGGCTAAATGCAGTGATTTCGACTAGAATTAAAATCGTAACCTCGGGCCGGGCCATATTATTTCCCTCCCACCCGACCGGAACGCTGCAGCACCAGCAATGAATCGAACGTATGCCACAGATGTAGGGTAACATACGGATCATATAGCAAAAACATGTACAGAAAAGACGAAGGTAGCTTCCATGACAGCCCTAAATATCCCATACCCGCACGGGAGAAGGCATAAAATCGCCCACCAGCTTCCAAATCCTTCTCCACATGTGCAAGCTATCGGCTTGCACCACGACTTGTGTGTTGCCGCGTGCGACCATCTGAAAGATCCCTAGTAGAACAGACTCATCGTATCCGCGATCTAAAATATCATCCATCCCCTCAAAGACGAGCATTGCGATTGCATCAGTCTTCAACCATCCACGAATGATACACTGCCAGATCATACCAGGTGTCCCTACGACTATATCGGGGACCCGCCCCGTCTCCGACCCTTGAAGCTCGACAATCTTGTCGTGGGCATCGTGGAACCCTCTAGGACAGCAATAGACTTTCACCGACGGCATTGCTGATGCCATCGTTCGGGCGATGCCCTTCACCGTCCATGCCAATTCAAACGTGGGGCTCACGATCAGAGCTTGGCATTGGGACGGAAGGTCAGACGAAGTAGCTGTATTGATCCGTTGGAGGATTGAGACCATGAGGTATATCCGTTTGAGAGGGAATGGGCCTTGGGCGAGGACATGGTGACCTGTGTGGCTGGACTCAACAGGCTGAACGTATGCATGTCTTGCGCTGGTAGGTCAAGAAGATACCTTGGACAATGGGGTGAACTAGTCGATGATAGCATGGCAGGTCATTACCCAGATTCCAAAGGCTCCTGTCCTCTAGTATCTCCGGTTTGAGCGCAAGCTCCAGCGTAGTCGCTAAGCAAGTTAGGCATATATCATATGAAATTCGAGCAAGCACCCAAACAGGTGTGTGTATATATATATATATTTACCTAGGGAGGAGGTCTGACGTTCAGGAGGCGGATGTGGCATCTGCTATGTCGGTCCCTAATTTAATACCGCTAAGTTCAGTACTCAAACCAGCCTCTCCAACCAAAACCCTCACAAAGACAAGAATAAAGAAGGCGAAAGATACTGAAAACCTTCCGACTCGTCGTTCAACGACCGGATACGAGTCACCTGCATGATGTTTGGCATGTTTGTTTGAATTCCCCAAATCGGGCAGCGTTGCATTGATCCCAAGGTTGAATGGCGCCAAGATCCTTACAAAGGATTCTAAATTTAAATGATCGACTATTGCCTTCTTGGCACAGGGATTTATTGAGTCTGATACTTTGCTTTGACGTGGATCGTCGGGTTGGCGCCAACAAACAAAGAACAGTCGGATTTACCACCTCGGAGATAATCGCGGCAATTTCCATTCCTGTCCAACCCCGAGATGTCTATAGAATGCATATCGAAGGCATATAAACAGAGTCAGGGCGGGTTGCAAACCCAACTCTCATTCAACAGTATCCAGGAAACGAAGCAAAAAACAACAGAAGCATAAACAATGACCGGACTGAAAGTCCTTATCTGCGGTGCCGGCATTACCGGCAATGCCCTGGCCTTTTGGCTATCAAAGATGGGCCACCACGTCACGGTCATTGAAAGGTATTCGAGCTTGCGTGCCACCGGGTTGCAAGTCGACCTCCGAGAACCGGGTATCACAGTCTTGCGGCGAATGGGCCTCGAGCAACAATTTCGTGCCAAGTCCATTCGCGAACAGGGTATGGAAATTGTCGATGATGCCGGCAAACGCAAGGCATATTTCGCCGTCAATCGATCCGGCATGGGAATGCAGAGCTTCACCACAGATTATGAGATCATGCGAGGCGACCTATGTCAATTATTATATGACGCCACCAAGGACCGCGCAACGTTCGTCTTCGGAACGACGGTCGAGAGCTTCACGCAGCGGGAAAGCCACGTCGAGGTAGAGTTTTCTGATGGCAGCCATGACCGGTTTGATCTATTGGTGGGTGCCGATGGACAAGGTTCTCGCACACGCAGAATGATCCTTGGATCCGAACCAGACCCATTTCACCCATTGGGGGTTCACATGGGATATTTCACAGTCCCACGTGAGATTCAACCTGGGGAGGAGTACAACGCGGCAATATACATTGCTCCTGGGCAGCGCTTTATCTTCACCCGGAGGCATAGCCCGCATGCCATGCAAGTTTACCTTGCGTGTAAAACCGACTCGGATCGACTGAATAAGGCACGCGGAAACACCGAGGAAGAAAAGGATGGCTTGGCGGAGATCTTTCGTGGGGCAGGATGGCAGACGGACCGGGTTCTCAAAGAACTCCAGAGCGCGGATGATTTCTACTGCGAGCGCCTGGGGGTGGTCAGAATGGACTCCTGGTCTGCCGGCCGAGTCGCACTAGTCGGAGATGCGGCATATTGTCCATCGGCGACCACTGGTATGGGAACGACCTCGGGCTTGGTGGGGGCGTACATCCTCGCAGGAGAGATCAGCAAGTTTCATCAAGCAAATCTCGCGCCAAAGGATCGCCTCCTCCTCGCTCTCAAGGCGTATGACGACATATATCGACCGTTTATGTCGCAAGTTCAGAAGGGAATCGAAAAGGGCTCGACATTCTGGGACTACACCCCATCTTCATCGTGGGGAATTACCGTTGTGCACATTCTCTTATGGGTAGCTGCTTTCCTGCGATTGGATATCCTCAGCCAATGGTTCATCCGTGAGGATACAACCTGGGTCTTGCCGGATTATAAACAGATGGAGCAGAGCTGACCGCATTACAGCTTCATATTGCCTGACTTCTGGTTTGGAGGAAGGTCAAATTGTTTGTTTTTTTAACGTTGTAACACATTCATGTACACAGTCTCTATCGATTTTAGCGGCGGAGAGGGGATATGAATGCTCTAAGGCTCTAGTTAACTAATGATAATATAGAGGAAGCAATTAAGCTATGCATTATACTTATGTGCAAATTCTCTAAACTAGGGCCTGAGCATGGCACGCAACCTACGTTATATTCACCATAATCTGCAGGCTGCTGCATGTCTCTGAATGTTCCCGAGTGCTGTCAGAAGGATGTCCTTTTGAGGGCATACATTTATATCATGATAACACCTTGCAGTTTACTAATGTGAAGATGGTTTATCTGTCACCTGCCATTGCCACAGCAGAACCCGACTGTATGTTTCTTCTGCCCCTTTCCAGTATATTTCCTCTTACCATCCCCCCTAACTTTAGAAGAAGTATTCCTTTTACACCTAGAATTAATATGATGACTCAACTACTTACTGTTCCAGCTCGAGCTTGTAAGTCTCTCAGGGTTGCTCGCGCACCCTCCCAGTTATCAGTCAAGTCTTCTATGACATCCTCAAGTGTTCTCCTCTCTTCAAAGCCATCCGAAAAGTTGATGTTGTTTGTGTCTCTACTCACGGTTTGAATGTAGGTATCAAAAGTTCTCCTAAGGATCCGTGCATCCCATCTGTCCCGGCGGATGATAGTATAATCATTTTCATCATTGTAATCTACCGGTATGGGCGGTTCCTCTTCAGTTACTGGGTCCACATCGAGAAACATCTTCGGATAGTAGAATGATGCCCATTGGGGAAGTACACAAATCATCTCCCAGTCAATGACAGCAACTATGTCATGACTGATTGGATCCAGGATTATATTGTTCTGATTGAGGTCGTGATGATAGAGTGTATGACAGGTGTCGGGATCTGTCGGTGGAAAGAAGCGCACAATCAATTCCTGAGCTGCCTGGCAGACTTCTAGCATCTCAGGCGCTTCTTCTAGGAGATCTTCATCGCAATCCGAGTCTATGTCGCTGGCATTCTCCGCTTTTGCAATCTCAACCCCGCTCTTGATCCACGCGGTCTGCATTTGTACCTTTGCCGATAGATACTGGAGAGAATTGGCGAATGGGCCACGGTTGGAAGGAATGTAAAGTCGCCGTTTGAAAAAGAAAAATGGCAAAACCATCTGCCCGACTTCTACACCTTTCCCGAGGTAACTGGACATGAACTTGATCTGTTGAGAGTCTTGAGCACTGCTGTTTGTTTCCGCACTAGTATTCGTGCCCTCGAAGTAAAGACTCCCAATTCTATCAAAGGGTAAGCTTCGTAGCTCAGCGGCGTATGCTGCTAACCGCTCGGAGATTTGGATTTTTGTTTCCAAAGAGATGGCACGCCACTTTTGCTCGAGCGGAACACCTTCAACCTTTTTCAAAAGAATCCATTCATAACCGAGGGCATTATCCGATGTAGAGCTCCATGCCACCACTTCTGGAACGGGAATACTAGTCTTCTGGCGTAGGAAAGCTAGTGTGGCAACTTCACTCTCCGTTTTGAAGAACGGGTCAACCGGAAGGGTGACACGGAAGAGGAATTTGTGCCCTTGGTTTGGGATAACAATCTCATAATTCTTGTTGAATGTCCCTTGGGCAAAGAAATTAACAGTAATGGATGGCACATCCCCCACTTGGGTGTGCTGGGCGGACAATGCTGCCGAGGCAATGGAGACAATAGCTGAAATGGCTGGTTCCGAGGGCCAGACTGGCGAGGATCCGGCGAAGGTTGTGTGCCATTGTAGAGGGGTCTTAGTGGGACGTGAACACGCCATTTGCCTCTGCTTTTAGGACCGATACACTGAAACGCCCACGTCTATGAAAGGGAGAGTTACAGGAGTGGGTGTTGTTGCACGCGGCGGAGTTGAATATGTCGGATGAGTCAGGTTTTAGTCATCTCGATTCCAAGAACTAGTACTAGTACTAACTAGTAGTAGTAGTAAAAACTAGTCGTCGGACAATTAGTAGCGATTTCTTATCTTGTTACCGAAACCTTAGCCTTTTACTTCTCGCGCTCTGCCCTATAAAATATACTAGTATTCTAGTTATAATATATCATGATTACTAATTACAGATAGAGCCCATAGTTAACTAAAGGAAGGATCGTATTATATGATGATAGTAGAATGTACTCGGTACATACATCTTTACGATGTACGCTCTTTATCTCAGATTCCACCCGCCACCCACAACGCCCTGAAGCGGTTTGCCTTTGATTTTATAGCTCTCAATAAGCCCCGCCTTAATATCATTCCACGATGCAGCGTCGTTCGCATCCACTCGGGCAATTATCTCGTTAGGTTTCTTCGAAGTCGTAATGCTGCTCCTCTGGCCCCCGGTCTTCTGGACCGCTAGGCGATGGACAAACTTGCCCTCGGCAGTATTACGCTTGATTTCAACGTTAGAGATATGCTCCCCACACCACTCATCCGGTTTAAATTCCCACCTAGCTGGGGTGGCGAGCTTACTCCTTGATAATCCAGACGAATGTGCGCATTTGTATCGTTGTATAAAGTCCATTCATGGTCAGGGAAATGGGCTGGGATAATTGTGAAGGTATTTAACCAGTCCCTAAAATGCTTCTTGCCCATGGCGACTGCGAATAAATGTATCTGTAACGCAAGCTTGAAGTCAAAGAGGAATTTGGAGGCACCTGAGGCTTTACTAGCGGGTTAATATAGGTAATCACCCACATATAAATCCCACCCTGTAAGACAATTTACTTTCACTCTCTGACACTAGAGACCAATAATAGGAACGTGTTCATAAAATTGGAGTGGAAGGCACTTGTATACCATGGCATTCGTCATTATACCGAGGTCCATTCGTGTTTTGATCATGCACCTACAGTGAGTATCCTGCAGTCAGATTTGCTGTCCAATAAACGCAGAAAAGCACCTGCAAGGTAGTCAGTTATCATAGGCTGGGGCACAAGGCTGTGCAAGAGGCTGTGTCTGGTGAGTGAGGGGAAGGTGGAGAAGAGCTCTCGATGGATCAGGATGTGAATCTACACCCTGCCGGGTAAATCCGTCAGGGGTGCTCTAGATCGATATCTTCTTGCCAGATTCGGTTTGCTATGCATTTGAACAGCTTTGAACAGCAAATAGCGAATGTGACTAGGAGCTGCGAGAGGAGGAAAGAAAAGCAAGAATGCACCCAAACTGGTTACGTGGACAATCCGAGCGCAAGGCTGAACAACTAAAATGAGTATCACGCGCCTTTGATAAACAATGATCATTGGTGATTGGCATAATTTTCACTCTTTTGAGCAAGCTTCTTGTACAACTCTGTGCTTTGACCTCTGTTGAATGAGAAAAGGATGCTGCACTAAGCATAGCATCCTTGTTTCGCCCATGTGCCAGACTGTAGGCTAGCCTAACCTCCCCCACCAGCAAAAGCAAAGTACCATATAGTAGCGGCTACTATTCATATTACAAAGGGCTGTCTTCACCATGGCAAGTGTTCGATACTCGGAAGAGCTTAATTTGAGCTCACGCAGCATACCATCTCCAAGAGGGACGTTCCTCGGTCCAGGACCCTCACCGCGCTCCTAGTCAATATTTCGAATAAGCTCTGGGCCTTCAACACCTTGTCTATAAATACCTGTCCACCAACTGCCTGAGCCCCGTCCTCGTTTGGGTTCAACATATGAAGCATCCAGAAGTCAGCTGTCCTTCTTGCACCACAATGGACACGCTATACCATTTCCAGTAAATGACCGTCCCAAACGGGACAAGCGCATTCTTAGTCATGAGGAGCAAGGCTCGAAGTCGCCGAGGCATCTTTTTCTTATCTTATCGTTCAAATTCTAGTTGCCTCGGGGTCTCGCGCTTGACGGAGTACTCCGGACAACCTCGCCTACTTACAAACGGTGTGTGTTATCCTTTACTCATTCTCTATCAGAAGACGATACCTTGAGAAGGATGGTTGACCCAGGCGAGAGCCCGAAGGGAAATCTGTCGTCATCCAATCCCTCTACGCCGGTTATGCGCCGTACCCGAGTCGCTTGTAAGGCTTGTAACGCCAGGCGAGTGAAATGTGACGCGGCTGATGGGCAGCCCTGCTGGCATTGCCGCATTCGGCAGACGCCTTGCGAATTGATTGACTCAAAACGAGGCAAGTATGTGGGTCTAGAGCTGTACATAGCTATTTCCCATTGAGGTTACCAACACTGCTAGGTACGCTCGGAAGCGGCACGCCCGAGCTCAAGATGTACATGGCTCCGGACGGTCACAGGAAACCAGGGATTCATCTGCCGGTGGGTTGACCCAGATGGCCCCGGCAGTGATGGCCCCTGATGCTACCCACAAAACTATTCAGTCGGGCCAGACCGATAGCATCCACAGACCAACCGCACTAGGAGGAAATGATCGGGGCAGTGGCATTGAGATACATCGCGCGGGAATAGCCGAGATTAATGGTATAGAGCGCCCCAAGAACGGTCAAGAACAGTCACATCATCGTACACAGCAGTTGGGAGAGTCGGTGGGTTTGTCGTACGTCGTCGAGGTTGTCTATAGTCCCAAAGACGGTTCAACCGAGCCCTTGAAAGTGCATTACCCGATCCCAGCTTCTATTGCAGATCGACCAGATGCGAACCAGGCACCACATGTTGGAGAGCCTGTCTCATTGCAGGAGGCTTTCACGATGCCGTCTCCCGACGTAGCTGACCAGCTCGTTCAAGCTTTTTTCCATAAGCTCCACCCGGCTTATCCAGTGTTTGATCGGCAAAAGTTCACACGGCAGTACCGCCAGGGCCAAGCCTCTCCACTTGTTCTGCAGACTATCTTCTTCCTGGGATTTACGGTTGGCAGTGACGAACTAGTCCATGCAGCTGGTTATAGTGACCGTGCCACCGCAAGGAAAACACACTACCTTCGGGCAAAGGCATTGTATGATGTTGACTATGAGAATGATCGAATGAATCTTGTGGCTGTCCTTTTGCTTTTTGGATTTTGGTGGGCTGGCCCCGAGGATCAGAAGGACACTTGCTTCTGGATCGGATGTGCGACAACTCTTGCTCAATCATTAGGAATGCACCGGCAGGTTAAGTCATCTCCATCTGCTGGAATTTCGGCTGACATTACATTAGCGCGTCGCAGTCCGCAATGAGTCAGCCCATGAGGTCTTTGAGGAAGCGAATTTGGTGGGCAATATATGTATCCCACTACCAGTTCCAACATTTTGTTTCGTAAAGCTAATCTAGCTAGACGCGTGACCGACATACCTCTGCGGCATTCGGCCGACCTTGTCGCATACGGGACGAGGACTGTGATGTTGAGGCCCTCGATGAGGATGATTTCAAATTTGACAATGACTATGACCAGACCCTCATCCCCGTCCAGACAGACTTTCATATCTCTTACGCCCTTGAGATGATAAGATTAGCTACAATACGTTAGTCGCCACCCACTTACTGGCTGCCACTCCCCCTTCCATACCAGATAACTCACAATACCGTTCTAGTTGGCGATATACTTATTGGGGAATTCAGCCCTCGTCGTGCTGCACTGGACAAATATGATACAGAAGCACTGGCAGGGAGACTCGCCCAGTGGGAATCGAAGTTGCCGGGTCACCTTCGGAAGACGACACCAGATGGATCATTGGGTGCATCGTTCTGGGCGTCCATGCTACAATTTAGCTACCAGTAAGGGTGCAATACCTCGTTACATGTCATGAATACGCTAATCAAATTTAGAAATTGTCTCATTCTTCTATTCCGACCAAAGGCTATCGAAAATCTATCTCCAGCAGAAGCCAAATGTGATGTCCGAGGACGGATGGCGGCTGACACTATTACCCGCCTTGCAGAGGATCTTCTTGGTGCCGGGATGATCAAAGCAGGGCTAATCCACCTGTATGACTATGAACTTTCCTGCCCTGCAGAAACCATCCTTTGTCCTAACTCTCCATAGCGTCCCGGCTCTGTTCTCTGCTCTCTCGGTCCACACGATCGTCATCTGCCGGAAAGACCCCATACGTCGACAATTGGCCGAGAACAAGTCGCGGCAATGCTTACTAGCATTGAGTGAGCTGGCCGGTAGTTGGCCAGTCAAGATCTGGATTGCTAAAGCATTTTTAAACTTGTTGCGAAGGCTAACGGTGCAAGGCTCTGCCTCGATAGTCAATGTGTCTTCCAGCATTGCGAACAATCGTAGCAACGTAACACTATCAGGCCGTTCGAGCTCATCCGGGCTACATCGTGCACATAGTCCTAAGCAAACCGTATTGGAGAGTTCCGACCGAAATGAAACAATGACCCGGACCGGGTACCTTAATGGACCACAGCTTCGAGACCTTCATCCATCTGGAGGTTTCCCACAAGCAGCTGATCACTTTGTATATAATTCATTCTGGGCGAGCTATCTTGATAATACTTTCGACGTCGACCTACTTCTGCATAACGGGCTAGGGCCAACGTTAGCTGGGCCCTTCGATGGCTTGGATGCGGCTGAGGGTGCGAATCCTCTACAATTTTAGACAACGATGCTTTGACCGTTTATTTACAGGTATTCTTATATGGGTCATTTACCACACGTAGAGTCAAATCTTAAGGTGCCTTGGCCGCAGTTTGAGACGCTTTGTTCTCATACGTACGGCGGATGTGAGGAATTCTAATGGAAACGGCCATATGCAACAGTTTCTATAACGTGAATTGGCTTAGCCAGCATAACGTTCTTCCAACATGCACCCACAGTGTATTCCTGTCGTCGCTCGAGGGAAGGGACACTTGCTGGCATTGCACCGCCACGGTCTATGTCTAGCTCCTCTCCATTAACTTGAACTCATAACCTCTGGACATATAGCTACCTTCAAAATGAAGCCGTTACATTGCTTTTGACAGCGTGTTCAGTCCAGCAGAGCAAATTTGCTCTTGGCTCTCAGCGCCTTTCCGTATTTAAAGAATAGCCATGGGAATGGCATCATGGCAACTGTTAGAAATGCCAGAAGGCTGGTTGCCCACTGATAGCCGAGCTTGTCGTACATCTGGCTACCAAACAGTGGAAATGCAGCTGTTGAAGGAATGGTCAGCAACCCACTATGTTACAGCTTTGCTGACCAAGGTTTGCTGTGAACGTGAAGACGTACCTGCGAACGTGCACCTAGCGAAGCCATTAGCGGCCAGGGCAGACGCGGCGTATTGTGGGTAAGCATCGACCTATTTTATAGTCAGTACGACGTGTCTTTCGGCTTCCAATCGACATGGTGGGAGCACATGAACATACAAGAAATGTAAAAATGCCGGTAAATGCCAGCAACAACCTGCTCCGTGGGAATAGATTAGTTCAGGAACCTCAAATATTGCACAAGACGAATCTCTCAGCATAAAGTGGAAGATATGGTAGATACTCACCCACCCCCAAATACAGCAGATCCAATGATGGGCACTATCCAATGAATACTCGAGTAGGTAGTCCAACCAAACCAAAAAAGCCCAATGGGAATAAGAATGCCACCTACAATAGCCGGAGGAAGTCGGTATTCCGGCTCACTGCGTCCAGGTTCTTTTGCATTATTGTTCAACAGACGCTCACGAATGTTGGACCAGATCGGAGTTGTAGCGGCAGCGATAACCATCCCCATTATAATTCCCACAAATGTCAGTCCACCCTGCCAAAGGTTCATGTTATATGTTGTTCGAAAAACCATCGGAAAGGTGCCGAAGAATAAGTATAAGATGCCCAATAAGATGGCCGAGTAGATATCCAAGCATAGACACATGGGTTCCAGAAAGAGAAGTTGGAATGGTCGCAAAAGTGAGACTACTATTATCTGCCTCCATGTCTTGTTGTTATTCTCCATCGGTGCTCTATATCGATCGTTCCCGGTTTCTTGGCGAAGCGCTCTAGCCTTTGTACGTAGTATGATGGGGTGATATGTCTCTGGCGCAAAGAATATCATGCAGATGAGCAGCACGGCGGACCAAATGATCATGATATAGTAGGTCCACCTCCAATCCAGGTGGGAGTTGATAAAGCCACCGAGTACAGGCCCTAAAGAGGGTCCAATGAATGGGACTGATGAGACCAGCGCCATTGGTGCTTGGATCTGATTCCGTGAGAATACGTCTCTAGCGGTTCCTCCTGCAACGGAAAGGAAGGTGCCTCCAGTAAAGCCATTGAAGAATCGAGAAACAATAATTGTCTGAATATTTTTCGCCACAGCGGACGGAATTGTCCAAACTAGGAACATCGACCATGCGACCAGATAGATGGGTCTTCGTCCGTAGTGCTCGCTCAGTGGGCCAGTGAGCAAAGGCCCTGTACCGATTCCTAAGACAAAGGACGACAGTCCTACGGTCGAGATGAGCGTTGATGTGTGAAACTCGGGATTCATCTGTGTATAGGTAGTTGTGTAGATCGAGCTTGTGCAAGTCCTATATGGCCCTGATCAGCCAACATCATGGGAAACCAATATAATGAATATCGGGGCAATAGATAAGGGACCTACACGCATAAGGTTCCGGTACAGACAATCAACACAATCACCCATTTCCTCACCAACGGCATGCTTCGAGGGCACATCGGGTCTTGGTCACCATCGAACGAGACCTCGTATGGGCCGTGGTCTGCTCTTGGAAGCGCTCCCTCCACACTAGCATCGGGATACTCTCCACATTTGTCCTGCGAAAATTGCTCGCTTCCCCAACTGCTCCTAGAATTAGAATGGTGAAATGTGGCACTTGCGGATGACGGCGGCGGTGATAGATTCGAGCATCCATGATCTTCTTTCTCCAGTTTCAATTTATGTTGGTCGTTGGCTTCATGGTTCGCACCGGAAACCTTTGCTTCATCGGCCATCTCCGTTATTGTATCCATAGTCAGAGCAGAAACTTGACATATGGCGAGGATATCTTCAGTTGACAGATTCAGACTTTTGAACCTGTTGCTTGTATTATATCCTCTGCCCAGGTGGGTTATTTACAAACATTATTTGAATCCCAGGCTTATCGGACGCGACACTAATTAGAAAAAAACAATGGCCAAGCGAGTGAGACGGCCTTAGCTCCATATGGGGTAGAGAAAGCGAAAGTGACGAGGAAGAAGCCTCGGTGTTTCCAGGCAGATATGGAGAAATAGACAACACAGCCGAGATTGAGATGAACAGCTTCCCTCTACTAAAATGCCGAGAATATCATACAATTACGTAACAATGTCTATATTGAACCCATTAAGGTGGCGAGTAACACACAGTCAGTTCTACAAGAGCCACAGTCCCGTTAGCCTGGTATAGCATTCTGGCTAGTGAATATCTTGTCCTCTTCTAGTATGCCCATAGTTCAATGACCCTACCAGTTTTTACTATTATTGAACCGACACATTTTATGCAATGAACTTTTTATGTCCTCCTTACGTAAAGCATAAACTTTTATTCACGCCCTTGCAAGAAATAGGGTATTGGCACAAAGATAACCTGTCCTGTTGATATCTATAAATTACTCATGAGTTTAAACGTCTTTAGGGCTCTTAGCCTCTAAGAGGATACTATCGTTGACTCATAACTGTAAAAGCCTCGCCTTCATTATTTCGATTCTTCAAATAACCTCGCCTAGGTTAAAATGGTCTCGCCCCACTTGGCTTACCCGGCTAAAGCATTCCACCAGGAATACTTTATGGAACCTTCGGGTTAAACTGCACAGAAAGATCTCCGATTTGTCGCCGGAGGGCGCGCCAAGTCTGGAGCATATATGATTGACTCAGCCAACTGGAGACGATTGAACATGATAAAGCGCCCTGTTTCACCTTTTAACTCACCCAACGAAAGAGATAACGGATAAGAGATACCTGTGTAGTGGGTCACTTCCGATTAGCTAGCATGGACTCAATTCGCCAGGAGGAGCATATCGATGCAGCGATAGTTCAGCATCACTTGTCGAGGAGAGCCGCAGAGAATTTTGAGCACCGAGATGTCTGGGGTCCACGAGAAAAGTCTATGGCAAATCCATGGTCACCAGAAAACCCCGATGGGATGTAGGTTCATCTCTTGACACTTGGTCTATCTTTTATAGGAATGTATACTAAACTGATAGTCAAGCATCATACTTCGCCTCGCGGAGAATAGCCTCTTGCATGACGAGATGGGGCAATTTATAAAGGACCAGGTTGATACCCCCGACTCATAGTTCTCTACGTGCATTTTCTTATTTCCCGTGGGCATAGATCAATGTACTTCCCCTTAGTCACCTTACCTATAGTACAGGCCCTCGTGGATCACGTCGTCTTCGGCGTGCTGCAGCTGCATTCTTGAACGAGGAATTCCACTCTCGCAAAACAATTACGCCGGACAATCTATTCATCACACCTGGTCTGGCCAGTGCCATTGACGCTCTAACCTGGGCCATCTGCAACGACGGCGATGGCATTCTAGTCCCCCAACCATATTACAATGGATTCGATTTCGATATCTTGAATCGGAGCAATGGTAGGGTAGTCGGGGTTAAATATGAGGGCATCGAGGGATTCTCCGGGTTAGACGACTTGTTCCGTCCTGATGTGAACCAGCGGGCTCTTGAAGTCGCTCTTCGTGAAGCTAAAAAGAACGGCATAACTATCCGTGCTCTTCTAGTCTCCAAGTAAGTTGCCCGATACTATAATAGTAATTGGCTATCTACTAACAAGAACATTTCAAGCCCACACAACCCTCTGGGAAGATGCTATGTCCGTATTCAGTCCCTCCAACCTGATTCATGAACCGTATGTAAGCTAACTATATCCCAGCCTCCCGAGACTCTTCTAGAATTCGCCGCTTTCTGTGGTAGGAATCAACTCCATTTTATCTCTGATGAGATCTATGCGAAATCAGTTTTCCCCAACACTACCATGCCGAGCCAGACACCGTTCGTGTCTACTCTTGCTCTCGATCTTCGCGGAGTCATTGAGCCAAACCTCATCCACGTACTTTACGGTGCAAGCAAAGACTTCTGTGCGAATGGACTGCGCCTAGGACTTGTGTGTACCAATAATGAGGGGTTAATTGGCGCAATGTCTAGCATTAGGTTCGTATTGGAAGCTATATCTTTCCCAGACTCTATTCCTAACGCATGTTGCAATTAGTATGTTCTCTTGGTCACCCCATGTTCTCCAGGACGTCTGGGCGGCTATGCTAGAGGACAGACAACAGCTGGAAAGATTTATGGTCAAGAAGAGCGGATTGATGGCAGAGAACTATCATATCGCAACGTCATTCTTCCGAGAACGGGGTGTCAGCTACTACGAGATGTAAGTCGCTTTACGTGTATTACTGCGGACAAGTCTAACACCTTTAAGGAATGCTGGGCTGTTCATCTGGGTTGATCTACGAAACCTGCTCATTCCGAAATCGTCACGCCATCAGACAGACTACAGCGAACTGAGAGTTACGTATCCTGATGCTAGCGTATATAAAAAAAGCGAACAGAGATTTGCAGATATATGCTGCCACAATGGTCTTATGATCGCTCCAGGCAGCATATATGCGGCGGAAGAGTTCGGGTGGTTCCGGATTACATTTACGGTGGGAAAGCATACATTAGAAGAAGGCCTCAAGCGTCTTGGGAAGTCGTTGGATGTGGCTGAGGAGGGTTTGTAATCTCAGGTAAAAACTGTTAGAATTACATGATAACAGGGAGAGGGCTGCAAAGCTACTTTGATAATGTATGTCAACAGATGGATGTGGATGGGACGGTTATTCGGTCACCACGATCACTACTAAACCCATGTACAACTCTCGATGCTATGAATGCTTTCTTCACGGCCAGAACCTTGGATAACAAACAGACTTGACACCAACGCACTCTTCCGGCATTGGTTCTTCACCAGAGGCCACTTCTCTAAAGACATAACGTTCCCCTTGGAGTGCAGCTTTAATCCAGTATTTCCGCTCTACTTGCTTCGACTTGTCAAACAGTGACACCAGCTTTCCTGCAACCCCGGTCCTCTGCTGTAAAGGCGAGATAGTTTCCTGGACGATGAAGTAGCATTCTTTGACATATGGCTCGTTCTTTGGGTGCATCAGATAAACAAGAGCCCTTCCCTCACAGCCACGTAGCTCGCGTAGATATGTCCCTCGAAGTTCGATGACGGCGATGGGTTGGAAAACTCCTTCCGGGCTCCACACCTCTAGTCGTTGCTCACCCATTCTTAAAAGGAAGGAGTAAAACGCGTAAAAGTCGGTCCCTGGATGCATGAACGATAGATCCTTGTTGAGCAGGTGATCTAGTGTTTTGAGCATCGAGTCGTCGCATCCCCCTCTGTAGTGCCAATCTGGAAAGAAAAATAGGTCAATGGTTTCGGCCACGGATTCCGCATATGACGGAGGATTCACCGTGGTTGGAGTGGGTGGCGGTCCCATATCTGATCCTTGCTCCATATTGTCAACAGAAGACGCGAGTGTATAAGAGTTGGATGTATCTTGAAGTTAGACGTGGTGACAAAAATGTGTCTGGTATGAGGCGGGCTAGGAAAGGCATGACTCGAGTGATGCATGTTAGGTAGAAGCCTATTTAAGATCACACAAATAGACTGCATTGTCTCATCTATGGCATGTCTTTGTTTTTCTCATACTTAGTAATCGAACTATTGAGGCATGGTGCCAGCTACACGGGAGTAATAGCCATATGGCTTGAACCCGGTGTTTTCCAGTGGACTTTAGGATTGCATAAACATCACACTGTACATTGCACTCTTTGTCAAGCTATGACAATCAAGCTATTTGAAGAGCTAGCTAACTCCCGGGTACCATGTCTTTGCTAAGACAAAGACGAAATAGAATTATAAGGCTTGAACCATGATAGGTTTGTGTCTTTGTCTCTTGCTTTATATCTTGGTTTTCATTAATCTGCCATTATATCCCGACACATAGGACTACACAAGGCTCTCAACTCCATCACTGGAGAATAGCCACAATCCGACGAAAGGGTCCTCCATATTTCTCCCATATGAGGGTGGGATATTGCATGTATGGCCCGTGACAGAAGGGTGTGTTCATTGTCAAGCAAGAGGTATTTCACTACTACCAGGCCATAAGGGCAATATATGCAGGGTTCTATGACAAGTTATAAGTTGCACAAATGGTAAAGCAATTGATAACACAATACAGATTTAAGGGATGAAAGAGATGCGACGAATAATATGTTTAAAAACTATAGGCTGCGGAAGTCATGATGGATTTTCTAGACAAAGTTGCAATAGTGATCGTATGGAATGTTACCCACATATGATTCAAGTAGTTAAGCAATCAACATATTACTCAGCAAATTATAGTATCCAGCCAAAAAAACCAAACCCACGCGCTGTAAACAAAGACGAGAGAATCTTTGCTAGACAAGTATAACGTGGTCCTACAGTCCTAAGGCCTCTATTTGTCACGGATCTCACTATGCCACTTGTATACAACCCGGGCCATGGCACAATCACCAGATTTGTTTATAACCACCACCCGCCGTGTGTGGTAACGCTCGCCGCGGATTGTTTCGAAGCCCCATACCTGAATATCCATTGTCAACGGCTATATAGTGGTCTAGAGGCATTTCTCATCACCTACCTGCTCCATGGTCCATCCTAGGTCTTCACTGCGCGAGACGGTATGCAACCAACTTCCACGACTAGTTCCCATTTCCTCTTGCGGCAGCTCCTCAACTAAAAAGCCTGCGTCGCGCTCACCCTCAGCAGAGACCGCCCCCCTCAGGAAGTCGTAGCTCCTTTCACTTAGGTTTGGTGTGTCTAGCTCAAGAGCTGGTCGAACTTGGCCATCCTGGTCTTCCACGCCTCCGATACGTCGGCTACGGACGCTAAGAGTCCCGAAAACGTAGTCCTTTTGGGTGTAGACTTTCCAGTCGAGTGTCCGCTTCTCGGTTGTACCGTTGAATCCGCCGGTTACCGTATGTACAACGTCAACGTGCAGCGCTAGCGGTGAGTAATCTGCTCCGATGCTGGCGTACTCGGTGATTGTGAATGTGATTGTTACATGCTGGAAAGCGCGACGGATAATCCAGTTGAGGCGTTGCTGAATGCCCTCTCGAGTAAGCTCTAATGTTCCCTCAATTTCATATCGAGCAATATATGACTAAAGGAAAACCATACCAACTTCATCATGGGTTCAACGTTCGCTGATAGACTTTTCTCCTATATCGGCCATCTATTCAGTCTAACACCGTACGCTTTCCAGGAAAAGATTGAAGAGCACGCACCATGACCCAATTTCCTGCTAGGTTTAGAAGCGGAAGAGGTTTTGAGGAAGTCATGATTAACCCTCAGCGATCGCGTAGGCAAGGACACGCGTGATTGCACGATGTTCTTTGACGAGAAGTTAAGACAGGTTTAACAGGGAATGTAGGGGCAAAGAGGTTAGATTGCGATGAAGATGTAAAAGGTCTACACATTGAACAAATAGACACCACCTTAATCTTCTATACGCGATAGGAGCATTGTTTTTGAGAAACAATCGTTCTAAGTCTCGCAATGGCGAAGTGGAAGTCAACACAAGAAGGGCTACAGAAAATGACCGACCCTTTTTCTTCCTATACCTAAATTGGTATTTTGTTGGTCTATCTTTTTCTTTGGCATTGCTGGTATGTCGATCTTTCGCAACCCCTAGATTATACTTATTGACTTTTCTGCAAGGGGGTGGAGAGAAAGCTCCAACGGGACATTTTGATACTGGTCATATGCATTAAAGGTAGCTCAAGTATGACTGCTGCGAGATTTTAGAAGCTACCTAATTGATCATCTCTTCAATCGCTCTGGGCAATGCCAATACAAACCCGTCGTTCTATTTCACCTTTTGGTATACAATCATTATGGATCCACTGGAAGAGTCTTCCGCACGCGCCGGTGTGTTTGAGAACTTCCCCGCAGCACTAGTAAGTCGAGGCAAGGCTATTGTCAGGTATTTACTCTATGCCGCCATTGCCGATGCGATAACCCACTGAGGCCTAAACTTTCAGTAATTGCCTTCACCCCGAACCTTACAAGACACAAGTCAATCTACAAAATGCCCCGCTGGGCAAAGTCCGATGTTGAGGAAGGCATACAGGTGTATTGCCCGTGAGGTTTTCACCCGGTATATATCGGCGATGTGTTCAAAGACCGGTATAAAGTACCCAGCAAGATCGGATACGGTGTCTATTCAACAGTCTGGCTGGTTAGAGACCTAAAGCCGGTACAGTGAGTTCATAGATCACAAGGAAAGAATACAAATTATAGCTAACATAGAGATACAGGTCTGGCCTTGAAGATCAGTTCCGAGCTCTCAAAGTGCTCAGTGCCGAATGCTATGAGGGCACAGACTCCCCTATCTTTGAGCGGGAGATCTTGGCCCATCTTCGAGACGGAGATCAAGACCAGATAGGGTACGACCACGTCTGTCATCTGCTTGATGACTTTGAGCATCGGGGACCTAATGGAACGCACGTCTGCCTTGTCTTTTAACCAATGGGCGAGACGTTGCGGAGCTTCGGCGCCTGGTTTGCTGAAAGCAGGCTTCCGAATTCAGTGATGCCGAGGTTCACCATTCAACTGTTGCTGGTTCTCGATTTTGCTTACGAACATAATGTCATTCATGCTGGTATGAGGCTGCTGTCTATACATTCTTGTTTGGTCATGTACCGCTATGCTAATATCTTTCCAATTCGCTGTCAGACCTCAAACAGATAACATCTTCGTCAAGTTCAGGGACTATTCCTTGATAGAATCCGGTTATCTGGCCGATGTTGCTATTCCTCAACAGGATCGGTCCGAGGGACAATACTCCGTCGTGCCCTCGACACACTTACGCCGCTACTACTTCAATGAAGCTGACAGTAGGTGCGTTGACGATTCGACATTGCTCTGGGAGACTGGGGCGTCTCCAGCTGGGCGGACCGACATCTAAGCGAAACAATCCAGCCTGTTACCCTCCGATCACCAGAAGTCCTGTTCCAGGCGCAGTGGGACGCGAGCACCGACTTCTGGAACCTGGGGGCCGTCGTGCTCGAAGTATTTCAGGCGGTTCCCATGTTTAGCGGATTAGTCCCGCCGGACGGTCATTATGAGCTCAAGGAGCACCTGGCGGAGATTGTGGACTTGTTTGGGCCATTTCCTAATGGGCTTTTGGCGAGAGGGAATCAGAACCCGGTCCAAAACCTCTTTGGTGGCGATGGCCGGATCAAGGACGCACCGCCAATGAATCGGCCGGGACTGGCGTCAGAAGCCTAAGAAGTCAGGGATATGTTTGCCTCCTTTCTGCGCGCGATGATGAAGATAAATCCCGCCGATCGGGTTTCGGCAGGAGACCTCTTACGACACCCCTGGTTAGATGCACTTTAGAGAAGTTTCGTTGGATAGGTTGGCTAGGGAGGATGAAGAGAACATTGAACTCCAATATTAGTACCACGGAGGAATTCGGAAAGGCTGGTCTTCACAGCGTGACATAATAATTGTAGTCGTGGTATTTTCAAGACTATCATTTTTTTGCATCCAATCTATCCGACGTATTTGTGGCTATCAACAATAATTCTTGGCTCCGACTTCTCACCGAGTCGGGTTCGACATTACACCAGACACCGATAGACCAGTTATTCAGCCGATTCTCCAAGGCTATATATCTTCTTAATATCCTGTAGCATGCTCTTAAAGTCAACATCAAGATCTCGAAGTAGCCCATCACGTATGTCAAACACCCATCCATGAACCACAGGATACCCGTGCTTTTGGTAGCTCTGTTGAACTGCGGCGGTTTTAACAATATTCCTGCACGACTCGACCACGTTCAGCTCAACGAGGCGCATGTATCTTGCCCGCTCGTCCTGGATGCCGTCAAGTTCAGCTTCGTGTAGGCGGTAGACGTCGCGAATATTTCGTAGCCACGGATTAAGTATGCCCAAGTCAGATGGGGTCAATGCGGCCTTAACCCCTCCGCAGTTGTAGTGGCCACACACAACAATGTGCTTGACGCCGAGATGTCGCACCGCGTAGTTGATCACCGCCATCACGTTGAGGTCCGTGTTGGGGACCAAGTTCGCGATGTTCCGGTGGACAAAGACCTCGCCTGCTTCGAGACCCATGATCTCGTTGGCGGGGACTCGACTGTCACTGCATCCTATGTATCTGTTTTGTTTTGTTAGTTTGCTCAACGTTACTCTGATCAGGACGTGCTTACAGATATTCGGGGGCTTGACCGGCTGCGAGCTTCTCGAAGAACGCGGGGTCTTCTTGTTTCTTGGAAGAGACCCAGTTCCGATTGTTCTCAAAGATCCGCTCGTGCGACTGGTCAAGATACTGGCTGATCTTATCTTTAGGTGATGCCATGGCTCCTATATTATATTATATTGTGTGGATGTGATGCTGTGTCATGGACAAAGCGGGGTTGATCGGAACATTGGCAGTCGCTATGTAACTCAACCTTAAGTTATCTTATCAAGATTATATCAGCATTGTTATCTTATCGCCTTTGTTTGTCTTGTTTGTCCGGGTAGTGGGTACAAAAAGAACCCCTTGAATAGCATCTTTGGCATCATGGGCTGCAGCAGGTATATGCTTCAGTGCAACTTAAAAGGCAGAGTCTACAACCGCAAATCCAGTTTACTCGAGAATGGACTTGCAACACTTGTTGTCGCTTCCACGCAGGGGGTCCACGGATCCAGAAGCATGCCCTTATTCAATTCCCGGACAATTGTATTGACGGTATATGTACTAACAACAAATAATGTGAGGAAACGGAAACACCTTAGTACCTAGACAAATGTAGCATATACATACTCGGCGCGACCAGAGAGAGAACCCAACAATACCAGTGAGCCCAGATCGTGCAGCAAACCAGGCAATCACTGCCCAATACCCTTGGTCCTGGCTTTTATCGCATTCATTTCACCATGCAGCTCATCAATCTTGCCCTTCAACTCAGTTATCCTTTCACTAGTGGTGATGTCTGCGTCGGTTGCTTCCGATTCCAACTCCCCAACCTCTCCTTCTAACTTCCGCGCTTCCCCTCGAATCTGAAAGTATAGTCGATACTCGTTAGGGTCGAAACAAATTCCATAGCCTTCGCAATAACAGGTTGTCTCAACCGGGCAAAACTCTGCCTGCCCTGTAAATAACCAATGCCATATATATTCCCAGACTCTCCCAGACAGTCGATCATCGAGCTCAGTTGCGAGAAGCCAATGACGGAATTCAAGGTAGCGTTTCTGAGAGATCTTTCGAATTTGATCCGCGCTCACAGCGAACTGTGCACAGCATGGTTGTGAAAGAACGGATGGCACTGGGCTACCGGGGAATAGCTGACCCCATGCCATACCGATAACTGCAGCTTCGGGAACGTTAAGAATATCATCTGATTCTTTTCCTATATATGGATGAATGTGGTCAGGGCATCCTGGTTCAAGATGACAGCGAAGATTCATATAACCGTTTTTAAGTATATATTGACTTCTTAACCGGCGGACCATCTTAGCCGAGTCAGAATCGAGGAAGTCGTTATTATGCCAGGTGATCTGGTGAGCATGCATAAATATTGAGATGTCGCTGAGACTGTAATAATGATCGATTATATAGGTTAAATAGACCATAACCTCGTGGCCTTTATTTAAGGGAACAGTGAACGGTGCACTGGTATTATTATCCACCACATAGACAGCACTGGTAAGATAAGGGTCATCCCGGACAAGGCTGTCGACCCATAAGGTATCCTCTTCCTGTAGTTTGGCAATCACAAGTGTGCGCGTCGCATTTCGCTCGACCGATGGTGCTGGTGGATGGTGCGTCGTAGTTTCTTTGGGGGCCTCTGCTGGCTCCCGGCTATCGGGCTCTTGCGGCGTCGGATCGCTGTTGGTGGGTAAACGTGCAGGGTCGTGCTGCAGAGACAGATAGAAAAAGTACGTGATTATTAATAGAATAAGGGCGGAAACAGCAAGCCAAAGGGCTCGCCTGCGCTGCTGCATGCTGGTGGTCTATTGTTTTATTTTTAAAGGGACTGTCTGTTTTTAAGAAAGAAAGCAGTCTCACTGTCTTCTGGGGCCTGGCGGAAAAATTGCGACAGATATTGTAATTTGGGAGCCCACATGTCAGCGTCCATTGAGGCCGAAAGAGAAGCGCGCTTAATATGAATACCCAATAAGAAATTCCTGCGTCCCACTTGAAAAGCAACGGTGTATGCAGAGTGTCTACGCCGCTGATACGTAGCCAATTAGACCCTCGTGGACCCTGAACCAGCCCTGTACACTAGTGAGGCTTGGCAGCGCTTAGGGCTATCAGATCCCTGTCCGATGGAACACCCCAGCGACGGGAGACCCGACATAATAAGGGGAAGGCCAAAGCCTTGACGACCCCAGGAGGGCGACGAGTGCCCTTCTTACTCCGTATCCGTGCTCTGAACCCATCCTCCCCCGGGAGTCAGTTTGTCCCTTACTTCTGCGGTGCCACACCGGCTAGTAGCCATGAGACAAGGATATCATTATTTGTTGGAGGGCGTCCTTCTCAGCCTGATTCTTCGATTTCTGCCTTGTGTTTCCGCGACGACATGCTACCTCCCAAATGGTGAGGTGGCCCCCAGCGACCAACCTTGCTTTCCTCAGAACCCGGTCTCCTCGTGTTGTGGAGGTAGCACCTATGTTTGCTCAACAAACAACATGTGCGCTCACTACAGCGGAGAATACTTTGTCATTGGCAGCTGTACTGATAAAACCTGGAATTCGCCAGCCTGTCCGGGGTACTGTTTCTTCAGTAAGTGGCGTTCCTTGCAACTTTATCAGCCTTTTGGGACACCCAGAGAAATAACAAGGGTCTAACAGGGGACCATATCCATAACTCGGTCTTCCGATGCTCAGCAGATAAATACTGCTGTGCTGATGGCCCTACTTGTAACTGCACAACAGGCATCAATACGCATGACATTCAGGACTTTTTGCCTCCATACGCCGATCTTGTCGGGTCCTCTATCACCATCAATACGGCTGTCGTGACAAGCTCCCTGTTCACCCCCATTGGAGCAACTTCTACACCGATGACATCGGCCCCAGCTTCCACGACTGAGACGTCATCTACAGCCTCGACTACATCTACCAGACCAGTATCGACATTATCAAACGTATCACCATCACCTTCATCAACTGGAGCAACTGGGGAGGAGAATGTCTCTGGAAATAACAGCGGTATGAAAATAGGTCTTGGAGTAGGAATCTCGGTGGGTGTGGTGGCTATTGGCCTCCTAGCACTATGGTACATGATGTGGCGACGATCCAAAAAGAACAAGCCAAACATCCAGGTAAGGCTGATTACACTAGACTAATAGGTGTACGTATTTAACCACCTGCCTACAGACACCATACACACAATATAAATCCCCATCCCATAACCAGACTCACCCACTAGCTGAGATGCCAGGTGAGCCCCCAAGACCGCCGGGGCCGATATATGAGGCTCCATGATCATCCGATGAGAATCATTATTTCAAGTGATTAAATACAGCGTGGGTGTTTTATCTACCAAGCATAGTTACAGGGAGATGAGATTGACATTTGGCATTCCTTCAGAATACCCGGGTACCGTATGTGGAATCCTACATGCGATCCAGATACCCTATTATAGCACGACCCGTCACTCCGCAACATCCACCAGTAACCCTCCAGAATATCGAATGTAATAGAATATACCTTCCAATTTCAAAAAGAGATTGTGGTGGAGAATTGGGTTTTGTAAGTATATTGAATTAGAGATGTTACACAACTAGTTAGCTATCATTCTACATTATACCATTACACCCTCATTTTCTTGACATTTTCTTTGTCAAAGAAGAGGTTAATTGGAAGTGGCCAACAGATTGCGTCGCAAAGCACGACATTAAGATACATATCACTTGCCTCAAGTCGCCAAAGGAGGATTAAGTCGCACATTGCCCCAACGCTGTTATCGAACTCCCCTTAATTCATCAGGGACCGATAACGCAAGTTTTGACTGATTAATCAAACGATTGGATGGGTACTTCATTGAAATCACCCACCCTACAGTCAACCCGGAGAGCAAGTTAGCTAGTAGAGGAGAATGCAATTTTACATCGCACACTAGCAAATCTACCAAAACTTCATGCCCTTTCGCCAATCACTGTAATTGACAGAAAGTATACCAAATATCATGTATTATTAATATTATTGGTTTCGCAAACATGCCGTCAATTAGTTAGCTGATATTGGAAATAGTAACATGAAGGCTGATTTGGGAATCGGGTTCCAGGTCTTCGGCGCGATGACTTCGAAGAAACTCAGCTTAGGATACTCCTGGTTTGTCATGGGCATTCAAAGGACTATTAGTACATAAGGCATTTATCTTAGCGTCTACGTTAAAACTGCATAACCGAGAAAATGATATAGCCAGTATACATGCCGTCTTCTCTTAGACTGGCTACGGTCGTTTCGGCGATATATCGAGCGTTTATCTCGCTGAATATATACTTTATTTTCTTGATAAAAGTGGCGAACCTGGATTAAGCATTATCTGCGGCTAGGACGGTACTTTAATGAGCCCATCAAAATGCTGAGAAGATTCAAGATCAGTTATCTCATTTCCCAATCACTGCTAATTAGTAACTCCACCGATATTCCCGCAGAGTATAAGCCTGGATGTCAGCAGAAGCGAAGATTAGGGTACACTGGGTCCTCAACCAACTTCTATCTCCGTCTAATGTTCATGAAGACAACCAAAAGACCCACATTCTTTTAATCTATATACCCTCAAGGTTCTCAAGTTTTCCTATTCACATCTGCAAAACACAGTGCCCAAATAACTTCCAAGGTATTATGGTCTCCACAAAAGCCGGATGTACGGCAGTGTGCTTCTCATCTCCTACAGCCCCGAAGCCATATAAATAGACACTGTCATTGCTGCATTCCGTTGCTTCAGCAGCACACAACGCAGAAAGTTTTAAGGATTCCGTCTCGAGTTAAACCTCAGTCTTAACAACTGTCCGTCTTCTTTTGATTCATCACTTAAACCAATATGCCATTCTCCGCTGCCATCGCCTCCGCTATCTTAGGCGCCTCCTTCGCCTTAGCTGCCCCTCCGGTCGATATCGGCGATATCGATGAGTATGTCAAAGTCACCGACCTCGAGATTACCAGGGCCGCCTTCGGAAAGGTGACAGACGTCTCCTTCAAACTATCCGGTGACGACGCCACGAACCTGGCCTGCAGCGCTAAGAATCCGACCCTGGGCTACGAGGTGGCCGATTCTACTCGGTGCGGTGACTCCGATTATTTATTCAATTTGCTTCGCGGAGAAGACACCGGCTACGCACTAGCCGTTTTTCATGAGTTCCAAGTTGAGTAAGTACCTGCATCCTGAGAGGACCTTTACGTATATCGAGGCGAGGTTGCTGATAAATGTTGTTTTAGTGGGTCTGGCACCTACAGTGCTGGCCAATATGGCCAGGATGAGTTCCTGGTTGATTGCGAGACCAATGACGACGTTCAGAACTGCAAGTCGACTCAGAGCCCCATTACTATTATTCTTACCGGTCAGTGAGCATCTGCGATGAGCAGGCATTGTGGTAAATCTTTTCTTCGGGGCTTGGGGAGAGGGGTTAGCATTTTTGAGCCTGTGGCTGTAATCTTGGAAAGCGGTATATTTCAATAACTAGTCACTCGTTTGTTCTATGCCAAAGCTATTTTCTGTCAGGTGTTGTCAATGTGGCTACGTGGTTTAGAGATCAGATAATAGAGTTTATATAAAGGCATACCCCCACAAGCACCAAGTATGCCGAGTTGGCCATCTACTGTTTTACTCTTCTCTTGTTATGAACGTATCTCAATAACAAGAATGACCCAAGTTGTCCGGGACTATAACCCAACGTAACCAAGTGTGCATGTTTTCCTTGCTCCCAGCTTGTTCTTCTAGCCACGTGAGGAGTTCGCCTAACCGCTGCGACTGCTCGTACCTAGACCACGATGTCTGGTCACAGAAGCCTTCAATATCATAGCTGATCCCCCCTTGGATCAGTTGTAATGTTGCGGGGGCGAGATAATACGACGCGTTATAAGCCTCTCGAAACTCATAGGACACGACCACATGGAGGAGGACAGAAACCAAGCGTTGCTCCTCAAACCATGTCGGCGGTCCGACGGGTACGCCTTTCAGTTGCTTTGAGGGCGGCCCAACCACGGGCCTAGTATTGAAAAATCTAATAGCACGGGTATGCAAGTGCGACGGTGAAGGCACCCTCCTTTCTGTCAGACAGCGAGCAACCGAAGGCTGGAAACACGCATGCACAGGACGTTGGATTCGAGTCATCAGAGCAAGAAGCCGACACAGAACGACAGACGCTGTTGATCTGGGTATGATCCCTTCTCTGGTCTCAGACACCGACAAGGGTGAGTCGAGGTCTGGGAAGCCTATGTTGTTTTCATATTGTTGATGCAGAGACTCAAACTCTGAGTCCGGCTCTATGATCTCCATGTTCTGTTGGAACCGCAGCTGTTTGTTCCACCTGACGATTAAGACTTTTAGGGAATGCAGAACTTCCGGTAGCAGGCCCCGTTTCAGAATTGGTTTGGTGATAATTGTGTCAACAATTGTCCTGAAGAGAACATCGTTCTCGTGGAGAAATGCTGCTATCACCGGAGATGCATTGTGGAGGTTATACAGCGTCGGCAGATCGGGGACACTGCATAGTATCTTCCGAAGAACGAACCACGGGAGTCGGCTAAATGGGTCCATTCCCGGTCCAAGTTCGAATCTAGAGTCACCTTCAGGGCTGTCTGAATCATGCTAAGATCAGAGTCTCTCCCCGCACTGTGCTTGCCCTGAACAGCAGTGTTTGTGTCGGCCACACCGCCTTGCTGGAGGCTGAGCTGAGTTGTTGGGTGGGTCAACATTTGCCCACGAATTAAAATGTATTGAATCGGTCGATCCGTTCGTTCGGAGGCTGATCGGGTTCGGTTCGGGTCGGGTTATGTACCCCAGGCCGAGCGGAAATCCAGGTGTTCATCCTACATACAACTTCTACTCTACCGGCAAGACTATCGGTTTGTGCGAAATAAACATATTTATAACACTAAGTTGAACCTTGCTATACCTCTGACGGCGACAATTAACATTCCAAGCAAAACTTAAGCATTGGGCCGTGTAGACACTCCGTCAATCAAGAACAGTTATTGACTTTAAACCACCCCAGAAACCCGCGTGACGGGAACCGTGAAGCTTCTTGCGCTGTCGGTAATATTGGCATCACCGTGTGCGGTATACCTCGCTTCTCCTTCCATCCAAGTGTGTTGTACGTGCACGCTCCACATCGCGTGAGTCCCAGGAACAACCTGCAGTTTGGCCTCGGTGCTTTCGTCTTGGCACGGGCTATAGTCCTTCTCGGCAGGAACACCCGAGCAGGAGGTTTTGAACTTCGAGGGCCCCGTGGCATTGCTCACGATGTTGAAATTGTAGTTGCAGTCTTCTGAGCCGCAGGTGATGGTGAAGTCGGATGCCTTCCATTCAATTGGATGCTTGAAGGAACCGGCAAGGGTGAACCCGAGGAGGGAGAGACCGATAGCGAGAGTAGCGTGGAGCTGCATGATAAAAGGATATATACGTTCTCGATGGGTGCTTATGAACAGAGAAGCAAGAGCTATGTGATAGCGACGGACAATGAGGTAGGGTAAAGATATTGGTGGATTCTCTGAATAAATTAATGTATACAAACCGAGTACAACGACTGCGATGGATGCAAGGCCATTAAATATTTCAACATGATATCCCTAAAAATATCCAAATGCAACACAGTATGACTCTGAAACATCCTGAGCAGATACTCAAACAATGATATGAAGTTTATTCGAGTGTGGAGCTGATCCATTTTGTGGACGATTAGACTTTATAGGCGATCCAATTTTGTGGATGGACCCGCCCTAGGAGGCAGATGGACTTGACATGAGAACAACAAGGTTACATTTATGGTTAGTTGAATAACTATTATTGATAATCAGTCTGGGGAATCCCATATTTAGTTCATCCTGGTTTCATCCTCAAACTAAGGGAGCCAGGCCTTTGCGACATACAGAATAGATCGGGCTATATACTTGGCTAATGGGAAACGAATATCAGCATCGCTTAGGTTACATTCTATCGGAGATTCAGTTAATGAAGGTCGTGCCTCGTCGAGAGTATCTTTGCGTACATTTACAAATGTCCCTACTATGCTACTAGGAAAGCCTTTAATGTTAACACAAAGTGAGAAAAGAGAATAGTGTGAAACATCCATTTTTATAAATAGAACTAGATGTGGAATATACTTCACGCAGGACTCATTTATAGATCTTTCAAAACGCAGCTATGTTAAAGATAGCCACTCGGACCTCGCTACCTAATAGCTAAGTGCTATAAAAAGTGCTAGAGCTTCGTAGAGATGGGCAATTTAAAACAATGAGAACCGTCATGGAAACTTTTGAAGGCGACTACGGGGGTGGCGGTACCAATTGAACTTACATTAATAAAGTGGAAATAAAGAAAGTCATTGGCTCCTTATTGGAGTGAAAATTTTAGTGCAGGCTCGGCCAGAAGAAGGACTGGCATGAGTTATCCCTGCGGAGCCTATCCCGAAGGCTAATTTCAGAATGGCTACTATAAAAACAAGATTGATACCGTGGCACCTTTTAACTATGCTATCCAATCTAGCCATCAAGATATCTCTATAAGGGGCCCAGTGTACATCTTCCTCGCTCGAACAAAGTAGTACACAAGGCTGAGTATAATAACCCCCACCGTACCGACAATACTATAGTTCATCGTCTGTGTATTGACATCCTTGGTCGTAGGCCAGAAGCCAAAGAACGTAGCGATTGTCATGTACGCCAAAGAGAAGACATTAATGGCTATACCCAAAATACCGGGAACTCGAAATGGTCCCCAGACCAGTCTAGCTCCTGCCGTGTTGATCATCGTCTGCTCGCCAGCAGCAGCGTTACCAATTCCACCAGTACAACGGCGGTAGAGCAAGAGTCCGCCAGCAGTCATATATGATAGGTAAAGGCCCGAAATTGACATGGATACCAAGCTGTTGAATGCCACATCTGAACCAATAGTAATGAGATTCAGGAGGCACCCAACAACTGCCGTAAGGAGGACTGCATATGTCGGGATGGATGTACGTTCAGTCACCTATTGAGATGTTAGTTTTGGTGAACAAGTCAACCTTATGGCTATTGAGAGCTATACCTTACTCCACACCCGCCACCCAGGAAGTCCTCGGTCGCGAGAGAAGGACCAGAATTGACGTGATGCTGCTGTTAAGGTGCCAATTGTATTACAACTGCCCAGAGACATTACCAGGGCGCCTGCGATCGCCGTGCCCGATACCGATCCTGTTGCCTGCAAGAAGATAGCAAAGAAAGGCACACCTGTCGGAGATTTAAGCGCAGCCTGGATGTCTCCAAGACAAAAGTATAAGGCAATCATCATTCCAAACCCCATGGAGCCATTGATTAACACGGTTAGCATCAGAGACAAGGGCACAGCGGTTGTTGCGTTGGTCATCTCTTCGACCATCTATGATTGGGAATGTTAGCAGACCGTTTGCCATGAAATGGCCACTGTTGACATACATGGACCGCAGCATCACCGCCGGCGAAAGCGAAAACAGGGCCAGTCAAACCAACAAACACTGACAGCGCCTTTGAAGGCCAATTGCCTTCGTTAATAAAATAGGTAAACACTTCTTCGGCGGACGACTTGTGATCTGCCATATAGGTCAAGGGAACCAGGATGGCGAAAAACCCCAGGACATGGAAGATTAGAATGGTGCCCTCGAAACGGGGCAGAAACTTGCCCCCAACAATATTAATGATAGCGGAGAGTACAGAGAGCCCCCATGCATATAGAGCTTTCCGCCATGGGTGAGGGACATAATCCGATCTGGTAAGGATAATCAGGGCTTGGACCATGTTCCCATTGAGATACATTGCAGATGCGAATGTGGCTTGCCATCCGATCACAGTAAGCCAGCCTATCCTTATCGTAAATAATCCAACACTCAACAACATTTGCAGTTCCTAGCGAAGACGTACCTGTCATATAACTGGCCAACTTCATTGCCGATGGAGGGGCCAGCATCGAGCACCAATGATACTGTCCGCCAGACGTAGGAGCCCTGTCGCTCATTCATCAGCTTCTTTCTGGTGCGCACCTCTAATGGAAGCTTACATCGACACAAGCTCAGATATCACGACAAAGGTGGCAGCGATACCAGCCCAGACGAAAAGATAGCCATAGACAGAACCAGCCGGGCCGCCACTAGGCCTAGGTCAGTAATCGATTCAACATGCGGTGATGCAGCGGAGGCAAAGTACTTTTGAAAGGATTGCAGAAACAATCTGTTGGAAGAGCCACAATTTTAGCCATGAGGTCGACGCGGCGCAGGGTCAAGGACGACTTACATGATGTATCCCTCCCATGTCACCAACAGCGTGCAGCTGAATCCCACCATCGACATCAACCCAAAGTTTCTCTTTTGAAAGATGGTCTTAGTACCTTTGCTGTTCGCGGGGATATTCAGGGGCACCTCACTTTTAAAACAGGGCGCTTCCCCATGCGAGTCAAATATACGTCGTCCTTGTCTCGGTAGATCGGTTGTCCCTCCATCTCGCTCAGCACAGGAGGCGCCATTTGCTTCAATTCGTGTGTAGACATCTTGGAGGATTTAACTGTGTAGTCACAATTAGCACAGTCGTATGAACACACGAAGAGTTGGACAATCAATCATGGAGCTTTTCAACAGAAAGGCTGGAGAAAGAGAAAAGAATGGGGGAAGCAGACGCCGAGACCCAGAAATTTGCAACAGCTCTGGCCTAGCCTGCACGTAGCCAGTCGATGGGACAAGGGCCCCTGCTGTACAACTAGAGATTTCACCATGGTGGACAGTCGAGGAAGTTCTGCGAATGAAAGGTATGTCGCTAATCAGTCAAAACCGACCACCAGTGCAGGGGAGGACGCAACCTGACAAGGGTTCAATGAATGACAAGCCCAATTAAAGTCCGAGACTGCATTTGTCGCCAGGGTCGCAGGGGGGTCAGGATGCACCGGGTGTGGAGATCAGTGGGCTGGATCCGCTTTTGACGGGTTGATATCCATGTCCCCGTGGCGAGTATTAAATCCCCTCCCGCCGGACAGGGAATAAATAGTCTAGTTTCCTACCCACTATATTGATCTGCAATTATTCCTACTATAAAAGGACAAAGGGGCATCATTAGGAAAAATAGCGACAGGACGGTGCGGGCAAAAAGGAGGAAAAGAAACAAGAAAGAAAAAAAGGAGAGAGAGAAACGGAGATACAGGGAAGAAGGGCCATGCACCAAAGGAATAGGAGTATTTCGAATGGGAAGCTTTGAGCGAAAAATAACTTGCACTATTATCAACAACGGATTCGAACCACTAAAGCAGAACAAAGGCAGAAACGAAATCAAAAGAGGGTCTTCACTTTACTAGGGAGACACTGGCGAAGTATCTCATACAGACTCGGTAACAGTCCATGTGCGGACTTCGTGGATAATGCGAGTCTGGCTAGACTGACTTTCTTCATCCCAGCCTCGTTTTGATGATGATGCAGTAACTTCTGTTTGGCAAGATCTTTTAAACGGAGAAATAGTCTCCATTTCATGCTGCTGGCCGGAAAGTTCGTCTTGTTTACGTGGTAGTGTCATCGGTTCCTTATATTTCGCGTCAGAAGCGCCGTACCGCGACATTCCATCAATGTAGAACCCTAACGAGCGGAGATTATCTATAAATGGTTTGAATTGCGGTGAACAGCAGGTGATAAGACCCAAACACTGGGTGACTTGAGTAGATATGGTAAACGGCGAAGTATCAGAAGTCGGATCAGGGGACTCAACCGCTTGGTTGGCGTAGAAAGCCTGACAAGCGCTGGCGGCAATCACGCTGGATAAGTCATCAGCCATAAATAGAAGACAGAAGGAAGAGGCTTGTCCACTGACCAGGTGCGTAATCCGAAAATAATCGTCAATGTGAGCTTTCTCTTCAAGCGCATCTGAAGCCGTGTGACGATGAATATTCCATGAGCCATGACCCCGGCGTCGGTCAGAATATTCATCACACACATATAGCTCCACCAGCTTCCATGTTGGATACATTCACCGTGGAGATAGTCCCACGCCCGAGGCAGTTTACACTGAAAGGCAGTCGTGAGAATACCAATACCAGCCCATAGGATAGTCAAAAGCTCCAGGCCAGCAGTGATAAGGCGATGGGGGTTGAATGGCGGCGTCACGGTTCGGATAAAGTAGATGACCGATAGCTTAGAGAAACACATGCTGGAGATAAAGAGAATCGTCGCAGCATATTGAGACTAGGGACTATGAATAGCTTATACAGAGCCATGCTTGTAGGCGCTCACCTTCATGACTTTTTGCAGGCTCGTCTCAGAAAGTGACTGATAATGATTACCATAGCCATTCGCGGTGGCCATGGAAACAGCTATCGATTGCGCTACACAAAGAATCTGGAGAAATCTCAGTCATTATTGCACGGTCATGAAGCTGTCAATGAGAGCTGATGAGGTTACCGTTGATACAATGCAGAGGTAGTCATCCGCTGTCCACCGTCGGATGATCCAATATTTGGTTCCAAGTCGAGCAAAAACTACAAGAATAGCCGTGATCATCAGAAGCCACGTCAGTATACTGACCATGGGCTGCCAGCTATCCGATTCAAACTTGCTCATTGCGCGGATTGAGTGCGCAAGTAGGTTGTGACCTTCTACCCCGGCGAGGGTCTTTATCCATTGGCATCGCTAACTAGAGCATTCCCGTTGCAATTTGTAGTATCGCACTATGAGTCTTACGGGTACCCGAGGGACTGGAACACTACTCTTACGATTCATTAAGCTGGAAATAATCTTGGGAGAAAGAATGCTCCGTCACGGGCTGGACAGGGATTCCATTTTCCAGGTACAATCAATTTTGCACGCATCCTTTCGCTAACCTTGGCCTTATGGGCCGCTCGAGAACTGTTTCTTAGGGGTCATTATGTGTATTTCTCTAATTGTGTGTTGGACGCTAAAAGACATATTATAGGACGGTGGTCCCTGACTGAGTGCGACGCTGCCCTTGTTAAAAATCGGTTGACGCAAACCCCGATCCATGTCTATAGCGAAGGATGCTACTGTATCCACTCTTGCTCCCGCCCTATAGATGAGACAAATATACGTAGAGCCACATCTCATCTCCACTACAAGATAGCTGTCAGAATGACCCGATCAGGCTTGAGATTTCTAGTCCTTTTTCTTTCTAACTTTGCAAATAACATAACCACTTACATGTTAAACTCTTAACGAAGGACGATAAGAAGTCGCTACTGTCAAGCCCCTTCATAAGCAATTAAGTGAGTAAGCGGTTAGATTGCTTATAATCAGGTATTCTTATACAAAGTCCACTATATAGACGACACCTAAGAGCAAATTTAAAGTAATTTCGTTGTTAGTTCATATATATCTTAAATTTCTCTATATTAAATTGTATTGTTACTGTGGAACCAGAGTTCACTAAGAAACGTACATTCTTTATTGTCATCCGTGGACTGTCAGTATTGGTAAAAGTTTATTTACTGAAACACGAATATAACTGTTTACCGTAAAGAACTAACTGATTAAAAGACTCAGTTTATGTTTTTATAGGTAATTTGCATGCAGGATAAGTGGTCAGGTGATATTTCCTTATATCGGGCTTTTACGCAAATTTTTTAAGGAAGCCGTCGCAGCCGCCTTAAGGTCGAACAATTACTTCTAACGGGAATATTGTCTATAAGGAGGTTGCCTTTACAAGGCTTTTTACGGCAGACAGTGCCGAGGAACGGTCATGCCGTGACCGGGCGCTTCCGTGAAACTCCGCGGATTGTCAAGTTGCTTCCGGGCAATGGATAGACGTAAACCTGGGACGCGAGGTAAAAATAATGGTGATGTGCAGTAATTCCGAGGAGTTTAAAAGTTTGCATTCATACTTTCAAAATAAAGAGGGCGTGACCACTACAATGGACCCCCAGGAGGCAAATTTTGGTATGAACCTCGGCATCACACACGAACCAAAAATCGGGATCGGCCCGATAGGGCTGGCCAGTGGACACAGCGACCGTCTCAAACACCACAGCGATAAACTAGGGGAATGAGGCAATCTCAGTAAGGAAACCTGAATTCCAGGAAATTTTTGAATAATTACAGCAGAACAACTCACAAGTGGAACCCAAGCGGTTCGGCATGGAAATAAGCAAAACGGCGGTTCGGGTCAACCGGTGATCTGCCGAAGTTAATTCATCGAACTGTGACATCATCGGTGGGTTACCTGGAAACTTTTCATCATCACTCATGTTTGATGATGTCTTCAGACCTTGTTCCTCTTTCTCCTTGGTTATTAAGATTATACTCATCATTTAGGGGTGTGTGTGTGTGACAAATGCACTCACAGAGGATCGGTATAGACCAGCACAATGGCAGCAGCAGCAGCAGCTTCACCGGACCGACCGCATGAACATGGCATTACGGCGGGGGATTGGCCGGACGAGCATCTCAGTCCCAGACGTCTCTCGCTTGGCGGCGGTCATGCACATGTTCGAGAGCAGGGGTTGAATACTGGTGTTCGGGTGATGGGTTTGTATTCCACTCCTTCTACAGATCGTTATGATGTCACAGTGTTTAATGATCAATAGATGACGGACGATTGGATATCAAGTTTCGCGAACATAAGCCCTGGTTGCTCAATTTGATTAAGCATCTTGAACGGTACCCGAAACCTTTGCGCGAAGAACGAAGACCGTCGGTTATGTCCACAGACGGACAGGACAAGTTTCCCTTGCGTTTGAACATCGTTATCCACGTGGTGGGCTCTCGCGGTGACGTACAACCATTCGTTGCGCTGGGAAAGGAGCTACAGAAGCATGGACATCGGGTTCGACTGGCTACGCATCTTGCCTTTCGTGAATATATCAATGAATCAGGGCTGGAATTTTTCAGCATTGGAGGTGACCCAGCAGAGTTGATGGCTTTTATGGTAAATAATCCTGGGTTGATGCCGGATATGCGGACGATACGCAGTGGCGCGATCCCCAAGCGCCGTCGTGAAATGAAAGCGATTTTTTCCGGTTGCTGGCGCTCATGCTTTGAGACTGGGGATGGGACGGGCATGCATCATATCAAGGAGGATCCGTGGAGTGACACTCCAGATTGCAACACGCAGCCGTTTGTCGCCGACGTTATCATTGCAAACCCGCCTAGTTTCGCGCATCTGAGCTGTGCAGAGAAAATGGGAATTCCGGTAAATATGATGTTTACGTGAGTTTGTCCCTGTTCGAGTGCAAGTTGCCGTTTGCTGAGATTGTAGGATGCCATGGTCGGCGACACAATCATTTCCACACCCATTGGCCAATATTCGAGCGCGTAATACCAAGCCATCCGTTGCAAACTTTGCGTCATATGCTATTGTCGAGGTGATGCTATGGGAAGGACTTGGTGACCTGATAAACCGCTTTCGAAAGAGGGAGCTGGGCTTAGATCCTTTGGATGCCATCCGGGCTCCTAGTATCGCCCATCGGTTGCAAATACCATATACCTACCTTTGGTACGTTGCACATTTGCAAACCTCCACACAGCAGCTAATCCCTATAGGTCTCCGGCCCTCCTCCCCAAGCCTCAAGACTGGGGCGAAAACATCGACGTCTGCGGGTTTCAGTTCCTAGAGAGCGACACGAGCTATAAGCCACCCGACGATCTCGATGCATTTCTCAAAGCTGGTGACCCCCCGGTGTATATCGGTTTTGGTTCCATCGTAGTTGACAACCCCGCCAAGTTAACGGAAATTGTATTCGAGGCTGTCCGCCTTACGGGGAAAAGAGCGCTTGTGTCTAAGGGGTGGGGAAATATCGGAGAAGGAAGAGCTGAAGTACCCGAGGATGTCATGCTTTTGGGGAAGGTTCCGCACGACTGGCTCTTCCAGCATGTTTCATGTGTCGTTCATCATGGTGGTGCAGGCACCACTGCCGCCGGGCTGGTCCTGGGTCGTCCAACGGTAATCGTACCTTTTTTCGGCGATCAGCCATTCTGGGGATCGATCGTGGCACGCGCAGGTGCTGGGCCACACCCGGTGCCATATAAACAATTGACCGCCGAGAAATTAGCAGAAGCGATCAACAAAGCTCTGGAACCATCTACGCTCGAAAATGCCGAGGAGATAGGCAAAGGCATGCGGACAGAAAAGGGCGTACAGAACGCCGTCTGCAGCTTTCATCAACATCTGGATTTGCGCAGCCTACGGTGCGCTATATGTCCTACCCGTCCGGCGGTATGGTGGCATAAGCATCTGCACATCAAGTTAAGTGCATTTGCAGCAGCGGTTCTAGTAGAGGCTGGGATCGTGGATCCGCATCACTTTGAACTGTGAGATGCCCTTTTTCCCCAAAACGAAGCGTAACTGTATACTCATACTTTCTAGATACCGCTCCAAGCAGTACGACACGAACCGTGATCCTCGAGGACCACTTTCTGCCGGTGCCGAGGTGCTTTACGGGGTTGTCAGTGATTTCATCAGTGGCTTTGCCACTGTGCCTACGGACCTGGCTGGAATGCTTTCGAAGGAAAATCGCAAAAGAAAGCGTCATCATCATCACAGCCACCATATCGGTAGCCGAGATTGGGTAAGGTCACACTGTACGGCAGGCCTGGAGCAGGCAAAAGAGCAAGAAAGGGAGCGATCGTCCAATGAGCATGGCAATGGCCCCAGTCGTCAAGACCGATCTGAGAGCGATGATAGATCATCCGTGTCCGAATCCGAAGTTGAGTCCGAGAGTGACAGTGAATACGCTTCAGCCGAGGAAGATCAGCCGGACAGCAGTAGCGCGGATACAGTTGCTGATGACTCCGATGAGACTGTGAATGAACTTGATCTTGAACGCACGCTGACCCGGAAACGAGCTAAAGAACAGAAAACTGGTGCACAAGAAATTATAGCAGAAACAGGCTACCATACCTCGAAGTTCGCAAAGCAAGTGCTTAATTTTGTGATCATGCTACCCACCGATTTGACACTTAGCTTAGCCAAGGGCTTCCATAACGCACCAAAGTTGTATCATGACACCACGGTACAAAGGATCCCGAGAGTACGCAATGTGAAAAGTGGCTTTCGAGCAGCTGGCACAGTAAGTGATTATTCGTTTGCGGTCTTCAGGCTGAGAGATGCTGACAGCTGGAAGGAATTCACAGAAGGTTTCTACTACGGCGTTACTGGCCTTCTTACGCAGCCTGCTCGGGGTTTCCAGAAGTCTGGTGGTAGAGGCTTGGTGAAGGGGGTTGGAAAGGGAGTGGGTGGAGTGTTTCTCAAACCAGCTGCAGGTATGCTGCCATTCTCGAACGTGTTTCATCTCTATTCTCAAGCTAACCAACAATCTCAATAGGCATCTGGGGACTTGCAGGCTTCCCGCTGGACGGATTACACAAGAGCCTTCGCAATTCCCTCACGAAGAATAAGACGAAGTACATCCTACGGTCGCGACTGGAACAAGGTATCCAGGAGATGTGTGTCGCATCAACGGAAGAGAGAGCCATTGTAATTAGGAAATGGCGTGAGCTGGAAAAGAACCATTCTCAGCATCAAAATGGTCATGCTCATTAGCAAACTGCATATACCCCCTGATATTTGTAATTATAGGAGTTACCATGTATGTATATTATTAAAGACGACATTAGTACAAATTATAATATTTATTACAAGACCCTTGATTCCCGTACCCGTTTTTCACTCACTGGATGGAGATCTTTCCTCCATCAATCTTGACATTAGCTGCCCACATCCCACGACCCTTGGTCATATTCTTCCCATTGTTAAAAGCATGGAACACAATAGCACTTCTATCCTCGCGGAAATCAGAGCCACCGGGACCCCCCAACGGTCCGACGTTACTGCTGTCCCCAGAAACCAGCAGCGGCGCATCTGGAGCCGACGCCTTGGTGTACGGACCAGTCACGGCCGACGCGACGGCATAGCTAACATCATACTTTAGGGAGTTGTACCAATTTGAGGAGAACGACAGATAGTACTGGCCACCACTCTTCACGAGACTAGGCGCTTCAACCAGGGGCCCGTCGGCCTCGTCGCGATCGATCAATTGCACGGCGTCTCCCTCAGGAGTCACGGCATCCGACTTTAGCTTTTGCAGCATGATCGGCGTGGGGTGGTACCCGCTGTCCCCGTTGAGGCTGTTGCCGTCAACCTTATAGACAACATAGTATGTGCCGTCGTCATCTTTGAAGCCCGCAGCATCGATAGCACCGCCTTTGCTCTTATCACAGGCAAGTGCATCTTTCTCCGGCGAGTAGGGACCGGTAACTGACTTGGAGGTTGCGGCGCCAATGCAGTGTTTACTATGAGTTCCGCTGGTGGCAGCGGAATAATAGATCACAAAGGTTCCGTCATCCTGTCATTTCTTAGTTGAAGCTCCTACTCCGCGTGGAAAAGACCCATAAACTCACCCGTTGGATAACATCTGGCGCCCAGACCTTTGGATGACTACCATTCACCCAGCTAGGGAAAGGACCCGGAAGCGCGTCTTGGCCATCCAAGCGCTTCCATGTTTTGAAATCCGCGGAATGGGCTATTTGAGTATTGACGCCGTGTCCAGTAGTGGCGAAGGCGTAATATCCATCGCCGGTCTTGATGACGCTAGGGTCGGGAAAATCCGCGTTGATAACTTGCCAGGGCTCGCCCAAGGCTCTACCGAAGAAAAGCGATAGCGCGACTATTTTCGATAATAAGGGTGCCATTGTGCTGAACGTGTAAGTTCTGTGTTGTTGAGTCTCATCGGTGTAGGGAGGTGGACTTGCAGCCATATTATATCATTTAATTGGAATGATATGGAGGATTTTGTCCAGCCCACTTGCAGTTGGCCTGATTTGCTCCATGGGGGAAATTGCCTGGAGGGATCGGCGCTTTTGGCGACTATACAGGAATAGATCGACATAACCAACATTGCAGTTCAATGCTGATTGAGTCTCGGCACAGTAGGCTGTGCATGATGTAAACATAAATTAACAGCCCCCAGCCCCTAGTGGATCGAATACGGGTTCTGCAGGGACGTTAGCTGCTTCGAATATCCAGAAATAGGTCAACCTCGCCGCAATTGCAATAGACATGGTGGATTTGCACAATGCGCTATCCAGTGTTATTCAATGGGCTTGTATGTCTCTAGACAGCCGTCAAACAATACAATCTACTAATAGTTCAATAAGTCCTAACTTACTATCTACGCACCGTTACGAGTTCATGTAGAGGTCGCTGACTTTTTGTTTTTTGCTACTGTTAAATTACCTGTCACTCTTTCATGTTTGCCTGCGAGATACAGACACATACATACATACATACATACATACATACAGAACTTTTGAACTGAAATATCACGGGTGTTATAGGGAACCACAACCCTGGACGCTTGCGCCTACGACTCTACATTGATGCACTTTGTGATTACAACAATCTACACTCCACAAAGGCAATGGGTATGACTTCTTAGGTATAGAATTTACTATTGCCCCCATAGTTAATCGAACATTCAAACGCAATGAGAGAAGACATGTTATGGCATTATCAGGAACGTGGATTGCTGTGCGTAAATGGAAAAACGCAGTCATGTAACAAATTGGACGCACAGCACACGACAGCTCGGAGGAACATATGTAATAATCGAGCGTTCAAGAAATCAACTTGAGAACTGATTGATACTGTTCAGGACCATCGCCCCCTACATCCAACACGGTCGCGCATACGCCATGGCACGAAATCAATGGATTTCGTTCATTTCCACTTCTCAGGGTTGATGTATATGCATGTGTCCTGATGCTGTGTTGCATTTACACGAATATTTCTTTTGTAGATAATTCGGTTCGAAGAACCACATGGTGTCAGTAGAACCGTTCCATGCCTCCTCTGGAACCTATGGTCACATATAAATATACGAACATATGGCATTAAGACTACTTAACTTGCAAAGATCACGTCAAGAAGGGTGGGGTGCACATTACCCGGTCGGGTGTCAAATTGATATTTGCCCTTCTTTCGGTCATTTCCAGCGCCCCAGTAAAGCCGAGACGAGGATTAACCGAAGTCCGATAGTCTTTTCCAATCCCGAATCTTTGATACAGTGTATGAACTCGTTGATAAATGGAGTCATGACAGCTAGTTCGGCTTTCGTGTCACGGCAAAGAGGCGAGAATTAGAACTCATATGGAACGAAGCCGTTGCCATCAATCATCCAGGCACAAGGTAGGATTCGGCCTCCGCTATGCTTGTCGCCTTGCTGATTCTTCCATGGCGTTGATACATTGTTGAATTCAACCAGTTTTTCCTTATCTGAAAGGTCAAAGTGACGGTGCAACAGACCAACGCCAAGCGTCGATTCTAATCCATGCTGAACGATCAAAGGCCTGAGCACATTGTTGACCAACTCGGGTCCGCCGTTGGTTTTGAAGCCTTCCTGTGCGTGGTACAGATCAGGCAAGGAATTGAAGGCCGAGATGCTATAAGGCTTCTCGATATCAACCATAGTGAGAATGGGGAACGAGGCAGTATGAGAATGACTTGAGAATGAGGAGAACTACAAACACTCAGCTTACGTTCAGATCTTCGTGAGAGGAATGATGCGCGGGGTAATTCTCATATAGATAGCTTTCGGTCAGACCAGAGCTCATTTTACATTACACTCAGTCAGCCAAATACGTTCAGTACTACTTCAAGGGCTTGCCCGCCATTGTCACAAAGGTCATGAGATGTTCTACAAAGGCTCCTATGGGAGAAAAAGCTCCCAACATCCTGCCAAGTCCGCATGTCATACAACATAGAGAAATGAGGGACAGCTATGTCTTGTGTATCAAGCAGTAACCAATTCCATCCTAGCCGCTCGGTGCTACGTTCGAATCCCTGTTATATTATCTACGCGTATCCCGATGCATGTATCCGTCTTACGCGTCCATTATGCAGCAGCCAATCGACATCCGATAACGCTCGGATCGAATAGCCTATGGATCGAAACTGGCCCTTCGCCTTAGTATGTCATTGGATATCCATATACTGTGTAACTAAATGCATCTAGACGCAATGATAGGTGTCTGTCGCGGTAAGCCAATAACCCTTGCATAATGTAGTGGCAGTAGGTCCGAGTATATATTCTATTTCTAGTATCCTTGCTGGACCTCCTGGTATATCTATCATCCCTCAGGCTTTTATTTAACTCTGGACGTCCTGTGGCAGTACCAAACGTTGCCTATCAATATGGGATCCGTGGACGAGGTCCTTAAGCTGCTCAACAAGCAAGCCCTGGTTGAGGTTGTATCTTCACTTGCTGGCACTCCAGCCTGTCAGCTAGATAATAACAGTTCACCCATCACTGGACCAGGTTACGTCATCTTCCTAATCAGCTTTCACGAGAAGGATGAGCGATGGGCTGCAAGGATACCGTTGAACCAGGATGATTCCTTTTTAGAGATTTGTATTAGACCAATTCAACTCGCTCACCGGTCTCCAAATATTCCTGCCCCTCGAATACACGGGTATTGTGACTGCGGCTCTCGCGACTACAACCCTGTCGGAGTTGGTTACATGTTACTAGATTGGATTGAAGGCTCTCCCATGACACCATGGGATCAATCAACCCCTGCAGCCCCTTATCGGCAGAAAGTCTTAGACCAAATCGCCGACCTAATACTCAACATGATCCTTGAGTGTCCGTTGGATGACCAAACCCTGTTCTACGGTATGTGTGCCTCTAAATATACTATAGAGCCACCCTCACCTTAGTAGGGGTACCCGACGGGACACCAAAGGGTGTACAGGTATCAACCAGCGTCTGGCTCACCGAGAGCGTGGACAGAGGTATACGCCGTACGCTTCGTCGACATGACTATTCTACTGCAATCGACTACCTGATTCAACGGTCAATGATTCCCCGATATGTTGTTCCCAAGTAGGAAACCAGCCCATGGGTGTTTGTCCATGTTGATGTCCACAACGACAACATCATAATTGATGAGGAATACAATATCAAAGGTTCGTTTAGTCCTGGACGCTGACACCCAACCACTTTCGTTCATTAAACATCATGCCTTATGCAGTGCTAATCCTTCCCTAGTATCATTGACTGGGATTGTAACTTTGCCGTACCATTGCAGAAGGCTGCAACCTTCCCAAAACTACTCGAAAATGTGCCTGGAGCCGCACCTCCGGGATTACGAGAGACTCACGCATACCTAGACTTTGCATCGGACAAGCGCTGTTTTCTATCCATCCTCGCCGAAAAAGAAAGGGCGCGGACAAATGGAACGTCAATCACGCAACTCATGGAAACTTCCAGTGAGCGGAACTTTTTCGAAATGTCCCACCACCGTGTCCCTGTACACCGTGAATTTGTGAGCAGATTCTGTTCACGTACTAGGGAAAATGTCTATGCCGCATTGAAGGAGGTTGGGCGTTTTCTTGACATAAACCCTACGTTCGAGGCTAGTGATGAGTCTATTGTAAGAACTGTGCAGACGCTAGAAGCACTCCTGCATTAGTGCGAATAGGATATACGTGGTTTATGTCGCAGACGTCAGTATCAAAATAGTTCATTCCATAGACCGTTACAATCAAGAAAACCCCCATATGGGCTGATGGAATAGCTCTCTCCACTTATTAACTTCATGCAGATCTCGGGCAACACGCTTGTTTGTATTGACAATCACATTTTTTTTTTATTTTGTTCATTCATTATCTAGATCATCAAGCTTTTGTCAATTGGAATCAATAATGCGTTCTATCATTTCCCCGTCGATACAAGGATCCATATGATTCAATCACTGGTTTTAATTCTGTTACAAGATCCTCCAATGGGGCAACAATTATGTACAGGGGTCCAATTATATTATAATCATTGACTACCAGAATACCCCGAATGGATCTCAGCCAAGATATACAGCCTAACTCTATGCAAACTTAGAAGTAATAGCATCATACTCCGTCTGCGTTAACCGCAAAACAGAGCCATGTTTCAACCCTGTGGGGTAGGACGACGGACTTGATTTCTCCCAAGAGCCCGCATCGATGTCGCTTGTCTGGAACGGAACGTATTCCTCATAGTTATCAAGCAACAGATGGTAAACTCCAGAGTTTTCGATATCGGGGAACGAAGCTGGCCCTTCGGACAACGGGTTATCGCCAATATATCCGGGGATGCGGGTCCATTGTCCGAAAAGTCCACCTGTTGTCATTTCCTGATAAACTTGGTTGACAGTTTCGTTCTTGATGAAACGAGCGTAGGCTCCGGGTGTGCCGAGCTCTAGGAATTCTTGGTCAATTAGGGGAGTATCATCCAGAGCGACATAATCAGCGGGAGAGCTGAATGTCACAAAGTCTTTGGTGGTTGAATAGCGGATCCGATCCAACCCAGCAGAGCCGGTATGCTCCGAGTCGGCAGTATCATAAAGACGGGATGCCCAGAAGAGATAGTATTGCTGCTCATCATCGTTCCAGACAGCAGAAGGTGCCCAGGCCATACCGGCGGTGTCTTCCTCAATCCTGTTCAAGAAGATCAGAATCAATTACATTTGATCGGACTTGTTGGCTTACGTACGTCGTCAACGTAGGTTCAGCCCAATCTACAAGATTACTTGACTTCCAGATAGTAAGCCCACGGCTGCCGCGTCTTGTTGCTTCATCCCAGGAAAAGCCCTCAGCGTTAATATCCAAATCTAATTGGTAATGTATTCGTTAGTAAATTTGTATTCAAATCACGGCATGGGTTCAGTACCTGTCGCAATCATGAAATACTCAGACCTGGCAGCGTTTGAAGCGAGAAATATATCTCTTACTGCGCGCGTGCCAACAGTCGATCCCAATACTGGACTTCCTCCATTAAGGGCTTTGAATGCTAACGGATCGGAACCTTCAGAGAGATACCAGAATACCTGAGGGTTCGCGTCGGTAAAGGTGGAGAGGAGATAGCCAACGTAAGAGTTCCCATCTTGGCGAGGTATAACTCTACCCGTTGAGAGGGTAAGGATATTGGCCACAGCGAAGATGGAAGGGAAGATACGCATGTTGTTGTTGCGGCGACGAATTCGTCTCTCAAGATAGATACAGTTTGAAGATGAAAGACTGCGATTTCCGGCTAATCCAACAAGACAGACCCTGGTGAATTGGACAAGATGCCTAACCCTTTATAAATTACGCAGACCTTGGCTAATGTATCACTTCGTGCGCTTCTCGTGTGAATGGCTTCATGATTCGCGGACATTTTGCGCGACGGTTGGTCTTGGCAGTGGAGTCCTCCACCGGAGAACTCCCAGATCCCATATTTCTCTCCACTGGAGATGCGGGGGAATTAGGAAGAAGTGTGATACCATAGATCTACTATAATCGGACATATGTCTCAGTATGATACAAGGCTTTTCTGAATATTGGTCTTTTCTTGGATGTGGAGGCGAACTTAGGAAGAGAGAAAGGAACCCAAGGGAAATTACAGAAAGTATAATATTAGGGATGAACCCAAATAATGTTTAACAGTGAACTTATGGGGTAAGCAAAATCCTCCCAGTCGAAGAGTAAGCCCTAATGCGGTAATGAATCTGGAAACAAAACCACAGCACTCTGGCTATCTCTCCGTCGCAAGATACTAGGTACCAGAGTTTTATAAGGATGTCTTGAGAAGTATACGACGTGAAGAATACTCTTAAGTATTGAGTTAAAAGCCCCCCCCCTTCTTTTTAAACTTTTGTAGTTAAACATAATCTCCGATTAGTCCAACAAGTGCCTGTTTTTTCCGTTTAGATTCGACAGCTTACGCTTTTAGCTTCTGCTAGACTTTAGATTAGAGTTTACTATTACTCAGTAAAAGCTGACAGTATGCGAATGATCTAATCTATTCAGCGTGTTGATAGAAGTATATACGCACTTGCGAAAAAAAACAAAAAAAGTGTTCAATCCGGGCTTTCCCCATCGCCCGGAGAACGTTATCCTTCCAGGAAACTCGTTCGTCTACGGGTCTATCGAAGCCCCGCTGCTCTCGGAGTTCAACTCAGAATAGTGGAGTAACATACAAAATAGGCTTCACCAAACTGTACGCTTCATAGAATTCGACATTATATAGGAAGGAAAATAAGGGATCTCCCTAGCAACGTGACTCGGGCATATCATTCATGCATTCTCACGTATTGCCAATGCATTACCGGGTAAGCACGCCCCTAGCACCTAAAAGCGATCAGAGCCCTAATGCTATCCATCTCCACTGGACTAGTTATTCTCTAAAGATTTTCATAATGATATTTCTCTCTGGTATTTCGGATATGCTTTAGCTTAAGACAAATATGTAAATTTGGCAGATATTGGAATCGGGATTCGATATAAAGCAAGGGCACAGGGCATTGAGTCTATGAAAATTGCCCCGAGCTATGGCAGGAATTTGCCATCCATCGGTCCTATGGGGTAGTGGTTATCCCACCGGATTTTGATGAACAATATATTCAACCAATATATAGAACGAAGTCAAATCTTCCGGTAACGCCGGTTCGAATCCGGCTAGGACCTTTTTTTTTTTAATATTTTCCCACCGCCTCATATCTCATGCGTCGGTCGAACTAGCTACAAGCCTCGACGGAGCTAATTTTATATATAGTTCAATATGGTTCTAGACTCTAAGATCATGGGGAAGACCATTGGGTATCAAGCGAATCATCTAAAGAAGGAACCATGATTCATATGCGTTATGTTTTGAGGGAATATTTAGCACTGTCTTGCCAGAAGGGATATATTTTTATGTTGTTGGAATAATTAAATGAAGGACTCGAAACTACGGTTATAGCACCAGCTCAACTGGCTAGAGCAACACTGTCATTGTATCGATTCTGATTTAAGCTGCTATCATAGCAATCTACAATGGCTAGTTTAATCTGGAATCCCTTAAGCGTATCTCTTGTTCTATCCGGGCACTTGAATATCGTAGCTTGTCAATGTGCTTGGCACCACTAGGTATCAGTAAGTAGGGCTTTTGCCTTTTTTTTTTTTTAGAAGAGCCCTCTATATTACAGTTGACTTCCTATATACAATGGTACTCTGATTGTCGAACTCAATGGTGGCGAGGGGAATTATGTTGTATATGGTGATGACCTCCCTGCTTAGGAGGTGGGGCAAAACCACACTTTCCAACCACTTCAGTATCAGAGGACGGCTGCTTCTCCACAGGGATGGTGGGCTCGGCGTCAGTTGCAGCAGTTGAAGTGGGCGTTCCTGTAGTCCTTGTCCAAGAGGAAGAAGGGCTCAATTTAGTGAAGGATGGGGAGCTGACAGGCCTCGACGATGATGGGGCCCGAACGGAAGAACTCCATGAGATAAAACCCGAGCTGGGCGTTGCAGAAGCCGAAGGTGATACCAGAGTGGAGCTGGGAGTTACAGCACCTGAGCTGCCGCTTGCGATGCGGCTGTATGGCGTCACGCCAGGGAAAAAGGAAGCAGGGATAGTAGGAATTGCAATAGATGTGTTCAAGGCCATCCCTTCGGAAAGATCCTCCTTCATGGTGGGTGCTGCGTAGCCGGTCGGTGCGCTGGTGGCAGTCAGTGTCGTGGTAAACGCTTTCAGATCATCGCCGTCTTGGAGACAGTGTCCGTCTCCATAAGCGCTCTGGCAGAAGTACGTCTGGCTGTCTCCGGTTTCTGTCCACATGGCGAAGTCCTTAATCGTGATATCATAGCAAGGATTGTCATCAGGGCACAGGATCTTGATCGGACCACGTTGCGCACCATTCGCCTCAGTGCCCTTCCAGTTGGATACGGTAATGTTTGAAAACTCAACACCATCTCCATCAGCTGTGTCAATATTGCTCCAGGCGCTGTCGATGTCAAGGGAATAGGCATTGTTGTGGCCTGATCAGTAGTCTTTTCTTAGCGATAATTCCTGACCTAGGATGCAGCAAGGGAGAGGAGAGTTAATTTACCAATGAAGTTCTCTAGAGCCAGATTCCTCACGTATCCATCACCTCCGTTACTCTTGATCATGAACATCTGGTTGGACGAAAGAGTGTACACGTTGCGGTAAATGATGTCCGTGATATTAGTGCCTGAGGTAATGGAACCGATTGCACAACCTCCACTCCAGTTGCAGTAGACGTTCTCGATTAACAGGTTATGGGAAGGATTCTGTGGTGGATATAGTAAGCAAGTCGGCCATGAAGCAAGTTTGAGTGCCCTCATACCTTCACGGTCACACATTCATCCTTGTTAGTGACTTCAACCTATGTACTGTTACTCGATGGGTTACTTCCCAAGCATTCATAGTCAGTGGACTCACATCATGAACCCAGACATTCTCACCCCATACATCGATACCATCTAGCCCACCAGAATTGCCTCCGCGAACCACAACGTTGTATACCTCACCATCTGACACAGTGTCAAGCGACATGTGAAAAGCTGGAGAATCAACAAGAATAATGTCATGAACAGCAAAGGAGGAAACCTTCTGCAACCTCATAATCCTGGTATTCGTCGATTTTCCCGCATTACGGAACTCATATCCGAGTCCCTGAATCGCACCCTTTCCGTTGCTGCTGAACATCTCAAAATCACTCGTATGCTCAAACGTTATCATATTGCCGCCATCAGTTCCATTGCGGTAGATTACTCCATCAAGTTGCAGAGCCCAGGACTTTCCTTTATCGAAAAGCGCCCAGGTAGACAAGGCATACTCGCCTTCGGGAACATACACCAGACCACCGCCATTGCAATCTGCAAAAGCGTCGAGTAATGGTTCACCGATATCGGTTGACAAGTCGGCAACTGCTCCGTAGTCAAGGACATTACATGTTTTGTAGGCGGCTTTCTCAGCCGCTGACTTGAGGGGCCCGACTCTGCCAGTGAGTTGGGCGGATGCAAGGAGAGGTGCCAGACCCCCTAGAAGAAATGATACAGAACGCATATTAGAGCATCTATAAGTGAAGGTAAACCAAGAGAAAAAGAGATAATAAAGAGCGAATGTACGTAGTTATAAGAATGTAAGAGATCAAATGTAAATCTTCATTTGAAAAGATAAAAGAGAGGACAATAGTTAGGCAACGCTAACTACAAAATTCAATACAGAAGTAAAAAAAAAAAAAAAAAATTATGAGGCAGTGAACATCATAATAAGAGGCTCATCGCATCTTATCTATCACTTTGAAGCATCCTTCAAACACCCCCTGATTTGAGTGCTATCCTGTAAGCATGAGGATCGGCAGTGGACTGTGGTTCGCGCAAGCAAAACGACTCCGGAGTACTGCCTGTATTCTGTAGCCGAGACGGTAGCCGAGCTCCACCGGAGTTCGTTTCTATCACGAACTAACGGCGAGTTAATCTATGTCAAACGGTGTCCGGGCAAAGCTACCCAATCAGATAGGAATTACTACTAATTAGAGAATAACTGCCGACTGGTGGACCCATGGCGGGTAGAGTCTATCATGATTCATGAAAATGGCAGCAGCTCGCTTAACAGTCGTGGCTTTGTTGTGACTGTACAGGCACTCGTAGAATGTACAACAAGAGACAAGAAAAGTTATATAGTAGCGGTGGATTTAACGGTTCGAGGAGGTGGATGTTCATTCTCTCACAATAAAACAGACGCTGGTATCAGGGGACTACACCAGCGTATGCGCGCAGGTCGAGCCGCAACGTATGGTCATCCACTGCCCTGAATAGGCTTTTTTACCGATTCATGGCAGTATTTTACAGCCAGTAAGTATTACTGGACTATGTTTAGGCTGGTATCGCAAGGTAGGAAGCTGAATGCTTGAGGACAGAGTAGTGATCATGAAGTTTCTGAAGCGTGGGGCCGAAACCCAACTAAGCTAAGACTACATAAAGGTAACTAACTCCGGAGCTTATGTTACTATTAAGTTACAGACTACAACCTGGTTTAATTATATGTACCTACGAAGTTTTCAGTAGTTGGGTCATAGCATTGCATAGAATGTGGACTGATGTCTCCTAGATAGAAGTCAACTCTCTTATGAGCGAGATGACTCTGCCTCGTGGCTGGGTATAATCCACCGAGACCTCGAACATATTGGCATATCTCAAAAAGTTTCAACTCACTTCAACAGTACTAGCATCTCGGCATGCTAAATAACGCAGCAATTGCCCGCGCTGATATATCTACCTGAAAGAGTCCGTTTACCCGAATAATCGATCTGAACTAAATATCGGCACACTCGGAGTATACCTAACCTTTTACCATGGCACCATTGCGGGGCCAAAAAGTACTGCCGATCCCTGCTACCGCTAGAAAAATACCTTCTTCAGGGGGCTGGTCTGAATCCGATTGCTTGGACACCACGCACGGTGTTTTTATTGAGATATGTTACGCGATCGGCAGCGACCAACGGTAGAGCTACTATCAGTTTTAGTCTAATACACCAAACTCAAAAGTCATGTTGGTTTTCACGGCGTCCTCGATACTAAGAGCCCCAGCCCCACATCCCTGGGATAAAAAGTCTTTGGCAGAGGGCTTGTACTTTCTTGAGATACTTGGCACATGTGATTCTTTGGAGTGCATTGTATGTGTTTGCAATTATACCTGAAAGGAAAGTACTCGAAGGTGGAGCACTACGGCAGGAATATGATACAACACGAATTTTCAAGCTTTCTAGGAGATACTAGGTGCATGGTGTCCGAGTACAAGTCCATGCAAAGTTGGAGATATCTCCCTCACTGCATTCTACTATCATCTTATTCACTTGGCGCCTTTCACTTGCCTCGCCCACAACCTCGTGCGCCGTGCTCCACTCAACCCTCACGAGCCTCTAATCTCGTTAATACTAGGTACGCCAGTCCAAACCCCGACCAGAAGGTAGTTCTAGTTTCATGCCATTCTTTTAGCCACAGATCTCGGGTTATCTCTTAGTATACTATATCCCGGACCTTAGCTGTACGATCAAGAATAAAAAACAACACATACCAGTGTGTTCGGATGCCTAGTATTATTTCTTCCTGAGGGCCTCTTCAAGTACCTACTATGTGCAATTAATTTCTTGGTGCCAAGGAGAAACTTTTGTCATCCTACTGCGCTCCTTCATGGCACATGACCCAATAACCCTAACGTGTCTCAGTCCACAGAACACCGAAGGGTTACTTCCCGGGTCGCAATACTGAATGTGGGCTTATGGTATGTTGGTATCGGCAATGTAAACATTTTCCCTTGTTGAATACGAATGCGACGATTAATATCGGGCTTGCGTGATCTCATGCCAGGTGACCTGAAGCACGGTCTCCTTTTGGATAACCTAGTCGTATCCCCGCGTCACTCTCCACGTAGAAGGTCTCCCCCGATCAGACCTCTTGAAACAGCCTAAAATGTCTAGAGCATTTGTCGATGATTCCCCTCTGGCTCGCTCTTGCTGTAACCGTCTTGTTGCTTGCCAAGTTTTAATGTTGGTTGTCCAGAGACACTTCCCTACATGTACCTCCCTATAAGGTTTGTATCATATTGCTTCAGGCTACGTGTCTCGTCACGTCATTGGAATCCTACCATCAGTACAAGTCGCCAAAAAGACAATCTTAAGTCTTCCGACAATCAGTTCACTGTGATGTTATGCAAAGGGTCCGTAGGGAAGTCACCTATTTATTCTTACTTATTGTCACTCATAACCGGTTTCGACAGGAGATCCCCACCTCGACATGGTTTGGGGGACCAAGCCAAATTTATTTCGTTGGCCTTTTCCGTCGAGAACGGGAAAATGTGCTAGTAGGCGCACTCGGTTCAATTGGACGGAACATTTTCGCTCAAATATTTTAAGACATGGACCCTTATTTTAGCTCAGTGCTGACGTTTGGTTTTCTTCTAGAAAGTCTTGGCTCGTACACCCATGCCACAACACGGGATAACACGGTCCAATACGTCGCTGGCATTCCTTTGTAGGACCCTGAGCCTACTACCAAGTAAGGCGTAGTGATAGGCATAGACCATACGTAAGACAGGCTTGACCAATAGTAATTAGGTAATCTTTGTGTGATGATAGTTTAATTACGTCCGTGGTGGAGAGGCCAAGGCAACCCACGGATGTAACTTTAATCGATGAACCCGAATTGTTCTGCCTATTTGTGGGTTTATTTTGGTGTTTGCTGCTTGCATAGCCACATGTCTATCCTGGGAGAGGTATCATCAGAGAGCTATTTCTATAATTTAATTTGCATCGAGTGTTGGTAAGTCCCGGGAGGCTACCATGAAAAGTCATCCCATGGGACCACAGGGTGGTTTGGGGTCTAACCGAACATTGTCCGAGACACGCTACGATCATCTGCCTAGATAAGGTCTGTTTAAGTGCGGGGGCTAAGCTATTTTTGACCGAAGCTTGTGTCTCCAGTTTATGTTAAATAAGCTCACCACAGTTAGGGCAGGCAGCCATATTTCGAAGGGTCTCCTCTTTGTGTGCATACTATTACTTCCGCTCATGACTCGCTTGTTTTACTCTGGTTATGAATATCTACTACAATATTTTAGTCTCTTGATGTTTACTCTATGATCAGATACTCAAAATGCCAACTACTGGAAGACCAAATACCGACTACGAGCGCTGGCTTCAGCATCACAATCCAGACACTGAATTTCAACCCAATCCACAATACGGACCTCATCATGGCAGTCGTTCTGGGAAATATCCCCCTTTTCACACACCCAAGTAAGTCCGAATTGAGTCTCTTAAATGGATAATTCTAATAGTAGTCACAGGACCGACAGGCCTCGCATTCCCTTCGCCGAACCCCAAATCCGGTTTTCGCCCACAGAGAAGGAACTTGGATCTTCTCCCAAGGAGGGCTCTAATATACCGACTGTTATCTTGCTGTTGATCTTCATTATCCTGGTTGCTATTGCATATGTTCGGACGCAACTTGCGCACTCCTCACGGGGCCCGCAAACTGCGAGAAGAGGTGAAAAGATTTGATAATTGGCTACGACCGTCATGAACTTGACATTATCTTCTGGTCCACTGCATATTATTCCCGAAATACCTGTACCCGTTGGCAGGGAGACACCTGGACGGATCCGATTCAAGAAATTCCGATGCCCATATACCATGCTGTTCGATCGGTGACACTTGAATCTAGAGTCGAGACGCAATCTAAAACATAGTGCTATTTCGAGGTCGATACTTGAATGCTTTATGCTGGCTCATAAACTATCATGCCCTGCCTTCCATGGTGCAGGATGCCAGTCTACGTCTAGTTTCCAAGATAGTTGTCGGTTTTACAATACCATAGCATATTGTCTCCTTGTTTTCTTCAGGTATATCTCTCATCATATACACCCTGCTGATGCATTGGTCCTACTAGACCATTAGGCATAGGACTTCCAAGTATACTTGTAGTTGTAATCTTCTGCGTATAATTAGTCACATTGAATCCTAGAGGGCTTCCTATGTATTCCTTCCCACGAGGTTCATTCTAATAATATGACTAGGATATCTAAATTTCCATTCATTCAGTAGCAGGGAATAGTCCACATGCACAGTTTAGAACAGACCAACATTTAATTCACTATTACGTGCGAATATAAAGGGCTGGTAATTGTCATCTGATTTCGCTGGCCTGTACCCTGACCGGGTTTGCTGTGCCGGTATCTCAACTCTTTTTTTACTTTTTTTACTAATTATTTCCCTTGTCAATTCTTTAATGGTTAATATATTAAAGTTCTACAAGCACCAACAGATAAACCACCCCAATTTTGCAGACGTGGCCACGGCAAGAGGGCCCCTGAGAAGAGAGGCTATACAAAGGGAGCTGGGACCCGCAATTTCGCCGACGACACTCAGCTACCAGCCTCATTGGCTCTCTATCAAAAAACCCCGCACATTGAAGCGACAAAAGCCAAGCTAGAGTGAGTGCAGATCTGCATTATCTCTCTATCATAAGACATACAGGTGACTCGGGGGTGTCGGAGTCGCTTCCGAAGCTTGGGAAAGATGCAATCTCGTGCCTGGTTTTGCTATGCGTCCATACACACGAACTAAAGCCAATTACTAAACTAGATAATGTCACCTGAGATGCTAAAGCACAAACTGTTGGCTTCAAAGGTGCTGGATACACGATACCAGCATTGCGGTAGTAATTTTCATAGTCAGGCTCTTTCGGACGCCGAGGTTTCAGTAACAAAATCCTGTTGCCAATGTCTCCACAAGTCGCCGACTATCCATCAACCGAGCGAATTATACTATTTCCTAGCGTCGATCGTCCATCGAAGTACGTCAGTCCGTTATAGAGGTCACTGTGGAAGACATCGAGGGCAACAAATCAGTCCTCAAACCGGTCCAAACAAAATAGGCCACAAGATTCACAAATTGATGCTATCGACTCTGCGGCTTTGCGTAATGGATGGCCGCATTGAGCTTACTCCGGCTCCTCAATCTCTCTTGTGACGGTTGCTCTCTGCTTGCACCTTAATCTCAATTTCTATATACAAAATACCGGACTCCGAAGCGTACGTGTCGCTTATGTGTGAGGAATGCAAGGTCGACCTTCAGTATCAGAAGAAGCGCACTACGAGTGAAATATCCAGCTTTCGCGAATTGCCAAATTGTAAATATCCTTTTACACAAACATCTTTTGGTGATACACTTAATTGTAGCACTCCTATCTGACCAGCATTTAATGCTATCACACATTCCAGACCCTGTTAGTTATCGGATGCGCCATTTTCATCAGCAGACGGTTCATTACCCGTGGAAGATCAATATCAGAACGAGTTCTCTCTACAGATATCACGACACTTCAGCAAATCCTTCGGGGGAAATTCGATGTATTCCTTGTTAATAACGCTCTTTGCAAACGCGAAGATGCCTGTTACAGCCACATATAACAGAAGCTGCTGCCAGCATAGCCGTCTTCACTTCAGCCATGGCCGCCACTGTGGGTCCAGCTGATGAGCTTCTCACAGGAGTCTATCCATTGCAGGCTTTTGTTTTTGAAGCCGGAGTATCTGAAAACCCCTAGCTTGACACCTAATCAGCGTTTTATAGATCCCCGCTTGTAAAAACGAATCGTCTACTACAAGCCTCCATATTGGATTTACTCCGCCGATCCTCAGCGAATCTATATTGGGATCGGCTGTTTTGTTTTGTTACATTATCCTCCTCTAAATAGCCAGCATACCTCCCGACCAGAGGCTGGAAGCCACTGGAATACGGGTGGGAAGACCGACTACTGCTAGGAAATGGGAAGGCAGGGGCGTAAGGTGTAAAATTCAACTACTCGTAGGAACCACTCCACATTATGCCTTTTAGCAAGGAACACCCGATTCAAAATATAGGGATTTGCGATTTGATTCTCATTCCTATTTTATTGGTATAGAATCGACCCCAATCTTCAAAATATCAACTACATGTTGACCCCGACATTAATTTGGATCATGTAGTGCGGTTATAGGCGAGACTATTTGAAGCACAACAGTATATCGATTGAATGCGGAATGGAAACGATGTAGAGGAATCGGAATCACCACCGCCCTATCTCTTTTACAGCCTTGCGGTGAAAGCTATACTCCAGTATGTCTTTGATCTAATGGTCTAGTCTCACACTACACTATCCAAGATCCCTTTGTGGTTTTAGCAATAATGACTGATATACCATTTGGCTGTTTCTTGAGGTTGAGTCATAGCCTTGTATAAGTACGATGTATGGAGAGGTACGAATATGTTTTGCAGAAACTGTTCCAGTCCGCGCCTATGTTACATTTTAGTCCCTTACTCTCTTTCTCTATACCAAGATACGGCATGAGTTTCGTGGTAAAGATAGTCCATCGAAAGCAATAAGAGTCTGCATAGTGCACCCTTGAGATGATCAAGGGTCAATCCATGTCCCATGCCAAGCAGTGAGTTAATTAAACTGATGTGAGTTTGGCCAGTTTCAAAATATCGGTGTACTCGGACCACTTCAATATAACCTGTGGCAGGTCTATATATTTTCCTTTACCTGGAGCTTTACTACTATTCATGTGACTCATCAGACACATACAAAAGCCATTCAAAAAGCGCATTGTCTTAACATTAACACTCGACCTTCTCGAGCTCTTTGGCGTGGAGACTGGCCAGATACGAAGGCAGGTACGAGCCTCGACGCATTTTCTGCTTCACAAGTTGATATGGCTTCTCGATGGTTGTGAGCAATGTCTTTCTCCAAGCATAGCCCGTGCGCTTGAATCTGGTGCCAGGGAACCAGGTTGGAAGGTATTTCACTGTGTTCGTTAGCTTTGGGGCAGTTGATATGAGATACTAAGCTGCCTTACAAAGAGGAATGGTGTCCACCAGCCAGGTCCCGGGGATCCCTGCAACTGAGAATATATTCATTGATTCGTTTGCCAAATCAACGAGGAGATCGCGGCCCTTAGGCTCAATGTTATACCCATATGCGATCTTTCAAATCACAGCTCCTGCCTCTCTGTTCCGAATCAGATCTACCACTATCAATTGGGCCCATAAACTTACGTTCTAATATGCCGAATCAAGCCATCTGGCTTCTGCAAAACTCGTAGTAGGAATCGCCGCACTTCAACTTCTTGTAGTAGATTGAAGCGCGACATTAGAGCCTTAGTACCCAGAGTGCGATGCATCGCTTTGCGATAGGAGCGGAAGCGGTCGGAGTATCCCTGCATGGTTAAGGCATCTTCCCAGCCCACCCTGCCTTATGTTACTATGTTTATAGCTATCTGGACTATGTGTAATTTGGTGTAGACTCACATCTCCCCAGCAAAGACCATTCTAGGTTGAGATGAGTATATAGCGGAACGCTTTTCCATAAGGTCAAATGCCACCTGGTGGTCATTAAGGATGACAATGGTTTGGCCGAACATTGAGATCGAACTGATTGGACCTGGCGATAACATTTATCAGATTGCGACCGTGCCCTAAGCCACAGTGATAACATACCATAGAACTCCTTGGACTTCAACCAATGAATCCACTCCTGCTATCCAGGTCGTGGCAGATCCCGCAGGTTTCCAATTATCGGCTTTGGCTTCGGGCCTGGAGGAAGCGGCGCAGACGCCTTCTTGCGAAGTAGCACCAACTTTGCAAAATACAAAAGGGCCAGCCCCAGAAGGATACAGCTGAACGTTGGTAGAGGCATTGTGACAGCCATCATCTACTAGAAGTACATACAACAAATGAAAAAGAAATCAACGAAGTTCTATACAGTGCAAGGATCAAGTTCAGATCAATGACGGGGCGGTGTAGCTCTCATGCTCGAGAACAAACGCCACCCTGACAGCATGCTGAACTTACCGTCAGCATAGTAGTGGAGAAGGTTATTAATCCCATTGGTGTGTTGGGTGCAGGAGAAAGTCTCTTTAGCTCTATAACTTGGCAGCTATCATTCTCCGATATCTTCGTGATTGGTCTGCCTATTAGTATCAGAGTTAAAGTACGCAAGGGGCAGGAGTTGAGATTGAAAACGCCTTGTATGACGGCATAAGTATAGGAGACCCCCATAGATTCTTGTAGGGATAGTTTTGGTGCAACAGGCCTCTTCATGAAAACGAGTGGGATCGGATATACGTAACCTACTTGGATTCATTTCAGGTTCCAGAGGAAGTATTGCAAGCTGCACGTGAAGCATTTCCTCTCCTTACAAAACAATGTATATCTGTTTCTGTTGTGATTGTCCACCCTTTAACAGCAGCAAGAGGTACTACGTTGGCTCACCCAAATCTCATTCCTTAGGGCTTACCAGCAACGGTGTCTTCCCGTGTCACAACAACCGTTCATTCGTAGCCACAGCTCGTCCAGAACAAAAGTTATTCCACTTTCCTAAGGACCGTGTTATCGTTGGTCTGCTCCATCAAGTAGGATCGAAAAGATCTGTAGAGGCTTCGGAGAGGATGACCCATAGGCTCCAGCTCTAAAGGCCTCGGTACCAATATCCAGGCTGTTCCGTTAAAATATATCACACTGTAACTACAGGTAACATACGCATTTAGTAGATCGTAGTACGTTTGGGTGTACCTTAGCAGTAGCTTTATCTACTTGAGATCTTGTACACCCAAACGTTTCCAAGTTATAGGAGTGTTCCACGCTCGGGACTCCGATATTAGTTAAATACTAGTGTAGGTTATTAAGAAAGAAAAGAAAAGAGGGAAGAACAAAAAATAGGAGTGATACGAGAAGTATCGGTGATTTAGGCAAATAAAAAATTTAAAAAAAAGAAATCTCCCCGACTGGGAGTCGAACCCAGGTCTCCCGCGCTTGTTCTCGTTTGAGATGACAAGCGGAAATCATGACCGTTAGACCATCGAGGAATTGTTATAGAAGTCCTCTTTTTATTAATATATCAATCAACAAATTTGTGGCCCGAGTTGCTAAGTGATGCGTTTCCCATCCTTAGTCCAAATCAAAAAATGTTATAGGGACCAACTTTTTAACTTCGGTGCCTCTAAGCTATCACAAGTAATCGGCCAGGCATTAGTCAAGACTAGCAGAACCTCTAGGAAAATAAATCTTAGTAAAATTATAGTATCAAGTCTCACTGCTGAACTTTTCCTGCTGAGCTGCTGAATATTATGCATCGAATATATATATCTGGCAGGGGCCACCGCGTGCCCCCAAATTCAAGGTTGCAAAGCTCACCAAAATAAACAAATGAATAGTTCGTCGGAATAACCGATTCTTTTCCAAGCACCGAAGAAAATCAAAATCCTCAAAACGCGTTCTGATTCATTATGATCCGCTATCAACGAAGATTTCAAGCTCCCCGGAAACTAATCCGCATCCTAACTTTGAGCTGTCGACATAGGTGTACATACATATACGTCTTTTAAGAAATTCTTTATAGATCCACTATTTTACTAAGACCCGCACTCCCTTACTATCCATCTTCGGGAAGGGCAGGAACATATCATGTGCAAGCGTCACATCCTCTAGTGTAGTCTCATATAACTCAAAATCTAGCTCTCGGAGGATCTTGGGAAGGGCGAGGAGAATTTCGGATCGGGCGAGACTATGCAAGTATTAGTATGAAGAATGAACCTTGAGTGAAAGAAAGCCTACTTCATGCCAATGCATTGTCTTGATCCTTTGGTGAACGCCACCATATACTTCTCCAGATGTTTCCGCTGCTCTAGGTCCAACCAACGCTCGGGAATGAATTTATGTGAGTCGGGGAATATGCGCTCATCGTGGTGCATTAACGTGCTGGACATTCCAACGGGAGTCTGTTTGGTAAGCATAAGATTGTCCAGCAAGTTAAGATAGAGATCTGTAAACTTACTCCGGCTGGTATAGACCATTCTCTAAACTGGAGAGCTCTATCAGGAGCAATCCTTTGCAATCGGGTACTGAGGCCGTACGAAAGTCTGTATTGATATAGTTGTAAATAAACACATATCTCTGGCATTTGTGAGAACAAAGGAGACATACCTTAATCCTTCAAGGATGATTGATGTCTACGTGTCAGACGGTTAGTCGAATGCAATCCCCAACTCAGATACTTGAACTAGGGCATACCAGATAAGGCATTTTTTCAAAGTCCAATAGAGTCGCTGTCCGATCAGGATCCAGCTGGTTAAGCTCATCTCTCAGTTTCTGCAGCTTGTCTGGGTTGTGAAGAAGGTAGAACATTGTCCAAGTCAAAGCTTTGCCTGTTGTCTCAGCGCCTGCACCGACCACTACCTGAACTTCTTGCCATAAGCGCTCCGGAGATTTCTCTTCTGGAGGAAGATTGCTATTCAGCACGTCGTGAAAGAAAGTAGGATGACTAAATTGACTCTTGACCTTGTCATATCCGTTGGCATTTTGCTCCTCCATGATCGTCGTTATGACCTCACGGCAGCGACGTTGGAAATGGAATGTCAAGTCCATCTCGGGATTTAACCAGGACAACCAACGTTCGGGTAGAGCATTGAATACCTTAATAAGCCACGGGAAGGGCTTAATATAGACACCCGATTTCGCAACTCCACTCAATGTCCTGCTCCATCGGGGAACGAAGTCCGGTTCATCGAGGTAGTGAAACCCAGCACCCATAGTATAATCAGTCACAACATCAGTTGCGAAACAGGTAAATGGATACTGAAGCGACACTGGGGTTCCTGTGCCCTTGAATTCCCTCAGGCGGTCGCACAGCTTGTCCACCAGCGCCTGGATCAGAGGTTCCAGCTTTCGTATCCGTGCCATCGCAAAATAAGGGTTCATGTTGGAGCGCAGGAGGCGGTGGTGATAATGATCCACTGTCGCCATTGCCGTCTTGGTAAGCCCAAATTGCCGGGTATAGTATTCATATTTATTCCGCGGGCTGTCTCGAGAATATAACACTTCGTAATACTCGGGGTCGCTGATATGGAGTTCCCAGGGGCTGATACGCACAATGGGACCTAGGATTAAGATTCAATTAGCCTTGTGTCTTTACATTTTGTCGAACCGATGGCTTGGTGTAAGAAGTACCATATTTTTCATGCATGCGAATGATTTGGAATGTATACTGCCCTTCGCAGTAAATATCGTAGTACAATTCATACCATAATGTAAGCGCAGCCAGCTTAGGGCCGGGGAACTTGGCCAATGGGGACAGCCATAATCGATACACAGCCAGAGAAACCAAATAGCCTATCCCTGCTAAGGCGATGATCCAGGGTTGAAAAAGGGACTGAAACATGTTTCGATCTCGCACAACGTCAGCGCGAAGGACAAAAAGAGAGAAAGGGGGAAAAAGCAAAAAATTGGATGATCGGAAACATGTCCAGGGCTACTATGTTATTTGCACAGTTCTCTCTTCTTCTTTACCTTCCACCAATACCGAAGGATGCACCATCGGCCGTTAGTATTTCACCCCCGCCCCCATATTAAAACGGTACTGCAGGTATCTCCACCATCTAAGAAATGGCTGACCTGTCGGAGCAGCCGATCCCTCGGAGAACGCTCCGTTTATTGAAACATTTGCCGTTGAAAGGTGGCTCTTGGCTCATTAGTGCAGCGCTATGATCCGTCACCTCCCCCAAGAAATCCAATCATGCAACCGATAGCTGGCGGTATTATATCTCGGGACAGGGGCTTCGCCAGTGGGGTTGCCTTTGCTGAATCCTTGTGTCCCATGTGTTTGCCTTTTGTCGCGGAATAATCCACATGGCTTATAAGCGATCAGGGACCCTCTTGGTCCATTTGTGATCTGTCATATTGATTTCATTAAACACACACCATGTGCTCCTCACACCCGAATGCCGATCCACCTATCGATCCAGAGGTTAGTGTTCCAGAGGTTGGCGAAGGTTAATCTTAAAACTCTATTGAAATGATTTTGATTCTGCGTTCAGGCCGACGCGGATCTCTATAGTGATGAGGATTACTCCAGCGCGTACGTATCGCTTAGGGTTTCCATGGTCGCTGACTCGCCTCACTAACCGAATTCAACTCATCAGAACCGGTAGTTCGACGACATCGTTGTCGTCCAGTATCTTAAATTATCAGTGGGTACTCTAGTTTAAACTCATAAAGTTAAATCTGACGCTTCCTCTTTCAGATACGAGGTCTGATTCTTGATGACCATCCGTCATCTTTAACAACTGACATAGCCCGATAGAATGGACGGCGGTATCATGCATATCGACAAGGAGAATATGTCATTGTAAACCCCCACTATCATCAATCAACTAGTCAGGAATTGATTGAAATCGCACAGCCAAATGATGAAAGAGAGCAAGATCGATTAGATCTGGTATTTCCGTACTTCATCTCCTTCCGTCAGTTACTTCTCTCACTTCTCAAAGGGTCACCATATTTGTAGTCTGGTGCTGGGAGGCGCATTATGTCAATCCCCAATATCAGACAACCCAGGAAGAATCCTAGATTTAGGAACGGGGACGGGCTTGTGGGCGATTGACATGGCTGAGTACGACGCTAAACATGTTTAAAGTACGCCACTAACAATAAATAGCCAGTACCCAGAGGCGCAGGTCATCGGTTAGAACAGCTAAACACCCACAATCTATCTTCGCCGCTGATTGGTAGTAGGGACGGATCTGAGCCCGATTCAACCTTCATGGTATGAGCTTGCTTGACCTCTAATATAAAAATTGGGATGGGCCGTTGAGTATAACTGCATCAGGGTGCCACCGAATTGTGTCTTTGAGATCGACGACTTCGAACTCCCGTGGAACTTCACCCAACCATTTGATTTCATCCATGCTCGGAGCGTTGAGGGATCCGTCAAGGATTTCCCGCATCTCTTTCGCCAAGCGCATCAGAACCTCGTTCCCGGTGGCTGGTTTGAAATGATGGAACCCACCGTCGACATCTTTTCTGATGACGATAGTATTTCGAAAGCGCCGAATCTATCTGAATGGCGGGACATGTTGATCGAGGCGAGTGGAAAGTTTGGCAAGGAGATGGGAGCGGCGAAAAAGTACAAGCAGTGGATGATTGAGGCTGGCTTCACAGATGTGACAGAGGAAATATTCAAGGTTGGTAGCTCGTTGATGACGGGGGGCTTGGTGTCGCTGACTTCTCCAGGTGCCTTTTTCGCCATGGGCCAAAGACCCCAAACTGAAGGAACTGGGGCGGTATCAGCAAGCTAATATGCTGGAGGCTCTCGACGCGTACTCATTGGCGCTGTTCACTCGATTCCTGGGATGGAGCGTTGATCAGATTCAGATGCTTTTAGTAGGGGTTCGACGAGAATTATTAGATCGGAAGCTACATATCTACTCGCGGTACTATTTGGTTTACGGCCGGAAAGAAATGGAAGGCTCGTAGTAACTGGGGTCAGGGATGTTGGCAGAGTCAAATATGCTAAGGGTTATCTGTGTATGACTGCAATTTAGATCCTACTCACCTTTATATTGTACCACTCTTTTGGTTCCTTTCTTTCTTTTCATTCATTCATTCATTCTCTTCTTATCTCGAGCAAGAATATAACATTCTCCACCTTCCATGGTTGACTCCAATGCACTCTAAAGCAAAATACGCGCGTTCTCATTGATAGGCAGAGCTTTTTTGCAAGTTCGAGGGCTTAAACATACATATCATATTGTGTTATCTGCTCGCTGACACATCATGTGACCCTTTTAGATGGGGTTTCACTGTGCTGTTTCGGATACTAAATAGTATCTAGAAGTAAGAGTGCCGAGGAGAATCCAAAATCTGCATAACACTAAGGCTACTAGTCAATATTGATGAGACCTCCGTTCGGTTAGTGCTTCATCTCGCTACGGGATACTATATTACCGATCATGTGATACGTTGGCCTTAAGCTTGCATTAGTGCCAGAGCTGCATTGCCATATTTTCGCCGGTTGGACGTGTCTGATCGAGACCTATAATATATGCACCTAGTGACCAATGTGTTGATCAGCACTAGAGACATATTGCCATCTCTGAAATGACTTGGAGATTCCCTTCAAAATAGCTGTGATCTGAGTTCAAGTATGGCAAGCTTGGGGCATTCCCTAGGTAACTGAATAACTCCCCCCACAGATCAAATTCAGTTCTCCGGTAAATGAAGGTTGAGATATTTGCCGGTTCGCCCTACCAGAGGTGGGGTTGAACACGGATCATCGCTGTCATGAAGTGGGTGCTCGGATGGGATAGCATCGTTCCGTGATGTCGATGGGTCTAGCCAGAATTAGAAATAATAATCACTCCCGCAAAGGTTTAAAAAAACCGATGTTGGTATACCTCAAGAATAGTGATAGACGGGGTTGATCACGATCTTGTTTGTTTACGATGAGAGCGGCACGGGTGTTCTCATGCTGCCTGAGGCCACGATCAGCGAGCATGACGCCACTCATCGGCTCGGAATCGGAGAAAACCGCATCCAGGCGGTTTTTCCAGACACCAATTATGAACTAGACGGGGTAGTCACTACTAGCGATGATGCTACTGATATAGTCCTTTTTTTTTTTTTTTGCTTTCCCACCCTTTCATCTCGCTTGCCTGTCGTTCTATAAATCTCTTCTTCTGGCCCCTTGTGCATATTCTCTAGACAAAGCACTCGGAATCCGTTTTGTTTGCGCCCCTAGGGATCGGTTTGTCGTCATTCTCTTTTCGCGGACCCGCGCCACCAAGCGCACCGCCAATCTCTCCATCATGGGCCTCTCCAAAACCAACAGGATCATAATCCTGTTGGTCATTGACTCTGCATTCTTTCTATTAGAGTTGATAGTTGGTTAGTATCTATGGGCCGGGCGTTGTCTTGCTCTCTATCTCACGCCCCGCAGGCTATGCCGTCCACTCGCTCGCCCTTGTTGCTGATTCGTTTCATATGGTATGTACTTCCTGGAGATTGAATTCCCGACACTGGCTAAACGCTAACTGCGTCTGTGAAGCTTAATGATGTCCTGTCCCTGTGTGTTGGTTTATGGGCGGTTAAAGTCGCCAACCAAGAGACCAATTCAACCACTTCCAAGATGTACACTTACGGGGTAGGCACCCATGTCTTTGTTTTTGCGGGTGGGGGCGGAGTACAAGCTGACCATGATCTTTTTACTATAGTGGCAACGTGCAGAAACCCTCGGAGCCTTGGTCAACGGTGTCTTCCTTGTTGCCTTGTGCATGTCGATTTTCCTAGAAGCTATACAACGTCTGGTGGAACCCCAAGAGGTGCAAAACCCGAAGCTCGTTTGCATTGTCGGTTGCTTTGGTCTTTTGTCCAACATCTTGGGTCTTTTGTTGTTTCACGATCACTCCCACGGCCATGGCCACGGCCATAGCCATGGTGACGTCCATGGAGTTGAGGATGTGGATGCCGCTGAGCAGGGCTATGTTTCCCATGGCGAGAGTGACCCCGTGCGGGCGATCGCAGTACGTTTAATCCTGCGCAAACGTGTCATCAATGATAAACTCTTAACCTAATCAATGCAGGACGAATGCCCACTCTCTTCTTCCGATGCTCGAAGACGCCGAACTCTTGATAGCCAACATCGCGGGTCTCCTAGATACAGCAATAACGTGGAAGATATCCAGGTACACCCGGCTACTATGAGACAGGAAATTATCGGTCGCAGCCGCTATGTTGATGAGGAGCAGTCTGAGTCGGACAGCGACCAAACAAACGTCGCTGAAACATCGGAGCGATCTGCACTCCTTAGCCACAAAGACCGAGCGGGCAAGTACACTGATGAAGCAAATGCATCGCTTCTACCAAATGCTACGGTGGACGATGACATTCATAAATTCCATAACCATGCGCAGCCCAAGTCGAAGGACTCAAAGCACGGTCACGGCCATGGTCACGGCCATGGACATGGACATGATCTCAACATGCGGGGCGTCTTTCTTCATGTCATGGGTGATGCTCTGGGCAACGTTGGTGTCATAGCTTCTGCCCTGGTTATTTGGTTGACCGACTATGAGTGGAGGTTTTACGTTGACCCTGGCATTTCGTTGGTGATTACGGTGATCATCCTCGCCTCGGCCATTCCTCTTTGCAAAGCCGCATCGAGAATTCTCTTACAGGCTGTTCCCCCCGGCATGAGCATTGACCATATTAAAGAAGACATCGAGAGACTTCCTGGTATCATCAGCTCCCACGACTTACACGTTTGGCAATTGAGCGACACGAAGCATGTTGCCTCGATTCACATTCAAGTGGATACGGAGATCAAAGGGGAGGGTTCAGAGAGGTATATGCGCTTGGCGCGACAAGTGAGAAGATGCCTCCATGCCTACGGCATTCATTCAACCACGATTCAGCCCGAATTCGCACCGGGAAGTGACGTTGAAGACAACCAAGCTGCTTCATCCTATTCTAGTAATGGTCCCTCTAGTCTGCGGGAAGAAGACTCGCGAGCGTGTCTCTTGGAATGCGGTGATGGTTGCACGCGAGGTGGAGAGTGTTGTCCCAAGACCTCAACCTAACCAGACATCGTATCGTCCATCCCGTTACTTTCCCTTTTTTGATCAAAAGCCTGTTTACTATTCATACCCCCTTTTCTTTTCCGTGTTTCATACCTAGATCGGAGGTTTGGTGTCTCGAGGGAAATCATTTGGGTCATGGGTGGGGTATTTGTTTTTAGAGCCTAATACTGTATACTGTGTTTCGGGGGATTTGCTGATATTCTTATGTCGATCATGTACGGAGTATCCATACCAGCTCGACTTCGAGTGTTTATCCTTGTCTCCAGCTATATCATTATAGATTGGCCTTCGAGGAATATTATTACCAAGTAATTCTTCAGGTTGACTGTGTAGATCTAGACAACAAAAAAAGCTATTAATAGCCTTCTAGACCCACGACTGTTCTAACCTTAACAACCGGTGCCTTCACGTGACCCACCTCCGCGGGTCAGTGGAGATCTCCAGGCCAGGAGACCCCCTGTGTTGTTCAATTCACCCTCGGTTGACCATGATGCTCTGTGTTCAAAATTTGAAACGTTGAGTGTCATTGTTCTCCCAATGAGAACCAACTACGCCGCTTGCCGATAACCTTTCACAACTTCCGTGTAAAGACGGAGCAATGCCGCAGACAGCTTCGCTTTGGCCACTTTCGGGTTGACACAGCAAGCATGAGTTATTCATATCCAAATAGCACGAACGCGGATGCCTATCGTCCAGGCCGTCGTGACTATTATGCCGACTCATCCAATGACCACAGCCGTCTTCTCGACACTTTGCCACCGTGGCTACGACAATGGGTCGCTGAAATACAAGCTCATTGGATTGCGCCGAGGTTCAGCGTCACAAGGAACTCGCAGGGCAGTAATGCGCTAAGAGCACGGGTATGGAGGATATTCAGACACATATTCACAGTCACGAATGCTCTGGCTGTTCTCTGGTTCTTTACGCTCTGGTGGGGGGAACGGGCGGTGTTCCAGGATAGTTTGGAGAGGTGCGCCTGGGAGAATTGGGAAAGCTGGGTATGTATCCTTATAATCAATCAATTTAGTGGTGATGATCTGTTTCTAATACGATGGCGTTATTCTTAGCCTCGAGATGCAACACCACATCACGTTGCTTTTGTCGCAGACCCTCAGTTGGTCGATCCTCATACCTATCCCGGTCGGCCATGGCCCCTGTCCACATTGACTGTGAAGTTCACCGATCAATATCTTCGGCGGTCCTTTTCATCTATTCAAAGGAATCTAGGCCCGGACTCGGTGTTGTTTCTCGGTGACTTGTTTGATGGGGGAAGAGAGTGGGCGACCTCGCACAGCTCCAGTCCCGAGAAGCGCTATCAGAAATACAAGGATTCGTTCTGGAAGAATGAGTATCATCGGTTCGTGAGGATATTCTCGGACCAGTGGAACGAGGGTGATCCGCACTCAGGCAACCCCCGAGGCCGGAGGATGATCGCTAGTCTACCTGGGAATCACGATTTAGGATTCGGCACTGGGGTTCAACTGCCCGTCCGTGATCGGTTTCAGACATACTTTGGCCAAAGTAATCGCGTCGATGTTATTGGAAACCACACCTTTGTTTCGATTGACACGGTATCATTGAGCGCCATGGACCAGCCTGACCCAGAGACCGGAAGTACAGGGTCTGGGGACGGACACCCGCCAAACGAGCGTATTTGGAAAGAAGCAGAGGATTTCCTGAATAATATGAACGTTCATCGTGGCAAGGCGGAGATGGAAGAATTACGCCTGATGAAGAACCAAAGTGAAGGCCATGTGTTTGACCACAAGGTCGTGGACATCTCACAGCCTACACTCCATCAAAGACTCCAACCGGAGGTTGTAGGGTTCCCTGCCATTCTCCTGACCCATGTTCCATTGTATCGCAAACCGGCCACGCCTTGCGGGCCTCTGCGAGAACACTACCCACCATCAGATGGTGCACCGGAAGAAGATGAACGAAATGCCCTCTCAATTGCTGCTGGATACCAGTATCAGAATGTTCTCACGCAAACTATCTCCAAGGACTTGGTCACGAAGGCGGGCCCTAATCTTGTCCATGTCTACTCCGGGGATGACCACGACTACTGCGAGGTCACTCATCGCGAATTTAGTGGCTCTCCCAAAGAAATCACGGTGAAAAGTCTCTCCTGGGCTATGGGGGTCCGGCGGCCGGGCTTTCTACTTACCAGTCTCTGGAACCCTGTTGACCCTGCTACCGGGAAGCCGACTCATTCAATGAGTACTGGCGCTACTTTGCAAAACCACTTATGTCTCCTCCCCGACCAATTATCTATCTTCATCCGCTACGGCCTTCTATTCGGCCTTACCCTTGCTGCTCTTCTCGCACGAGCCGCCATTCGTGTGCTTTACTTCCCCGCAGTGGACTCATCCGCACCGCTTCTTCCCCTCTCTGCATTTCGCCCTACCCTCCACGTCCACACAGCTAAGGCCCCAAGTTCTAGTACGTCTAGCTCCACATTTTCCTCACCGGGTGGCCTGGCCAGTCGTGCCGCCAATGCACCTCCCCGCTACCCCAAAGTGAACGATGATACTTACCCCGGTTCAGGTCACGATGACGTGGACAACGCGAAGTGGAAACCTAGGGTCCCCGCTTCCCGGGGAATCTGGGGAGAATTTTTAGACTCTGTCAAATATGTCGCTACGATTGTGTTTGCATGGTATTTCTTCTTGATCTGGCGATGGTAAAGACCGGAGTAGAGGGGGTGGTAAACACCGGGAGTTTAGAACTATATAGAGAACAATGCATCATTTTGGTCTCCTATTTGATATTCTTGCATGTAGAATATGGGACGGGATTTTGCGATTTCCCTCCCTTTCATGTCACTAAAGATATAAATCTGGTGTCCCTCTTGTACGGTTCACCCTAAACTGGAGAAGGTTTCCCAGAATCATGGTGGACAATATTTTTACTTTCCACCTTTTTTTTTTTTTTTTTTTATTAGAGTTCTTCTATGATGGTGGGGAGTGAGAGCCTGAGAGGGGACTCATGTTTTACCTTCGAGGAGCAACCATGGTTCAGCCCGATAGTCAATATTAGCCAAAAAACTCAAACCCGATTTTAGTTTTGTTCCTAAGCGTTGGTTCCAACTGTATAGGGTTAAGGGCTGATCGTCGAAATGTTGGCTAGCCATAGAAAATGCAACTTATACGACGAGAAGCGGGCAAATCTCGGGGATTCTGCGACTAGATCTACTATAGCCCCCCAATTAGAGCCCAGACTAGTGCTGCAAGTGTTTGAGTGGCAAAAGCCCTAATTTGCTTAAACCATGTAACATTAACATCCTCTCCCTCCCGACATAATGTCATTGTGCGCTGAGACGACAGTCTCTGCCCGAAATGGCACCGGTGAGACTCCGGATTGTCGTCAACTTGGCTATCCTCCTCCATGTTTAGAATTTTAGATCCATTTCCCCGGATGGAGTCGTGGAGTCTCCAGTTGAGCAGGAGTGCCATGGGGTCGTGCATGATTCCCTTTTGGACAAGATCCAGTTATATTTCCAGACACTGGCATATGGTTACAGATACACCAGAAGAAAATCCGGGATGTTGAATAGGTTACCGAAGCAAATTGATATTCTTATTACGAGAAAAGTGTGTGATTTCGGGATTGTCACGAGGGCTGGGTCGGGTTGGCCGCGTTCGGCATCCCCCGAATTCTTTGCGTTTCTTCTCATGACAACTTCTTCCCGTTCTCGGCTTCTCTCCGCCTCAATTATTTATTTATTTATTTATTTTTATCTTGATTGCCACTGTTTTTCTTGTCCCGTGGCTCGGATTGCCGTCACGGTGCGGCGAAAGGATCCCGTAGAAGGGGAGGGAAAAACCCGTCCATCGTATTTGGACATCCACTCTGCGTGCCAAGTTCCAGAATCGTTCGATGTCCGTGGTTTACTTGGGTCTCGGCCATGTGTGCTTACTTTCCTCGAACCAATCATTCGTATCCATGGGCCCCTAGCCTCGTGCAAGTCTCCTCCACTTTTCACGCCGTCAAACGTTCCTCTTCTCCAGACTCGGGGCTGTGGCGCGGAGAGAGACACATATCCCAGGTCTAGGGCCGAAATTACCAAATAATCCCTCATGCGGTCTACACCAGCGCATCCTAGGTTGATCCCGTGCCCTCAATTGGCTGTAAATGCGGGATAGCGCTGGTTTCGGCCGGCTCCTTAATGTAGTTTTTCCCCATGTTGACCGGATATGGTCAAGATTGGCCATCGCGACCTCCTGTCTGAAGCAGTACAAAAACTCTGCCATGGCCCCTTCCCCATGGAGATTCGTGTATCTCATTTTTCTCTCCACCTGTCATCCCTACGTTCTTCCCTTTGCGTGTTGATCTACAGCTGAAGAATCTTTCCATACATTGACCCCAGTCCGTGTCTACATTCACCATGGGTCTCATGTTGAAGAAGCCGGATGATGCTACGGGCTCTGCTGCCCCTGCCATCATGATTGGCTTGTTTGTTGCCTTTGGTGGTGTCCTGTTTGGGTAAGCTGGCCCTCTGTATCATCATTGAAGCACCTCGTAGACTAAGATACTAACTATTGGATCCTATAGTTATGATACTGGTACCATCAGTGGCATCCTTGCCATGCCTTACTGGCGCAAGCTATTTTCCACGGGCTATATTAACCCGTCAGACAACTATCCCGACGTGACCTCCTCTCAGTCCTCCATGATTGTCTCCCTCCTGTCTGCAGGGACTTTCTTCGGTGCTCTAGGTGCAGCACCCATTGCTGATTACTTCGGTCGTCGGCTGGCTATGATCATCAACACGTTTGTTTTCTGCTTTGGTGTCATCCTTCAGACCGCTGCTACTGCTATCCCATTATTTGTTGCGGGAAGGTTTTTTGCGGGCCTAGGTGTCGGATTGCTCTCTGCAACCAGTATGTCATGAACGGACCCACCTATCAAGTCTTTAAAGTATAGTATGCTAACAGGCTTCAGTCCCTCTGTACCAGTCGGAAACCGCTCCTAAGTGGATCCGTGGTACCATCGTCGGTGCCTATCAGCTGGCTATCACCATTGGATTGCTGCTTGCTGCCATCGTGAACAATTCTACTAAGGGCCGTAACGATACTGGCTCCTACCGTATCCCTGTCGCTGTTCAGTTCGCCTGGGCTATCATCCTGGTTGTCGGCATGATCCTACTCCCCGAGACGCCTCGCTTCCTGATTAAAAAGGACAAGCATGAAGCTGCTGCCAAGGCTCTCGCGCGCCTTCGCCGCATCGATGTCAACGATCCCGCCATTGTGGAGGAGCTGGCTGAGATCCAGGCCAATCACGAATATGAACTCAGTGTGGGCAATGCGAGCTACCTCTCCATTCTTCGTGGAAGTATCGGCAAGCGACTGGCCACTGGCTGTGCCGTTCAGGGTCTGCAGCAGCTGGCTGGAGTCAACTTCATCTGTATGTATTCTACCACCCCATCTAATCTACTCTGATGCAAACTAACATCTTACAGTCTACTACGGAACTACCTTCTTCGAACACTCCGGTATCAAGGACGGATTTATCATTACTTTGATCACCAACATTGTTAATGTCGTCTCCACCTTCCCCGGTCTCTATATGGTTGAGAAATGGGGTCGTCGTCCTCTTCTCCTGTTCGGTGCTGTCGGCATGTGTGTGTCTCAGCTTATTGTCGCCATTGTTGGCACCGTCACCACCTCCGACGTCGCAAACAAGGTGCTGATCGCCTTCGTCTGTGTCTACATCTTCTTCTTCGCTTGCTCATGGGGTTGCACCGCATGGGTGGTAACCGGTGAGCTCTTCCCTCTCAAGGCTCGTGCCAAGTGTCTCTCGATCACGACTGCCACCAACTGGCTCCTCAACTGGGCCATCGCCTACGCTACCCCTTATATGGTCAACTCCGGCCCGGGCAACGCCAACCTGCAGTCCAAGGTGTTCTTCATCTGGGGTGGATTCTGCTTCATTGCCGGTGTTTTCGTCTACACCTGCATCTACGAGACCAAGGGTCTTACCTTGGAGCAGGTTGATGAGCTTTACGCCAAGATTCCTGTAGCCTGGCGCTCCAAGGAATTTGTCCCATCCGTTAGCTACGCTGACGTTCGTGACGTTGCTGCCGGCAAACTGTCTGGCAACCTCACTGATTTGGAGGCCGACGCCCAGATGAAGCGCGACATGGAGCATGTTGAGAAGGCCTAGAGTATTAGCCGGCGTTTGTCAGTTGGGTTTTCCTGTTTTAGTTAGGTGTTCGTCTTCTTTTTTTCCTTTCCTTATTTCTCTGCTTCCATACCATCTATACTGCCTTTATACCTAGCGAGTGGCTGTTTGCAACATTATCTTGGTGATGAGAGACGTGGTATGATGATCTGATCACGATCAATATCTTGAATTGTATAATATTCTTCTAGCACTGCTCTTATAACCAAAGATTATTTTTCCATGATCACTACTTGGTTATCTGTCATAATTCGTAAGGACTACAGCTCAACGGTCATAGTCTTATAGGGTACAGTTTAAAAAAAAATTAAAAATTAAAAAGGCTCGAGATATCAAAAGAGAACCCTGACTAGCTGGACTGTGAAGTTGACCGTGTCTACCATCGGCCCTTCCCGTACCCTAAAAACCTCCGGGAACTGGACCCTGGCTGTCTGCCTGAGGCATGAGTGCTTACGTCGCCATTCCCCACGTTCACGTGTCGAACCCTGTTTTTAGGACTTTCCCGATGAGGAAGGGCAACATGGGGGCAACCGACTGGGGAATGATCTTCTTCTCTTCTCTCCCCTTATCCTTCCTTTCCCCCCAATTCATTTTTCACTTGGGAGATAAGATGAGGTGGTCATTCTCTCCCCTCGCTACGATCACCTCCCAACTACAATCATGTTGATCCGCTCGGTTCCAGAGCAAGACCCGGACTCCATATACAAAGTGCCGCTCCTATCCTGCGAGCCGACCGACAGTCTAGTACCTTCCGAAAAGATGTCTGTATCAGCTACGATTGCTAGTATAAATCATGATATCTCTCCGATAGAAGACAGGAATGTCCAACCGGGGCTAGAGCTACAAGAGCTCAACAGGACATGTGACGGGAACGAAAAGAAGACCAGCGACCCAAACGTGACCGATAGTCCCTACGACAAGAAATACAGTATCGAACAGGGCCTATCGCAGAAACAGCCCCAGAACTACGTCTTTCCCTCCCAGGATCACCCGCTATTCCCGCCGCTACCTTCGTACGGCCCCCCTTCCTTCGTGTTTACCATAAAGTGTCTGGTGCTACAATGCGTGTCGTTTCTGCTATCGCTGCTGTTTTTGGGTGTCGTGATTGTCGGGGCACTTGTATGCAGGACCCGACTCGCTGTTTCCCACGTCAAGACCCGTCTCCAAGGCCAAGATCCCAATGAGCAACGGGCTTTCTACGAGGAGGAACGGACACGGGAATTAGAGAGGCAGAAAAACTTGCAGAGGTGGAAGCGTCGGCAGGAGAAGAAGGAAGTCGACGAGGAAGTTCCCGATGAGTGTCCGCCTCTGGAAGGCGGGAAGGATCCGATCATATGCGACGTGGCATACTACGCCAGAAGGGTCGGCCTTGACGTGGAGACGTTCCGGGTTCAGACGGAGGATGGATTCATAATCACTTTATGGCATGTTTATAACCCGCAGGAGTATATGCCCTTGTCTGCAGATGCAAGGGCGCCTCGTGGACCTGGGCTGTTTACGGGGAAGAAGGACCCCGAGCTCTCTTCACAGTCGAATCGCAAATATCCCATTCTTCTCATGCACGGGTTACTGCAGTGCGCCGGTGCGTACTGCACCAACGACGAGGATAGTCTTGCCTTCTACCTTTGCAAGTCTGGGTACGATGTCTGGCTGGGTAATAACCGCTGTGGACTTACTCCGGAGCACACGACATTGTCTACGTCGGATCCACGGATGTGGACATGGAATATCCAGCACATGGGCGTGCTGGACCTTTCGGCCCTTGTGTCGCGCGTCCTGTATGAGACCAGTTTCGAGAAACTAGGTCTTGTGTGTCATTCGCAAGGAACAACACAAACATTCGTGGCACTGGCGAAAGATCAACGCCCCGAACTAGGGGAGCGTATATCGGCCTTTTGTGCTCTGGCTCCAGCTGCCTATGCCGGGCCATTGATCAAAAGGAGTTACTTCCGCTTCATGCGGATTATCTCCCCCAACGTCTTTCGCATCGTATTCGGCATCCATGCTTTTATTCCCTTCATGATGACGGTCCACCAATATCTTCATCCGAAGATATACGGTACATTGGGTTACTACGTGTTTTCGTACCTCTTCGGCTGGAGTGACACCCGTTGGGACCGCGGTCTTCGGGATCGTATGTTCCAGTTCGCTCCAGTCTACGTCAGTGCCGAGACAATGCGATGGTGGTTGGGCCGTGAATGCTTCGCCACACAAAAGTGTATCTTGGCCACACGCGAGGTCAGCCTTCTTGAGGCGGAAGAGGATCATCGCTTTGAAAAGGGTATCGATGGTGGGGCCTCGCGGAGCGATACCGCATGGTACGGACCCCAGGTTCCCCCCATGGCTCTATGGGTCGCGGGAGCCGACAATCTGGTGGATGGCAGAAAATTGCTTCGGCGGTTCCGCAATGGACGTGAGCCCCATGTGCGTGTTGTTCACGAGAAGGTTATCGAGGAGTATGAGCATCTCGATGTCTTATGGGCCATGGATGTCATCGAGCAGGTGGGAAAGGAGGTACGACAGGTCCTCTGGACGACGATGCCAGATGATGCCCGCGCCGTTTGTCGGGTGCCGAAGGGCGTGCAGTAATACACTATTAACATGAGATATGAGGCATGACTATATATTAACTGCTTGCGTGGATTCTTTGGCCTGGAGTTTACTGGTTGTATAGATACAGTGTACTCAACGATATACATAGACACTTATAATAGTAGTATATATTAAAGCTAACATTTGTTTCATAATGATATATCCTGAATCAAATACATTGTGCCCTACTAATCATTAACTCTACGAGACAGTATAGAGGCTCATCTTCCTTTCACTTGTCAGTGTTCAAACACATTTTTAAGATAAAATTGCAGACTATCAGTCAATAACACCGACCGCTGTTGGCGAATAAGTCAGATGACCTCCCAGCGTATCATATTGCCATTCAACCTTGAGGATTTAATAGCTTATAACTCATCGCCGCACCATTCACCTGCCCTTTGGCTGTCTCAGGGTCTTCATACAGTTATTAAGACCATCCTGGCAAGTCATGACAGGTGAATAGAATCTTGTAATATAACATGACACGCTGAAGCCAATACCTTATTTTGCATGTAAACAATCGCCCCCTAGCTTTTAATTTAAACTCATCGCTTTCATATTAGCAAAGAAGCTACCGAGGTAATGCGAGTCCATCAATAGGACGACATCACGGGTCATTTCCCATTTACCTAGGTAGCAGTAGGGCCCAAATGCCCGCGTCGGAGGCTGTAATGTTAACCGTCTAGAGTAACATCTCAACTGAGGTAGCATGAGTAACGGCTGATCTGCAATAATGCAAAATATGGTTCTTGGATGGTCGTAGGCGGACGCGAGGAAGGATTTTGGGAGTAATACAAAATTGAAACCCTGCCTTTCTTTTTTTCTTTCTTTTTTTCTTTTTCTTTTATTTCCCCCCAGGGTTCAAGATATGTATGCTAGAGGGTTAGATCAGAGATGATTGTGGAGCGGCATGACAGTAAGCATAACCATGATATCTATTTGTAGTAGATGAGGTAGATGTTTAATGATAGCATGTACATGTGTTAAATGTGTATGAACAGCTTTAGATACCCGTAATGTCAAAGTCAGGCTTCAGTCGAGGTAACCATCTCTATAAGCATATTGAAACGTCACTCTGGAAGAATGTGGTCTCATAGCCCACCCCCCCCAAGAAATCATCTCTTTGCAACAGCCGTTACATTCGATCCGGCAACCACGTACTGTTTCTCCGTCTTCAGCTTACTCAGAGCACTCTCAGGCAGCTTCAAGGTATCAGCCACGATCTGCTTCGGAGTTGATCCGATCCATTGGCCGAGAGCAATATCTGCATCCACGTCAGTATCGTTGTGTTCCTCATGAAAACCCAATAAAGAAAAGGGTAAGATTACCAGTAAACTTATCCGTCTGCAAAACTTCCAAAAACATCAAATCCTCATCGCCCGTATTCTCGATATAATGACTATTCGACTGCGGGAAATAGCCCACGTCACCAGCGCGGTAATCGAACGTGGTCGCTGTTGTCGGCGCTGTGAACAACGTCGCACGGGCCTTGCCCTTGATGAAAAACGTCCACTCGTCACTGGTCGGGTGCCAGTGGATCTCACGCATGCCGCCGGGTTTCACGGTCACGATGGCGGCGGCGAAGTTGGTGGCGATAGGGAAAGTGACAGGGTCGACGATTTTCACGGAACCGCCAGCGACTTCATGGGCTGGTTGTTCGGAGAAGTGGTATGAGTAGCTTTGGCTTAAGGGCACGATGCCGGCGGCTGTTGTTACGTTTTGCTCCTCGATGTCCTTCGGGGCTTTTGTGCCGGGAAAGATGTAGAGTTCGTCCTCTGGGATGTCGTTGAAGGCGGAGATGGGGAGGTCGAAGTTCTTCGCCAGGACGGATCTCTGAGTTTCTTTTGGTTAGTGTGGGGATTGTTTTTATGGGGGATTGGGTAGTCGTACAGGGTTGTGACTGAAGACTTGGGAAGCGAGGAACGTATTGTCTTCGGAGAAATCTCCGTCGTCGAAGACGAGGAGAAACTCTACTCCTGCGTCTAGGGCTTGGATGGAATGGGGGACACCACTATTATGATTAGTAGTTGTCATTGAAGGCTTGTGAGGATAGATGGGACCTACGGAGGGAAGAACCACACATCACCTTCTGTCACGTCGTCGACAAATGTTTCGCCGTTCTCATTAACCGCCTAAGGCAAGTTAGCAAGCGAGAGCATAAGTCTGCACGAGAGCAAAAATACCTGAATGCGACATGACCCATTAAGCACCAAAGACCACTCGCTTGCAACGTGCCAGTGCAGTTCACGATACGCCCCAGCTTCCAAGCGCATATCGACACCGGCCATCTTGGTAGCGTCGGGCATGACGACGGTGTTTTCTTGACGAGCCCATCCCGAGTTCTCCGAACCGTATCTGTCTCTTAGTGAGCCTCATTACCTTGCATCATATGTAGAGTCCTTGGGAGTACCTGTTACGACTGAGACCTATCAACTATTAGCAGGGTTTGCGAATAGGGATAGTGCTATAGCTTACCCATTGGCCATTGAGCATTGATTGTCTGTCCATTATCTGTACCAGGGGGAGCTAGCTTATCGCTATTAATTCGGTCATAGTTGTAGTTACCTGACTAGTTAGTGCAAGGGAGATTCAGACATGGAAGCTACATGACTCACGAGGGCCAGGGTCGGACGCTCCAAGATCGCCGCGAATGGGCTGCGGGTTGTCGACTTTCTCGAAGTCCAGATATGACCCTATCTTCGGATCCTCCTTCTGCGCAGGAAGAAGGGTGTACTTGACCTCTTCCGTGGAATGGTCGGATAATTTATTGTCAGAGGAATAACCCAGAAGATCCTCAGAGCCTCTCAATGGGGGATTCCCGGAGTCCCGGATGCTGTTCCTAGCAGCAGGGGCACCATGGACGGTACCAAGGATAGCAATGAAGCAGCCGGTATAGTAAAGGAAGGATTTCATATTGAAAAGTCAAAGTATTACCAGTCGAGGGTTGAGAGACGCTGTTGATGGAAGAGCAGAACGGATGCTCTGACAGGCTTTATATACCTGGAACTTGCAGGATGTTAGATGAAGATCCCCTCATTCTAAGGCGATATTGCTACCATATACAAAACAAAAAAAAGAAAAACCCCTCATGAGGGGATGCTGGGAAGGGACTAGTAATCTCCGTCAGATTATAGACACTACTCCTCGTCGCCGGTACTTCTTGGTCGAGTCGGAGGGTGAGCCGGGGCCCAGGAGGACCGCTGCAGAGGTTCATCTGATATAACCATTTCCTAAAAGGGGCACCATACCGGCTACCCCATGAGGGGATATGACTAAATGGAACCAATCTGAGTGGCTTGCCAGGAGACCAGCTCCTACGGCGCCCAATAGGGCTGTTACGACCTGTTTCTGGTCCAGAATGAAATCTGGTACTCGCATAGGGCATGCTTTGCCTGGCAAACTGAGGAAGCGTTCCCCACCCGTGCAGCAGGCAAAAAAAAAAAAAAAAAAAAAAAAGAGCTACTTTTTCGCAAGTGACAAATATGTCGCTAGTTATGCCCAGAAGGTGACGACTGTGAAGACATAAAGTTCAGGAACCAAGCTTCGGCTAAGATTTCGACAAGACTTTAGTAGGGCTGGGGGTGGGTTTGATATTGATTAAATTAGGGGAACCCCACTCGACCGTTTAGTGGCGGAATTCCTTACTCTTACCACCTGCAATAATTCTCCCCCTATGCATTGATTAGTGCTCGCTTATGCACCTGTTATTAGTCCTAGTCGTAGAACTAGGACTAGGGCATACGTACTACTCTAGCCGCATTCTCAATGCGGCACATGCACATGTATGTACAGTATGTACTGGAAGTGGTAGGCTGGTAATAGGCTGGTAGTAGGCTGGTAGCAACCTTGCGGTGCCACGTCACATTGGCCGTAGTTTCCCTTACGTCCCGATTAATAGATCTCTTGTTTGTGAGTGTTTAATATTATGTATGACCTCCATTCATATTCATCGAGATCGCGACTCCGCACTCACCGCCGCTCCGTATGTACCTTTGGGGGAAGATCCACTTGGGGCAAACCTTCAAGGAATAAATCAGGTTTCGTGATTTGCCAGGGCGTATCTTAGAACTTGTCTGCCTTACCCGTATTCTTTTATGTTGCTTATCTCCGAACCGGATTTCCAGTACACACACAGAGAGAGAGAGAGAGAGAGCACAGACCTCTGTGGTTGTGGTTGCGTCCCGTTGTATCCGGTGGGGATTCAATTCATGGCAACCTTACGCTCTGCTTGGACTGCAGAGCATGTGACTTGCCCTAAAATTAGAGCAGAATCCCAACTAATATTCGAGGACCTTGTCAATACCGGAGATTTATGGCCGAGAAACCTCTTCTCACCATGTATTCGGTTAACCCGGAAGCCGGCTTTCTAGCCTTGAATCATTGGGGGCGAGAGAGCTCCGATTCGTTGAGCATGGGATGCCATGGCTCCGATACCATAAGATCATTATGACTGGATTCCAGCGTCAAGCTGGACCATGCATTTATCGTCTAAGAAGACTCATCTCCTGCCTAACACAGGTATTCCCTGTCTCTCTTGTATTTAAACCGGAAGGCTGAGGCAACATAATTAGTCCCGCTTGTCCTGGTTTGGCGGCCTTGCTAGTTAAGTTTAATAACAACATGACATGGGGACCTTGAGCTGATGGAAGTTCCCCACCGTCAAGGCGATCCACTCATCATCCATAGAGGAAATCGAAGTCTTTAACCACGAGCAGATCGGGAATGCTAATCCGAGATAGACATGCATACGTTAACCAGTCACCGAGCTATGCATTAATATGTTCGGAATGTTATGAACATGCTCGACATTAGCTCCGAAAATTTGGCGACGGGAGCATTCAGCGTATTCAGTATCTTACATTGAAGCAGACACCAGCATGCCAAGCGTTCTGGCAGAATCATGGAGATCATTATCAGTCCCTTACTGCAGGTGTTTTCGCATTGCGTATTTACTCTGTGCTTCTGCTGTGATTTGCCGATCGAGGTATATCGCGTGCATCCGTTTTCCTGGATGGTATTCTTGCTACTCGGCCTGATGAAGAGCAATCACGGAATGCTGCATAGTACTTTTGGTCCTTGGATGGGTAGCTCATTCAGGGAGCTATATTTGGAACACAGTCTGTGGCCTTTTGAACTAAGCGGTTCTGGTTGATGGAAAACGGGTTTCCTTTTTGCTAAGAGGTCATAAGCACTTTGACGACAAGGAGGAAACAGCGAAAACACGGCATACATGGCCAGTGGGCATTCCCCACATAGGCCAAGTTTAGGTCTGCAGCTAGGATAGTGGAATTTGTAAACATACGGATAGATGTCATTCTACTTTCTGTCTAACCAGGGAGGCGCGACAATGTTACATGGCATCATTAGCTCCGTGATTATTTATAGAAGCAGGTTGCGGTGGTACAGGGTACTGAGGCAATTTAGGATCTTCAGTACTATCGTCATCATCCAAAGCCTCATTGGCACACTTATTGAACCAGGTATAAGCCTAACGGACGTCAGTATGCATATGCACCTTGCTCATAAAGGAGTCGAAACGTACAGCGTTGGTACGGGGAATAACTTGGTGATAATCCGCCCGCCCCAGCCCACCAAGGTTAGGGAAATGCATGTTCGCCTTCCACGATTAGCGCTCGAAAGGTAATCATATGTTGGTGGAAGTACTCACCCCTCGATCGGCCCCCATATACCGCGGACCATCCTGAGGCTCCCATTTCCACGTCGAGTCCAAGGTAGGAACAGGGCCTTGGTTGATCCACACCTAGACATAATCAGCTATGGTTGATTCCATCCGGCAAGTTGGACTGCTACCTTGGTATCACCGTTGAATTTGTCGATCCAGAGGAAATCAGCCATCCGATCCCCTTATAAGAATAAGCCCTATACCGTCACTTGATTGAGGACCACATACCGTTTACGTCCGCCCACCGATGGTCTGTATCGGGTCAGAATTGTTTAGATAACGATTATATGCGCCGAAAAAGGACTTACTTGCACGGTCGTAGTGCTCACTTCGTTTGACTTGCCCGATGGATTCGAAACTATTCTCTCCCTTGTTCAACCAGCCATCTGTACGGCCATCCGGACTATAGACAAGTTCATTAGTATATCAGCGCCATCAGGCTTTATAATGAAGAGTACTCACTCCATACAGAGGTAGTCTGCCTGACCGTCTCCACTGTCATGATTAGCATCTAATCAAGTTCCTTAGTATATGAACTTACTCAAGATCCGCAAACCGAAGGCCTAAGTCATAAAGGCCTACACCCCATCCCTGAGTACACCTCGCATTACCAGTAAGAACTCCCTTGTACTGGAAATAGTCACCCTGAGCATTAGCGCTCCACTTATTTAACCAAACCTCAGCTTCTCCTGTATCTCGGTTCACGGACCACAAATCACACTGCGTAAGAACATGAGTCAGATGCGCTCATGAAATGTGTTGAAACGAAATCACCACAGTATGTATTCGACATACTAGGAAAAGAAAACCACTTACTTTTCCATCGCCGTCGAAGTCTGCCAGGTGGAGACTTTTCCGGTCTTTTTTCACATTGAATATTTCAATTCCTTCCGGTTTCCAAGTAGGTGGATCGTGAACGTTTCCGTAAAGGTAACCTCGCCCTTCAGATGATATCCAAACCTATACAAAGCTGATGAGCATACGAAGAACACCTTCAGCGAAGCTACCCACATAATCATCAGCACCGGTACCACGTATGTCGCAGTAGTAGACACCATCGCCTGCCACAAAACTTGGTTAGCTAGCGCAATCGCAAAAGATCAACTTTCTCAGAAGTATACCCTTCAGCTTGGTGCCGCCGTGACCAGTGTTTTTGTAAACGTGGGCATAATGCTTCCAGTCGCCATTTGTTTGTTTCAAGGACTCGATCCAAGTGTAGTCAGCTCCACCTCCGGCGTAAACCCTTCCAAACTTGATCCGATTTTTCGCGCCGTCGACACCCACTCCGGTATGAGTGACACCGGCCTCACGCCAGTCCGGAACGAGACTCTTTCCAGTTCCCCGATTGTTGATGTAGGTTGTTACTTTTCCCTTTGCGTCTAGCCAAAGCCAATCGCTGCGAAAGTCTCCATTGATATCAACGAGACGCACACCGGTGATATCTCCCATTCCTTTGCCTTTGAATACGATACCGAGATCTTGCCAATACCCACCGTACTCTTTCGTGGGTGCATCCCTCTGGCCACCATTGCGCCAGCACCGAATATCGCCGTTGTTATGTATCAGGCAGCTGCATGCGAGTTAGCCTGACTAACTAATGGGCAACGTTCGAACTTACTAGTCTATCCTTCCGTCCCCATCGATATCGCCGAGGCGAACGTTGATCTGACCCAGGCCATTACCGGGCTTATCCTTGACTAGTCCAATGCTTCGGAAAGTGGGAACGTTGGGGTCCTTATCTTCATTAATTGAGACATACATGTGCCCCTCCCTGCTGATGCAGATGAAATCATCAAGGCCGTCCCCATTCACATCTCCCCATCGAACACCTGCAGGTGATATTAGTACGTAAGACAGGCAGTCCATATATAGGCATAGATATGCATACCTCTCGCGAGACATCCATCATTGACTTCAATCCTCACTGCACTTCCAAACTTCCCATCATTATTATTCATGAACATATACGTACCATCCCCATCCTTTGTCCAAACTAGCTCATCCAATGCGCCTTCCCGGTGGGCGCCAAATTTATTCACCAATTGAGCATAGTTGATACCAGGGGCAAAGTCCTTCTCTTCCTTCGTAGTAGCCGGACTGAAGATGCGCCCCATGTCCTTGGAGCTATGGACATAATTTCCGTCATCGGCCCCACTCCCACACTGGGTTTGGACCCGACCTCTCTTATTTCCACTTCCGTATTCCTTTTTGCAAGTCGTTCTCTTAGTGTCACTGACACCTGTATTGTTTGGTGGCTGGAGCAGCCCTTGCCGCTCAGCTTCTTGGACGGCTTCCCACCAAACCGAGGCCATTTTCTTATAGCCAAAGTCGGTTGGGTGTGTTCCATCGATCAAGTCCTCGATTTTGATGAAGTCAGTCATCTCAGCAAGGATAATGCGTTGGCCTTGTTGACGGCGCGTGGCAACAATCTGTCGATACTGATCACTAATGTATTTGGCGAAATAGACGACTTCACGCTCGGCAACTATGGGGAGGAGAGTAGAAAGGATGATAGTAGTGCCGGGAATTGCGTCGAACAGACGTGTCAGAAGAGCATCCATCCGCTCGCCGGTCTTGTACACATCAATTGTTGTGTCATCGTACTGATTTGCGTCATTCGTGCCAGCACTGTGCATGTAATGTCAGTTGGCTTCACAGTGATATGAACAGAGATAGTACTACTTTATTAAAATGAGGTTTGGCTGTTGCGGGATGGTTTTTTCAGCCTCTTGAGTGACCTGGTCGACTCTAAACCCTGATGTGGCCTCAACCTCCTGTCAAATAATAAGTGTTAGTATCCCTGGTCTAATAGTTCGACTACAAAGTACCAGTAGTGTCTTACATTATCATTCATGGTGCTGGTATCATTTGGGTTACTGCCAACCATGTTCACCCACCATCCAGCGTGACGAAGTTGCTGACGAAGCCATCGTCGATAGCCATTACCATCGGTTGACTGGTATCCGTAGGTAATGGAAGCACCTAGGGGCATGATGCGGAGGGTGAAAGGCTTCTCATCGCGAGGAGTCAACTGTGATGTCTCATTAAGCAAACTGAATCCGTCGTACGAAATGACCCCGGTAAATGATCCGTCTGGTAGATATGGAGATGCAGAGGCGAGTGACAGTATACTCAAACCTAAAATGCAGGTCTGGACTGCCCAGTCAACAGGTGTTCGCCGTCCCATATTTTTGTATAAAATAGTCATGATTGAGTATGGACCATAAGGGCAGCACTGGCTGTCTGGGATTCTTATACAGAGTACTTCATGCTGATCATAATTCCAACACAGCCGATTATGATATGCTGCGTCATCCCAGTTAACCCGAGTGGATTATATTATAGGGCCAACGTGCCAAGATCAGTAATCTCCTTAACATGGCTGTGCAAATCTCAAGAAGCGGGATATTCTGAGGTTTGGTCAAAAATAGATCCTTTGACGGGTTGGTCCATCCGCTAGCCATGCCTGCCTATAACGCTTTGCTAAGTATGGAAGTGATATTCAGGGCTCAGATGATGTATGGAATGTAACCCCAATGTTGGTCATCTGTCAACGGTGTTGGCTCGCTCTCACATCTTATTGGCTTGCGCAAGGAAGCCCGGGAAGCCCGATCTCTATCTCACTCAGCCCTGAGACTTATTCCCCATATGCCCGCCAGTTAGAATACTTCCAGAAAGAGGGCCAAGGAGAGCCAAGTGTCCAGATTTACGGGTTTTGTGAGTTTTTACTTAGCTCCTCTAGCTCTCACTGCCCTATACCGACATCCATGTGCTTGAGAGCTTAATACAAACACCCCGTAGTACAACACTAGTCTACAGATGACTGCATTATATATTGAGAAAATTGGTCCATGATTTCGTCGCAACTGCACTGCCAAATGATGCAATTTCCTGTCCCGTCAGTTTTATTGATCAACAACAGCGACACATGTGGGTACGGGGTCAGTTGGCTTGATAAAATTGAGCCCTAGTGCTCTTCCATCAAGCTCCAGTTTTTGACGCTCCATTAAAGCCTGCGACTAGTGACGGTGAGCTCGGCTTACGTGTAAGTCCATTCTGGAGGAACCGTCAGCCGTTGGACCATGTTTGAAACATGGCTATGAAGCAGGCTGGTAGAATACTAAACAAAACCGACCATGGGCAGCGCATAACGTGGTTTGAAGAACCATGCAGGTGTAGAAACTTGGTGAGGTTATAACGAGGTGATCAGAAAATAAAAGATGACAAATACATATCATTAGACGTAAAACATCATGGAAATCCGGACTACAATCAAGGCTTATAAGGAGGTGGAAGATCATCTGAGTCCAAGCTTTCCTTGTCCGAACTATCTGAGTCGGGCTCATCGTCCGCCCATACCTTGGAGTCTTGGGTGACGAGGTTCTCCGAAGAAACATGACCGACGTTCTATCTCTGGTTATTAAACGTGTCCAAGAAGACGAAGGATAATCTATACAGTGATAGAGAAACTCACCTGACCATCCTGGGTCGTCATCACGACCTCATTATCTCCAACTCTTCCAACCAATTTTCCATTCTTCCAAACTCCATAGCGTAAAGTCATGCCAGTGAAATCTGTCTTGATAATCACGCAATCACTTACATCGCAGTTCCGCATCGCCGACCTCTTCACACGACTTCGAGCAATCCGAACATTCTCAAGATGACTGCGTCGCAGACAACTGTCGTCTGTGACGGATGACCCGTTGACTTTGCTCCGGTTCAAAGTACTCTGGCCCGTAATGGTGCTATTTCGCACCAAGGTGTGGCCGCGGATCGAGCGCACATTGTCGAACTTGGAGTCATTGGCCTCCAAGGATTTAGCGGAGCACACATCGACAAGCTCACAGTTAGCGAGCTTGCAACGACGGACGTACGAGTTAGCGATGACAGCATGGCTGATCTTACTACGCCGAATGGTGGTGTTGGCGGGCGATATAGGAGTTACCCTGCTGCTTTCTGGGAACGTTTTGCGAAACACATTGACTGAGTCGAGCTCACTTCGATGGATGGAGTCGGCGGGGGTGAGGCCGTTAAAGCTGCAGTGGTTGATGGATGAACGGGAAATAGAGGGAGTGGAAAGGCCGGAAAGGCTGCTGCTGATGGCGCTCTTTTTGGTCATTCTCCGGCGGTGTGTGATATTGGCAGTCAGTGTCTTGATACGGTTGTTGGATATATTTTGAAATTGATCATGAGTGATAGAGACGGGGGGTATAATATTAATCATGGGAATTCTGTTGCCTGCTGCTTATACGAGAGTGTCAGCTCCTTGTTGATATCAACCTATGGATGGATGGAAAGTCTAACTAATAGATCAATCGGGTTAGCTTGTCGACGCCTTGATTTGGCTCAGCGGTAGACCAATCATTCTACAATAGAGAAACTAGCGCCGCAGATTGCAGAATAATTGGTCCATCTTTTCTCTTTCACTGATTTATCTCCCACTAAAAAGCAAAGCTCTTATTATGGTGGTAGTACCGTGTACTACTACTGAAAGCAAAGTAATTAAAAGATGAAATACATGTCCACATATAACTCATCCTACTCTGTCAACATGGCATATATTCTCCCTGCAAAAGCAGATGAGTACATGATCCATTTTATATCTCACTGGCCAATGAATTGAAGAACCCCGGTTCTGTTTGACAAACTGCGAAATGTGTATCCAGCTGACATCCAGTAGTCTCCGCAAGAGCCAACGCCGCACTCGGCCTACGAACAGATATATCGCTGTTCAATTCAAGATCCTTCCCAATATCTACACAACAACACCAATAACCATGTCAATAGACATACAACTCTCCACCCATCTTAAGCATCCACAACAACCATACCATCTTATGATCACTACCTCAACCTCAATCATAATGCCTGCACTCCCGAGACCCGAAACCGACTACGAGCGCTGGATGCGCGACCGTAAGCCAGATATCCAAATTAGCGAAAAGCCGCAGTACGGTTTAGACCCTGTTGTCGAATATCCTTCCTCCATGAAGCATGTCTCAGATCCACAGCTACTGCTGTACGTCATCTTCACTTTTCTGTCTCGCCTTGCACTGTATCAATAATCCACAGGGAAGACCAGCGCAGTCCACCACACACACCCAACGAACATCGTCCTACCGGGAAATCTAAATTGTTGGCCGACTATCCCCGGGATGAAGAGGCGATAGTTGATCTTATCACAGCACTCGTGGTTCTAGGGATTCTTTTCTTTACCATCTGGGTCGTGAAAGCGAGGAGAAGACCTGTTCCGAGAATATTAGGGCGGGTGTCCATTCGGGAGAAGAGGAATGTTTAATGTGCGTGGTCTGATTTGCGACGGAGGATGATTGTTATGATATTTTACGATGAGCGAAAAGTGTTGTACTATATTTTTAAGTTCTACTAGGGGCGTTGAGCGGTCTTGGGATGTTGCGTTATGGAATAAGCCTAAGAGATCCATGATATTGACTACGACTCAATTCGGGACGTTCGATCTTCAGCTTAAATAGGTCTCGTTTATGTATCTATCTCTTTTGAAAAATTGGGTGGCTATTTCCAGTCATTACCATGAAATTAGCATCACTGATGATGCAGTTGCAGGGTCTATGGTTATTATTGAGGAAACATACTAGTATCAGACTGAAGACGGTGAGCGTGATTCTAAGGAGTTGGAACTGGTATGAATAGGTAAGATATAGCATACAATATCGAATGGTTCGGAAGTGAAGAAAGAAAAAGGGATAAACATTGAAAGAGGTCACGGTGAGAAAAAAAAAAGGCACAGTGGAGTGGTTAGAGAATTGCATGTAGTAACGAGTTAATATATTTATGTAGTTTCTTAGGTGGGACCCCTGCTCTAATTCAATTTATGTACTGCGGATCAATCACTCATAGGCTTACTTAAGGAATTTGGTATCTTTATTTAGGAAGCCAATCAGTTCGCCTTCTGGTTTTATCCCCTCTTATCTTCTCTTCATGTATTTCTATTCTATCCAAGCTACTTTCCTCTGCTTGCTCCAAGATTGGCACCCTTCGACAGTATATGGACACGTTGGTGCTTGCCTATATCCAGATCACAGTTATCATGATAGCTGATAAAGGCGACATTCCTGTATGTTGTAAGCATGAAAGTCTCTATATAGAATTTGCATTATTCATCTTCTCTAATGTGCTCGAGCTATGTGCTACGCGGTGCCCCATCCTGATCTTTGGTGACAATTACAAAGACGGGATATCTACGCTGGCCTTGATTAGCTGCATTGAACACTCGCCTTGTGAGAATTTGTGGGCTCTGGTTTCGTCTGTTATGATTCTTTGTGCCTACGAGTGTACACAGATGGGTAGCTGAACAGGGGCGAGATACCTCTCCGGGCATGGGTACTGCCACTGTATAGGGTGTAGATGTCACCTTCACTGATGGGCTCGCCTTTCTCGTCTCGAACTCTTCAAGGGTCACAGTGAGCGATTTGAGGTCTATTCTATGGGTTGTCAAGACTCAGAAAGAGAACTTTGATTTAATGAGGAGTCTACGCTGGGATCATAATATGACACCAGTAGGGCAGCGATGTCATAATGAGAAAGATCAGCTCTCCATTTTAACCATGCAAGGAGAAAAGAGAGGCGTCTGAGGAATGGCCAAGTAAGTCATGCAGAAAATCAAATGCCATATCGGCGTAAGCAGATATCCAGCCCAGAAAGATCATCCCGTTGGTCTGAAGCAGAAATCCAATTGGCAAGAGCGATACCACCGTCTCAGTCCGTGTCATTGAGCCATGCCATTGCATCCATGATTTCGTGGCATTACAAGTCGACCGCCCTGATACCGTGCCAGAACAACTGCATGGGAATCTTGCATTACCTTTGACAAGTGAAACATGTAATTGGGATGCTCAGCCGCCTAGAAGCATTTGATCAATGATCTACAGGATGATCGGGGTGTGGGCGATGAACCAGGCACTTATAGGTAATAGATATACTGTCGTGTCTTACAAGGTTGCAACATCGGTAAAGCATCGATCAGTAGTTCTCAGGAACCGACGGACGGTTGCACCGGCGAAAGAGTGGCGCCAGCCCAGACTCCCAATCTCCACTCCATCAATGACATGTCGATAAAGCCAGGCAGCTTTGGTCTGAAGCACAATCATCATCCACGACAAGATGACGCGATTGGTCTGGAGAGTCTGCAGCCAATGCATAGAGTTAGTTTAAATTCTCCGATGGGGTCACCTCAGCGTCATACATTAATTGTGTGAGTGTGACTTACTCAGCCCCATTTCTTGGGTGTTCATGTTACAGTTGAACAGTACACATACCGATGAGCATTGGTCGTTAGGGACGTGGCCACAAATTGCGACATATCTATTTTGTCTGCTGCCTGGACCTCTGAGGGAACAAAGGAAGGTGTCACCTTGGAAACTTTTTGAAACACGTGGTGATGTCCTGTCAACCATTAAGATAATGAACGATAATGAAACTTGAAGAACATTGTCAATGATCCATGTTGTAGATTTACGCGACGACGGCGAGGAGTAGGTTGTACAGCACTCTGTACCTATCCACTTGTTCGATGAACTCACATAACCAATGGCTGAGTGGTATGCGAGTAAACCGGACAATGAGCATTGTTGCGATAATGATTGACAGCCGTGTGGGGAACCAAACATTGTTTTGCCGCATTCAACCGAAGTTTTGCCTGGAATGGATCTGAGATCTCACATTGAACCGTCCGGGAACGGAAAGACAGGATAGGTTTACCTAATGGGACGTACTCCGTAAAGCACCTTACTCCGTCATTCTCCCATTTAGTATTTTGAAACACCAATTCATGATTCTGATTGACCCCTTGCTGACGGGTGTAATATCCCACGGGGATATAATTCTTCACCTATAGATTAGGATCGTTGGGTTGAGGTACCGAGCGACTAGTATTGGCGAGGTTTACGCGGGAGTACCGAACTGACCGTAGCATTGATACTAGTGTCTCGTGTCGGCTAACGGCATTAGGACTAGGGGGATCAGAAGGTGTACGCGTGTTGCAGCCTCCAGTTTCTTGGCAGGGCTTCTGGAATGCAGGCGATAACAACTATCGATTATGCCTCATGATTGACTCGTTGTCCTAGAGGTATGTCCAGAGGGTACCTGGGGCAGTGTGCATACATACATGTCTAGTACATACTATGTAGTAGATACTACGATCTATTTACAGGCAGATGGAGGACACACGGACTTCCTACTACCTGAACTGGCGTAACCTTATACACAGTATCAGGGTGGAACCAACAAACTCTAGCGAAAGTCGATGATCTGAAGCGAGTTGAGGTGATCACGTCACTCATAGATTGATACAATCATGACAAAATAGGGCTACCTCCTCTAGTATATATACAAGTATGGATCCGAACTAGTTATGATAATGCAATGACTGAAGAAGATGCTCGATGGTGTTTGGGGAGTTTTCCGTTCCGTCTCCAGTTCAGTGTAACAGTCTCGGCCACTCTCATTAGACCGACTACCACCGTTGCACTCAAAATGGGTGTCACATACCACACCAACCCTACTGGCAACTTTTTAGAAGATTTGTTATTTTGTATTTTTATTTATTATTAGTATTAAATTTTTTTTTTTTTTTTTAATTCAGATTTAATTCACTTTTACCTCCTTTTTCTTTCCTGGAGATTTTATCTTGTCGTCATCATTCTGTTGCTTAATTCCAGGACAAGCCACCCAGGGGCATTTTGGATGTTTGCTATGGAATGTCGGTGCACTGACAGATCTTCTACACTTAGGCATCCCAAACTCGTCATCCGATAATTGTAGTACATACAAATACTCCTACTAGTAGTGACACGAATTAAACTAGCAGATGATTCCATGCAGGTTGGATGGATTGCACATTAGGGTAGAACCGGTATTGCCGTAACGGTGTACCGTCTCTTACCAGTACGGTTACACATTCGCGCAATGGAAATCTATTAGATCATGGGTGCTGAAACTTGAATGTAACTCTGACCGCGGCACAATATGGTAGGCCCATGCGGGCAGAGTGGTTCCAAGATTCCATTCGATGGCTAATACGTATATTGTTTCGTCTGCGGGATGAGGAAACCGGCAGTTGTCAACATCCGTTTATGCTTAAGTATACAATTGGGAGGGAGATCATCCTGACAAACGAAAGGATAGGATAGTCCGTAGTAGGATTTATTCCCCGCAGATTGTTATCCGAGGTACAGTACAGTACAGAGATAAGAATCAGTAATTGATCTCAATCTTTCGAGAGATTGAACTACGTATCACGTTTTTATATCCTGGTAGCGGACCGTAGGATTATTTACCTGTTGATTGATGTCATGATTCCAGAGGTAATGTTCCTCGACCCATTCTAGCATGGTGAAAAAGGTGCCACGCAACGTTCTTCTCAAATGGGTCACCGAGTCATAGCATTGGATGTCCCTTTGTTGGTTTCCCTTTGCGTCGTGAATTACTCAAGATGTCCTTCAAGGTAGCAGTCGAACTCGATCTCCACTCACGGTCATAAATGGTTGGGGTGGGAATCCCATACGGTTATGACGATACCGAACCAGCAATACATCGCCCCCTGGTTAGAAGATTTTCCCACCGCTACCGTACCGTACATTACCTCCCAATCCAATCGGTACGGAGTCAGTCTGTCTCTCCGGCGCCTCTCTTTTCCTTTCTGCATCCATCAATCAATAATCATTCAATCTCCCTGTTCCCCCCTCTTGTAGTCAGTTCGGGTGGTTGACTCCCTCCTTATTCACCCCGTTGTTGTTTGTCTTTCGACTGTGTCTGAAATTCTAATAAACCCCTTTCCTTTTTCTCTCTTTCTTTTTTCTCCATCCATCATTCCTTGAAGGGTTAGTGACCCATTCATTCTGTTGGATCCTTCCAGGAATGGACACGCGTTGATCCATGCTTGGAGTGCCTATGGGTTATGGTCCCGTCACCCTCCGTTGACCATTACCACTCTACTTAATACTACTACTTACTGACGATACTACTACTACAACGGGAGAGGAAACAAAAACAAGCACCACCACCACCTTAACACTTCGTGCAACTACGGCATAAGTGTCTTACTTTTTGCCCCATTGACTAGCTCGGTGGAGAGATTTTAGGAATTGCTGTCTCGTCTGGCACCACTATTTTCAACAACCCTTTCTCATTATTTCTAAAACTGAATAGCTCTTTTCACCTTTTATTCTATTATTTTATTTATTTTTTATTTATTTATTGAAACCCTCTGACTGGGTCTCCCTCTCTCTTACTTTCCAAACGGTCTCCACTTCAGCTTGACGAGGGATTGTTGCTTTTTTATTTTTCTCACTGGTGTTACCTCACGTCTCATACATTGCAACTCGGCTCCATCACCATCGTTGAGGTCTTTCATTCACTATCGCCAGTGAATTGCTACTCTCCTGGAGTCCATACGAGAGTGCATAGTTCCCACTATAATTACCCTTGTTTCCGCAAGTGGTCCCTTCTTTCGGCAGATGCATACAATACACCTATAAGCTCTTTTCATCTTGGTCTTCACTCAAATATTTAAGCCCCGCTCATCTCTCTTCATTATATCTGAATTCACTTGTCACCATTAATCTTTTGCCACTTGGACAAGGCGGTCGCTCAACGACCTACTTGAACGGATCATGTCGGCTTCCCTTACCAAGGTCCTGCATAGGATGCAGGAGCTTTTTTCAAACGTCGTCGCCGCACTAGAAGCGATGCTGTTGTTTCCATCACTCTTCCGGGATGCCTCCGGCAAGAGGAAATCATTCCACAGGGCATCATGGCGCCGCCGCACTCTCGATGACCTTGCTGACGAAGTCGACCATGTGTTCACAGCCCCACTATCCATGCAGAACATGGCCATGATGTCCGAAAGGATACGTGAACAGCTCCGAATTTGTCTACAGTCTAGTCCGGTAAGCATGTTGCCATCCTACAACCATGCATTGCCATCAGGAACGGAGAAAGGAACCTTCCTAGCCCTCGATGTAGGAGGTTCCACCTTCCGTGTGGCTTTGATTGAGCTTCGTGGAAACGGCGACATGGAGATTCTGCGGGTCAACTCGTCCCCAATCGACGAGCAGGTGAAGCTTTTGGAGGGAACCTTATTCTTTGACTGGATGGCGGAGAAGATCGATTCAATGCTCTCCGAGGTCGGCGCGCAGTACGGTCGAGAACTCGCACCATTGTCCATGGGCTTGTCGTGGTCCTTCCCAGTGGAACAGACGTCCATCAACAGTGGTTTAGTGATTCAGATGGGCAAGGGTTTTCTGTGTTCGAATGGTACTGTGGGACAGGAGCTGGGAGATCTGATTGTCCAATCATGTCGCAAACGTAGTTTGAACCTCCAAATGGGTGCCATTGTAAACGACAGCTCTGCTACTCTTCTTTCTCGTGCCTACGTGGACCCCAAGACCCGCATGTCTCTGATTCTCGGAACGGGAACCAATATGGCGATTCATTTCCCCGTGCATGCGATAGGATTGACCAAATTTGGCACCAGACCCGTAGGCTGGTTCGACTACGCCAAGCACGTCATTATCAATAGCGAGCTGAGCATGTTTGGTGGCAAGGTTTTACCGATGAGTCGATGGGACGATGTGATCAACCGTACGCATCTTCGACCCGACTATCAACCGTTAGAATACATGATCACCGGGCGCTACTTGGGCGAAATTCTTCGACTGATCATTGTGGAAGCCGTGGATACCGCACAATTGTTTGGAGGTGAACTCCCTCGCTCGATGCGCGATGCCTATTCCTTCGACACGAGCATCGTCGCCGCCATTGAGGCCGATACATCATCATCGTTTGCTTCGTCTGCGGCTCTCCTCCAGAAGGAGCACACATTCCACCGTGCTCCAACTGTGAATGACCTCAAGTTCTTACGCCGTGTCTGTGAGATTGTTTCGAACCGCTCCGCAGGGTACCTGGCAACAGCCATCCACAGTATGTGGTGTTTGCGCAACGAAGCTGAGTTCCCCGAAGTGACCGCCTCTGCAACATCGTCAATCAAGGAGACGCAAGAGGTGACTGTGGTCGAGAGCGAGCATCCCCAGAGCATGACTATTGCATGCGATGGCAGTGTCATCAACAAGTACCCTGGCTTCCGGGATCGCTGCCAGGACTATATCAATCAGCTGTTACAGGAGACGAATGCTTCGAAGGGCACTTTGGAAGCGACTCCCAGCCCATCCGTCCGCCTCGATCCCGCGTCTGAGAGTGGGATCCTTGGTGCTGCGGTTGCGGTTGCGGTCGCTGTGGCTGAGAAGGCCTCAACGTGAATTGCGGGGGAGACCTAATCGTTTTTTTTTTTCAATCTCCTCCGGGAAAATAAGATACCACAGTCATCTATTTGTCGTTGTTTGTGTGTTGCGGATGGTTCTGTCGGGCCTCAAACGGCGTTCATATTGCATTATCTGGTGTTATGGTCTCGTATTTCTTCGACCTCGTTTCTGCGCGTTTGGGTTGGCTTCGGGGTTCGGGCATCTGGCTTGTTTTTTGTTGTGTCTTTTGTAACGCGGCGTGATTCGACGCATTTTGTGTGCTCATGGGATTCGCTACTTGCATATATGTGTATGGCTTGAAAGTTTCAGGAGCTGAGCATGATCCTTAGGCGAACGGAATAGACGGTTAGGCCGGGGGCCGAGGATAGAGAGAATCGGTGTATATAATCATATCCATAATCATAAATCCAGAGCATGACCTATTCCTCTTTCTCCCAAAGGACCCGGAACATGCCAATCACTCCTTACAGAAATCCTGCAACAATTCCAGCATCCTCCGTCGTAGAACCGCCAGTTCATCCCTCCCGATCCCAGGAGGATGAGTTGACCCCGCCGAGTCCAAGATCAGACTCGATTTAATGCTGAAAAACGGAATCTGCAAGGCCCGCAGCTCCCCCATCATGGCATCGGCCATCTGCTTCGACGCCTTGTAGACCTTCAGATCATAGTTGGTCAACTCAGCGCGATCTTCTTCGGCCGTCTGTACTCATTAGTCCTTTCCTCAGTCCAAACCAAAGCATATTCAACAACCCCTCTCCATCTATCCCAGGGGGAGAAATGAGACAGAAACTAAACTTACAGAAACTTCCTTCTCATCAACCGGCGCGCCCACAGACCGTCTACAAAAACCATTAGCCACCAATAACCCAACAAAACCAAGACAGACAAACAAACAAAGCACACAAAAGCCAAACCAAGAAATACAGAAAGACATAGAAGAGATAAGTAAAACTCACAAAACAGCATCCAACTCCTTCTTCTTCTCCACCCTAGCCTTCTGCTTCCTCACCAGCGCCTCCCTCCCCGTCCACCACTGCCGTTCATGATCATGCTGGCGCTGAATCAGGAAGCGGATTTTCCGCTGCAGATCTTCGTTGGTAGAGAGGGTACGCATGATGCTTTTCAAGGCGGGGGGCCAGGTGGTGATTGTGGAGGTGTTGGGGAGGTGGAAGGTGGGTGGTTTTTGGTGCTGGGGTTGTGCTTGGGGTTTGGGGTGGGGGATGTTTGGGGAGGGGGTTAGGGGGATGATTGTTTCAGAGGGTTCGTAGGTGTCTGTGTCGTCTTCTGGGCCATTTTGGGTGTTCTTGTTGGAGGTATATGGTGGTGGGTGAACTTGAGCTTGAGCTTGAGCTTGACCTTGTGATGATTGAGATAATGCTGAGAGGGTTGCTAGGACGGAGGAGAGGTCGGGGGTGTTGTGGGACATTTTCCTCTCCTCTTTATTTGTTGCTTATCCTCAGTACGAGAGTATTATTCTTGTGGTCAAATTCCAATAGATCGTTCTAGCATAGAAAAGTAGTTGTAGTAATTGAAGCTTAAGATGTCAGATATCCCGCAGTACAATCACTCCACACCGATTGGCCGCCTGTCCTTCCCGCCTAGACTCCTTTAAGCCAGTCCAACAACGGATGAAAATTTCCCGGAAGATCCTCACGCATCATCAACAATCACACCTAATTGAATTGAATGCTCTAACTCTCCCTCCCAACTAACTCGGTGTGTCCCGACTCTCAAACACCCCACCATACACACCTCTGCCTCTCCTCTCCTCTCGACACACCAGTAAAAAAAAAAAAAGAAAAAAAAAACCAACAAAAACATCACGCCATGTCCCGATCCGCCGCAGACGCAACCCGCTTCACGGCCACAGGTCCCTACGCGCATTCCAAGCCCGGTGCCGCCCCCTACAAGCTCCCCGGCTTCATGGCGAACGCTCAGTCGCAGGGATCCGGCAACGGTGGTCGTCCGGAGACACCGAAGGAGAAGGTCGAGCGGTTGCGCGCCCAGGCTAGGGCGGCGCGGATGGCGCAGTCGACTTCACGCGTGGATACCATGATCGATTTCGGGAGACGGTTCGCCAACAAGGCGCATAAGACAATGGTTTATACGCTTATTGCTGCTTCGGGTTAGTATTTGTCTTTCCCTCTTTTGATGCCCTTCTTTGTTATGTAGTCATGCCAGGTCATGGCAGGGCAGTGTTGTTGTCCTTCGAGTAGGACGGACGTGGTTAATGGGTTGCTTGTGTGTAGGTATTTGCGGAGCGTTAACGGTCTACTCGATGGTGTCTCTTACGCTATATAACCGTCGTCAACGGGTGCTGTGGATCGAAAAGGAATTGCAGACGTTGCAGGATGCCAAGACGGCGTATGCCAGCGGAACCGCCACATCGGAACAGTTGGAATTGCTCAAGAACGAGAGGATCGGTGAGATCTATGAGCAGAAGAAACAGGAGGAGAAGGCGCAACGGCCCTGGAATAAGTTCAAGCGCTATCTGTTCGACGGGCTGAGCTCGGAAGAGGCTGCCTCGAAGGTGGAGGGTACGGCGGAGAATAACAAGCCTGGGGTTCTGGAGGCACTGAATGCGAAGGCTGCGGAGGAGGCGAAGGCTACTGCTGCTGTCCCTGCTGCTGTGCAGCAACCGGGTCAGTTGGATGCCCTGGCGGAGAATGCGGAGACCGCTGCGAAGCAGACCTCAAGGAGCTGGAAGAGCTGGCTCACCGGTCGGTAAGGATGTGAGAGGTGAGATTGTAAAGTATTGATGATGGGGGGGATGAGGTGGGGTCGTTCTCGATGATGTTCCGATTGAGCTTTTTCTCTTTCCCGTTTCCTTTGTGTTGCTGTTGCATGGCATTTGGTCTCTTTTCCCTTCTCCTTGTATTCCACCGATTTGGGCTTATGGCGTCTGTTAGGTGTGTTTTGAGCCGATGTAATACTGGGTCCTGTCGTCATATTGTGTACATATATTTTCCGTCATTGTCTTGGTTATAGGTTTCGGCCCAAGATATGAAAAAAACTTAGAGCATGGGGTGCGAATCTACAGGTGCGAATGTGAATAAGATTGGATCACAATATTTATTTTATTGTCTCTGTTCGGACAGGATCTACCCCAGATGCCGCTCGAAACCCAAGATTCATTCAACATAACAGAATTGGATAAAACTTTTACACACATATCTTTACTGTGTTCCAGATCGCTTGCATCGACGGTCCAAGAAAGATTGTTAAAATGCTGGAAAGCCAGCAAGAAGCCGAAAGAAGAAGAGGAAGAAAAGCACTACAGCTCTGGTATCTTAAACGAAACCGTTTTCAAAGACAAATAAGGGCAATGCTTCTTTGACCAACACTACTCAACCCAACTTGAATCAAGCGCTGGAGGCCTTGGCGGCACGTCTAGCGCGGACGGCATCGGCGAGATCCTCCAACACGGTGACGGTGGTCTCCCAGTCAATGCAAGCATCCGTGATGCTGACACCCTTCTTGAGGCCCTTGGGGCCCTCGGCGGGGACCTTCTGGTTGCCCTCGTGAATGTTGGACTCGATCATGACACCAACAATAGCGTCCTGGCCCTCGCGCATCTGGTCGGCGACTTCCTTGGCGACCAGGGGCTGGTTACGGTGGTTCTTGTTGGAGTTGCCGTGGGAGCAGTCGACCATGAGCACCTCACGCTGCTTCTTGCCGCGCAGGGCCTCACGAGCCTGACGGATGCTCTCCCGGTCGTAGTTGGTACCCTTGCTGCCTCCACGCATGATCACGAAACCGTGCTCGTTACCTGAGGTCTTGGTGATGGCCGCGAGACCCTGCTTGGTGACACCGAGGAAACGGTGGGGGTGAGCGGCAGCACCAATAGCGTCAATGGCGACGGTAAGGTTGCCGTCAGTGCCGTTCTTGTAGCCAATGGGGAAACTCAGACCGGAGGCCAGCTCACGGTGCAATTGGGACTCGGTTGTACGGGCACCGATAGCGCCGAGTGAGATGAGATCCGCAAGGTACTGAGGAGAGATGGTATCGAGCATCTCGCTGGCAATAGGCATGCCCATGCTGGTCAGATCGGCGTAAAGCTTACGTGAGATGCGCAGACCCTTGTTGATGTTGTAGGACTCGTCAATATCCGGGTCGTTGATCAGACCCTTCCATCCCACTGTGGTGCGGGGCTTCTCCAGGTAGGCGCGCATGATGATGCAAAGGTCGGACGAGAGCTTCCCAGCGAGCTCCTTGAGACAGGTGGCATATTCCAGAGCGGTGGCAGGATCATGGATGGAGCAGGGGCCGACCATCACCAGAAGACGGTCATCGCGCTGCTCGATAATCTCAACGGCTTGGTTACGGCCCGAGCGAACAGTGGCAGTTGCTTCTGCAGGCTAAGTTTGGACGCATTATTATTAGCCTGATAGAAAATTCTCTATACCGTGCCATCGACCTTCCCCGAGCAAGAAGTGTCTTCAGCCCTAGTAAAGGTGTGTGTGCCTCGGCAGGGAAGTGGGGGGTGACTCACAGCTGGGATCTCGGACTGAAGGTACTGAGGGGATAGCAAAGGATCGTATCCGAGGACTAGTCGAGATGAGAATCATGTCATTCGAGAGGAGGCGAACTTCGGAGGAGTGAGGATTACTTACCACGAGTGTCCTCACTGAACTCTGTTGTGTTAACGAGGGGCATTGTGTTTGTAGCGGGGGGTAAAGTCTCAAAAGAATAGAAGAGGGGGAGAGGTATATGGTAGTACAGTAGCAGTCGACAGAGTATTAAGAAGGTAACAATCGACTAAGGTATTAAGAGGATTGGTAGCAGCTTTATAGTCAGAGTACTCCGAAGACGAGTGATTGATAGTTGGAAGATCAATTGCATGCAGAAGTTGCGATCAAAATCGACGATGGTGATCGCCTTGAATAGTAAAATTGCGTACCGAGTGGGGCTGCCAATGATTCACACACACTGAAAAATTTTAGGTTGACCACTCACAGCCTTGCAATACCGGCCAGTCCGGTCGGTCTGATAAATACCAATACGCCCACACCCGTTTTTTCTCCCAGAACCACAGGGACCGGGCAAACGGGTAGTATGCCTGAAATAGGTTGTATATACGGTTCTGTACACAGTATACAAATACAGTCAGATTTACCTCCATCTCACAGGAATACTAGTACTATATCAATAGTTATTCTGGGGTAATCCCTTCAGAGCAAAATAATCGAAGTTCCATCTTCTCTTCAATGTCTGCAATTGGCCAAAATCTCCGTCACTCCCGAGTGGCATACACAGTTTATGATGCATCATCTACTACCTCCTAGTAGATACGTACACCAAGCGAAGTACTACCTAGGGCTTGTCAAATCGCTTAGAACAACACAAGTACTCCCTCTATTTGACATGGTTGGTGCTTAGCAGTCAGAAGTCATTCTACTATCCTGTATCCTTGGAACTGTTCTACTTTTCCCGAACAACAGCTCTCTAAGCGATTCAACTTATATATATAGATAATACCGACAAGCCTAGTGCACACATATACAAAGTATGCTGACCATAGCGGAAGGTAGTACTTCTTCTACACCGCTGTCTTTTCCCATAGTCCGAGTTCACTAGTAGTACATACCTAAGACTACTTCTGGGGGTACACCGTAGAGTAAACAGCCTACTAGTACTCATTCCTTCGGGTCTTCTGCAGTCCTGTACACCCACAGTACGAAGTAGAGACTAATCAAAATCCCAGCATTAGCAAGCTGGTCCAGCCACTCGTACTCATTGGATGCCTGATTTCCCGGTAACCCTGTTGGGTAAGCACCTCCATTGCTATCATTCATCGTGCATGCATGTTGGATATATATGTAGTATTTTCTTCAAAGTATGTCGGAGTAAAAAAAAGCCAGCCCCCTTGCATTATCTGTTGAATGATTTACGTCTGTATTATCGATGAACAATTTCTAATAAATTCAGCCAGGAGAGAGAAGAGAAAACAAAAGTTACAGCAAATAACAGTGAAGGCGATAATCAAGCACTCCACATGCTGTGCCCCCCACTACGTACCTAAGTTATTAACTTGAGGAGAATCATGGCTAAATATGGGGTGGGCCGCTTTCCCTAATCAGGGACTAACCGTCAACGCTAAAACGTTCGGGTCCGATGCAGGTGTAACTGACTTATCGCCAGACTGCAACCATGATTCTCACCCTCCACTACATACTACTACCTATCTTTCCCCAAAGGTTGTTTGCCTTACGACTTAGTGAGATATCGGGTATGATTCAGTAATTTCTATTTCTTGAGTAATACCATCATTGTTTCTGGAGACTCTATTCGTTAGAGTCTCCTTCAGGCCGCCGTCACCTTGGTCTTTGGCCATCGGAGCTGAATGGTTCTGCATTCAACGCCGTCAACACCTTCACATTTTCCCATCTGCCACAGACTAGATTGCTAAAGGGACATGTTCGGTTTCTCGTCCAAACGTCCAAGGGGCCATGAAGAGCTTGTCGATCTTGACAGTAGCGCCATCCCCGAGAGAAAGGTTTGTTTATCTAGCAAGCCTTGCTCTCACTTCCATGGCCCTGCCACTGACAGTTGGGCCTGTAGAAGCATCGTTCCCTAGCTCTCCGCACGTCCCCGCACTGCTCCCAGAAGCCCACCTTTACCGAAGCTACCCAAGCTATCTCTGAGTTCGGTTTATCTACGTTGACGCCCGTGGAGTCTTCAGATGATGACGATGGTAACGACGGGCATAGAAAGCACGTGCGTGCCGGCTTGACACATAGTAAGGGGGAGCTGCCCCACCAGACAACCCATTGTCACGCTTCCAATACGGCAATGGATATAGACCACGAGAGAGATATGCTGCCGCCGATCGGTGATCGCACCCAGTACCCATGGCCAACCAGTGCACGCGGCAATGAGGATATCCAGCCATCGCCAATCCCTCGCAGTCTAGTTAATCAGTATCTGACCATCGGTGAGCGGCATGCTGCAACTTCCGCGTACGGATATTTCCCCCCAACGACGAGTAATCATGATTCTACGTTGTCTACATGTCACCCGACTTCTCACGACACAACCCTGTCTTGCTTTGATATCCAGCGCCTCCCCAGCCCAGTTAGTGACGGTGAAGATGCGATGGCAAGCATCAAAGACACTGCGAGTGACGTGGATATGACCTACAACCTGTCTCGCCCTGCCTCATTCTCTCCCTCTATATGGTTGGGGACAGAGCGGAGCTCACCCAACATGCAGGAGACAATGCCGTCAATGGACAGTGCGAAAGATACGCTACCGGAACCCAAGTCAAAGAGTGTGTCAAACAAGAAGAAAATCACTATCTCAATGGGCTACCGGGCCGACTGCGAAAAATGCCGGTGCAAGGTGCCAGGCCACTATAGTCATATCATTCATGCTTAATATGCCTTTACGATTCACCGCGTTTATAATGGTCGCCGTCACCTGTACATTATTCCATTTGTAGATACCAGGATTGGAACGGAGTTATCGAGTGGGCACTAAGATCCACTATACATGACGTTGTTTTCTAGGCGTTTGGGAAGTTGGGGTTGACTTTGTCCAATTTACTAATAAGGTGGCAATGGGCTTGTGTATAGCGAAGTTTATTTCAAATGGAAAAAACCATGAAATCCAGATGTGCGTGTATTCTGGGTCAAAAAGAGGCCAGCCAGGTTAAGTGGAATACCCATCTTCCGACAAGTCGTTCCGATGCGGCTGACATAAGCGACTCTATCCGACGTACGGAACTGAGGCATCCTCGCGATTAACTACTCCGACTTGCTGTGTAGCACATGTATGATCATCAATTTTGGTCGAACTGGTAAATACTGTGTTTCTCACGTATATACGAATGGTCTGAGGGTGGACAGACATCGTGTACAGGGGCCGTGTTACCAGGGAGACTCTCATTAGCATTAAGGTGGCCGACTCCAAATGATAAGATCGGATCTCCACACTTTTTTTTCCCCAACCTCGGCGGCAGAAGCTTTAGCCGATCTTCGTTGCCGGCAGTTGATGGCAAGCTCTCAAGGGCCATGTCCACTCTTAGAGGGCCCGCTCCCGGAATCTTGTCCGGCAACCCATTCTGCTTTAACATAAATGTTCTTCTACTTCCTGTTTCCCCGGAATTCAGCTTTTTGTGCGCGTTGAAACCCACTACAGTATATCAAGATGGCATCTCCAATTCCCCGGGGCCTCCGTCAGGTCCTCCAGAAGTCTCCCAATGACATTGTGATCCTTTCCTCACTGCGTACCCCCGTCACTCGCGCGAAGAAAGGCGGCTTCAAAGATGCTTATCCCGAAGAACTCCTTGCCAATGTCCTCAAGGCGACCCTCGAAGCGAACCCCAAACTCGACCCAGCCTTGATCGAGGAAGTCGCAATCGGTTCCGTTCTCCAAGAGCTCGGCGGTGCGAAGGCTGGCCGTATGGCTCAGATCCACGCAGGCTTCCCCCACACGGTTCCATTCCATACAATCAACAGACAATGTTCGTCCGGTCTAGCCGCTATTACCGCGATCGGTAACGGAATCCGGGCCGGCGCTCTCAACATCGGTGTCGGTGGAGGAATGGAGTCCATGACCCGGAATTACGGATCTCGCGCTATCCCCACCGTGCTCTGGCCTGAGCTTAAGGAGTCACCGTCGAAGGACTCTCGGGATTGTATTATGCCTATGGGTATCACCTCCGAAAACGTTGCTTCTCGTTACGGCATCTCGAGGGAGGATCAAGATGTATTCGCCGCTGAGTCGCACAAGAAGGCTACTGCTGCGCAGAACGCGGGTCTGTTCGACTCCGAAATTGTGCCTGTGAAGACCCTCTCCTTTGACCCCGAAAACCCCGATGCTCCCCCGAAGGAAATTACCGTCGCCAAGGATGACGGTATCCGCCCCAACATCTCCGTCGAGAAGATGGCCAGTCTGAAGCCAGCCTTCTCCCCGACCGGTGCTAGCACCGCCGGAAACAGCTCGCAGGTCAGCGACGGTGCTGCCGCTGCACTGCTCATGCGTCGTTCCACTGCGACCGAACTCGGACTGACATCCTCCATCAAGGGCCGCTGGGTCGGCACCGCCGTTGCTGGTTGTGCTCCGGATGAGATGGGTGTTGGACCTGCTGTTGCTATCCCCAAGCTCCTTCAGCAGCTCGACATGAGCGTCTCGGATGTAAACGTCTGGGAAATCAACGAGGCTTTTGCCTCCCAGGCGCTCTACTCTATTCGTAAGCTGGGTATTGACGAGGCAAAGGTCAACCCTAAGGGTGGTGCCATTGCCATCGGTCACCCGCTCGGTGCCACTGGAGCTAGACAGCTCGCAACTCTCCTGCCAGAGATGGAGCGTACCGGCCAGGAAGTCGGTGTTGTCAGCATGTGCATTGGAACAGGTATGGGAATGGCTGGTATGTTTGTTCGGGAGTAAACTTGTAAAGATTAATGGCCAACTTTAATATTCTATGAGCGAGCGTATATGCATGTACATATAGAATGACAATTTCAAGGTTTATATAAAAGTACCCATACCAATATACTACGTATTCCACAAGCCAATAGTTTTATTTCTCTATTTTTTCATGTAATATTTACCAATGTTGAATGCTAGCCAGGAAACGCCAAGCCTCGGACTCCATCTCACGTGACGGAGTGCCTGGAAGAACCTCCGAACGGGAATCATGAAACTTTTCGAAAGTTGGCTGAAGTCCGCAATTCGTGTCACACCGCAGCCATGCGTCCCTCATTGCGGCTGTTAAACCTGGAGGTATCATCCCTCCAGGGATCTCGAACTCTCTACGTCTGCTCAGTCTGCAGACAAGAAGCACGCCCACGCCCATTGGTCGCCCGACAATTCCTGCGCAATGCGTCCAACGCAACCCCGATCACCGAACGAGTGCGCCGTAAGATCTGGGGTACAGACAACCCGCCTGGTTTGAAGGATCCCTATGGTGGAGAAGGTGTTCTGGAACGGAAATTTAGGAAAGACCAGCCTGCTAGACAGGAGGAGGAGCCGGAGAATCTCGCCCAGGCGTCAGAACAAACTCAGGTCGAGAATGAAGCGGACCTCGCTTCCGCTGAGGCGTATGAGCCTGCAACCACATGGGAGGGACTTCCGCGTGTGGGCCACTTGGGCAAGTGGTCCGACTTGCCTCCCTCTGAGGCCGACGCTTATGAATCGTACGTTTCTCTGTCATTCTTGCGGACCTTGGGGTCATGACCGAGTCAAGCTGTTTATGCGGTCATTGGGGACGGAATAGAGGCAGATGCTGACTACCTGTCATGTAGGTTTATGCTGAAGAAGAGAGTCACCAAGAAGGGCCATCTGTCCCTAGCCGCCCACCAAGCAGCAGTCGAAGTTTGCCTGATGCACACCCTGAACAAGCCTCTGTCGAAGGTCTGCGATGTCGCCGAGCACGATAAATCGGTTTTCAAGATGCTCTGGAAGTGCAAAATCCAGCCCGGCGAGTGGAACCAGGCCGTGGTCTACCCTAGCAAGGAGGCTGAGAAGGCTCTCGTTTATATCTTCGAGCAGATCGGCGGTCAGCCTGAGCCCGCCGTTGCGGAAGAGACAGCGGAGGAGGTCGAGGAGGCCGTTGATGAGTCGAAGTGGGAAGATCTCGTTCAGGAGGTGAATGGTGCGAACGTTCCTTTCTTCGGATACGCCGATGTTCGGGACAAGGGCTTCCTGTCTCTCCCATTGGACGACCCTACTACGAAGTTCGCTGTAAGTGCTTCCGTCTGTCCTAGTTAGTTGCGTTGTGCGGTTGTTAACTTAGCCATGCTATAGTTCCTGAAGCGGTTCTCTCAGCTGAGCGGCCATTACCTCCCGGATCCTGTCGTTCACTCGGTTGCCACCGTCGGACAGGTAGTTGAATACGTCCAGTCGGTTCTTAACCCGAAGCCCAAGAAGCTGGCAGATCACCTGGCCAAAAGCGAAGGCCTTCAAAACCTGTCCAACGTCAAGATTTTTGCCAAGAAGCAAAAGCCAATGGACAGGGACGAGGAGCTGGGCCGGAAGAAGGTCATCGAGGCTGAGCTTCGTTCTAGAGGGCTTGTTGAGTAGGTTGCGGATCTAACCTGAGCCTATTGTTTAGTCACCGTTCTTGTAGCATGTTAATTGCAGGATATTTTGTACTATAGAAATGAAAACCTTAGTTTATCTTATGTTACTAATGTAACTATACATGTACAATTCCTATCTAGGCAAAAATGTAAAAAAGACATCAACGTTAACCGGTCCAGTAGCCGATATAAGATGCCAAAGCAAACCCGTACGCCGTCGAGACAATTGCGCTATAACGAATCACTTCCTAGAGCCCGCAGGAAGAGTGAAGCCCCTGGTCATAAAATCGGTGTTGTTCATTTTGCCGTCTTTGGAGTCCTTCGTGAAAAGACTATCCAGATTCTCATTCAATCCCATCATCTTCCGTCGCTTCTTCTTTTCATTCTCTTCCTCCAAAACCCGGGCAGTTAACATCGCCGTCGCCGCATGCTTAATGCCATTCGTCGCATTAGGCTTAGGAGTAGACGTATTGCTGCGGCTCGCACCCTCTGTCTCCGCAGCGTCCCCATTAGCCTGCTTCTTGCGCTTCTTCGACCCAGGCGCCTTCTTCAGCGAATGTGATAACCCCTGCTCAGCCAATTTCTGCGCCCGCGCCACAAGCTCCTGCTTATCCTCACTTTTCGTCGGTAGAATAGGGATGACATTCTCCTCCGTATACGACTCATTGCACTGCAGACACTTATCACCCTTCAGCTGGCGCACCGCCTCCTCGGAGAACACATGGCCACAGGGCACAAGATAGACGGCCTTGACATTCGGCCCGAGCTGCTTAGCAGTGACCGGACAGATCCAGCCCTCTTGTTTGTCGAGCTTGGTCGAGGGGTGTTGGCTTTGTTCGGTGTCGATCTCGAACTTCAGCTCGACTACGTCCCGGAGCCCTTTTACTCGTCCACATAGGATCTCTTCGCAATCGGCTTTGGAACTGATTCCTTCGATCTCTTCACCGGGAAGGAGGAATTTGAGAATCGCGTCTTTGTTATACATATTTCCCACGCAGTCAGCCACTATCGGTCGAATTAACGGCTTGTGGGACAGTGGACATGTCGTCCAGTAATGTTCCTGGAGTTCGCGCTGGGCTTCTTTCACTTGAGCTGTGCTGGGGGCGCGCGCGGCTTCACGAACGAGCTCGCGGCGGGTGGGGATACTATGAAAAAGCTGTTAATATTTCCCTCATGTAATATACTCAGATGAATTGAA